CTGTGACAGTTGTATGGTGCTTTGCAAAACATGGTACCCCACCAGCAATTTTTCACCCAAAAGGTTATCTTTGTGAAGAAATTAACAGGTCAACATTGAGTATCCACAAAATAGCCTAAGACACTCCAGTAAAGCTAATTTACAATGTACCTAAATTAATTATTTTAGAAAGATGCAATGTCATGAAACAATACTTTCTTTTCCAGCGTTTTATTTCTTAAAGTCATCACACCAATGACACATTTTGACACGTCTTCTTTTTGTTTTCATATTCATATCCAAAATTAGCCGATTATTGCATGGAGTTAGGGTTAACCCCAACCCAAACCCAACCTGGTAGATACTGGAAGGATTTAAGAGACAATCACAATAATCATTGTCACACTTCTTTTCTCACTTATTCCATGTGGTTCAGGTTTTGTTCACTGTATTGGTATGATAGCTTTCATAAACAAATGGTTCACTCAGTCACTTGATCATTATTTTCTTATTTTCCTGTCTGAGAGCAAATAGACTGTCAGTTAAATAAGAATATTAAGAAGTCAGTTAACCAGTTCTTTTTCAACAATTATACAACAGTGGCATCATGGGAGATACGTTGGGCCACCAAAGCAAAGTTTAGTCACATCTGGGTTACTGTATTACTCCCCACCACATTTTAGCTCAAATAAACTCAAAGAGGAGAAGAGACTTGTAGAGGATGTATTCTTGATCATTCTGTACCCCCCCAGTATTGATTTTTGCGTCCCATTTCCTGAGATAAACGTAGCTCCGCTGGGATGGGGACACTCTTCTCCACCAGATGCTGCATTACACAGAATGATAGCAACACGCAGACAAAATATCCCACTTTCCTTTTTTTCTTTTAGGAAGTCACATGATGGGACTTTTCAGGGTCATTCCACCTCAGCTGTGATTTGGATTGTTTGTGTGTGCTGACATCTGCTGGTGTCATTACTCTAAATGAGTTGCTGTTAGTTGACAGATTGAATGGCCATTCCACTGCTCTGTCCACTTAAATCTTTTGAAATCTGTCCTCAAGCCAAGCTTGACCCATCTGACCTGTTAACCTCTTGTGGCCTTAGGGACTGGCCTTTTTACTATGGCTGTGACTTTTTTATTGTATGTGTTTGTTCTGCTTTCCATTCATTGTTTAAATAAATCTGAATAAAATATAAATAATTCTATTTATCTATCTATATCAGAACCATTCAGCAGTTCTTGTGGTTATTCCTTTTGGGAAATCAATATTTCATTGCAACAAAAACAGAAATGAATGTGTTTACTCTCAATGCACATCTGTCTATTTATCACTTTTCCTAAGAGCTGCTGTTATAGATTTGGGCCTCCCAATTCAACAGCCTATTACTTTGTTTTGCCTGGGAGCAGCTGGCTGGTTTACCGTTTAACAGCGGTCTGTTTGTCAAACAGGCACACCAGAATCTGAAAGCTTATTGCCTGATTTTAGAGGGCAGTGGTGTGCTGTAACCTCTGTATTTGTAGAGCAGGGTGCCCAAACCTAGGAAAAATAAATGAGGAATCAGAAATTCTAATTGTGTGCAAGAGGGATGATGAATAAATCCAATATTAATCTATTTTCAGTCTTAAGCTTATTAGCAGTTTCTTTCATCTCCATCATTCCTTCCGGTCTGGATGGAGCGTTTTATCCCTTTTGGCTCGAGTCAAAAGGTGAGCTTGAAGAACTTAGATATTGTCCTCTAAATTTAACTTGCTATCACAGTTGTGTGTATCAATGGATTAGTTTAGTTGTTTGTGCGCAGACGGTGGTTGTGTATGTCTGCTGTTGGGTGTTAGTGTGTGCGTTCCATGGAGACTGACGGGGGCTCTGAGGGGACAGATGGCTTGTGGCCTGCTCTCGCCTGGTGCTTTCTGCCTGCCAAGGATCAGGCAAAAACAGTTTCAGCACCCTCCGCTTTATTGAAATCTGTTCCATGAGCCCAAATTTACTTCTTCTGGATATATAAATTCACGAAACAATCACATGGCTCCAGTGGAAGTTAGAGAAATTACATTCACAGCAGTAGTTTTAAAAATCACAGTTGGAAAATAAACGTATACGTGTTTGACTCTTTGTTGGAATAAAATATTCAAATATAAGCTGAAAACACTGTTGCTATCTGGCAGAGTTTATGTTTATTTGCTGTCTTTCAAATTGAAGACATTGTATAACCTATGAGGGCAATTCTGCATCTGTACTGGTAGGTTCTCATAGTAAAAAGACAGAAACAATTGGATCAGAGAGTGATCCATGTTTCGTGTTGTTTGTTATTATTCATGAGCCATGCAAAGACTACAGTTAGTTTGCTAACTCTGATCACATGTACGAGAAGATTTCAGAATTGGAATTTGCTTTTTAGTGAAATTTGGACAGGACCCTGTTACCCTCCTTCTGTTTGAATCTCAGAAGACAGATACGTATCACCACCTCACATGTATACCCACATGTATTTCATAATGCCTGTTGCGACATATCCACAGAGTCATGCATTAGAAAGCAGCAGAGGAAATGGGCAACAGTGGAAGGAAAAAATGATCTGCTCTCTTATATTCCTCAGAATTATTGGCTATAATGTTGCAGCAAAACATAGCCGACTGGGCAAGACTGCCATCAAAGAAAAAAGTCACTCTTATGATTAGATTTTCCATGTCAGGTTGGTCCAGACTGATCAGGTTTACATGACACCTCTGGAACATGAGAGAAAGATTTGACAAGACTGGTTGTGTGTACCAGCTGTGCCTGTCTATTTGTGAATGTCTGTGTGAGTCCAACATGCATGTTTATACAAAGTCTGCTTTTCTCATTTGCAGATTTTAGGAGCCTCGAATTGGTCAGCATTATGTTTTTTAAAGCTCCATTCTGTCAAATGAATCCTTTATCTTGCTTTATCCACACTAATAGATGTCACATTAGCCTTTTTCTCTGTAAAAGAATCCAGACTATTGCAGTAACACCTTACTCCAGTTTCACTTCATCACATGCTGGTTATTCAACACTGTTTCTTATTACTGGAAACGCGGATAGTCATTTGCATTTTTATATCCCATCACCATGTCACAAAAAATGGATAGTAACTCATTCATATGAAAATGTCTTTCAGATACAATAGGTGTTTGAACATGGTTTATGGACGTCCCTTTAGTCATTAACTTGACATGACTTCACCTCTCTGCAGTGAGTTTAATGGATTGTTGAAATTCTCCTTTGCTGAAATGATTCTTCCTGGAATCAGAGGATGATTTTCCAATATATATAATCAAACTGATGATTAAACTATTTAAATTTCGTTCTGCACAATTAGTTTTTCACTCTGTCTCTTCAACTAATTTCATCGTGGCAAAGATGGAGAAAAATTCACATATTCGGTCAATTATAGTGCACGTAAAATCTGTTTTTTGCTAAGTTTTTTGGTTTCAACTTTATTGTGTATTGCCATAGCAGACACAATAATCAGCACACAAATACAGCTGGCTAGATGGTGGTAAACTTGATAAAGCAGTCAGCAGTTAGATATGGACTCATAGTTTCCGTGGCTGCCTGTACATGAGGCCACTGTTTTTCCTCATGCACAATTTGCCTGCTGCATACGCAACGGCCAGCTGTGGCCTCTCTGTGGTCAATTACAGCCAAGATATTTGTTACAGAAAAGGCTGAGCACATAAGCCAGGCCTAAGCTGAAGAGGAACTCCATTTGAATAAAAAAAAAAAACTTTAAGCTTTTTAGGAGAAAGCATCCTCACATTACCACTGCTGAATATCCCAAGAACTTTTCAGGACACTGGTGCATGTGTGAAAATTAAAATCAGTTTTACATGAAGACTAAACACATTCAGCTTATAGGAGGGAGAGCAATAAAGCTTTAAGAATTTAGATTTCTCTCACATCATACCATTTCATGTATTATTCATGTATGCTATAAGATCAACCAATCAGTTAGAAAACAAGTAATTCAACTCCAATGTAATGCATTTTTACAAGTTCTGCTTTGATTCTTTTATTCAAGGCTAGCATTTTTGCAAAGGAAACTAAATTCAGATGCCCTCTTAGACCTCCTCATAGGACAGTGACGGTTCCACACGACATCAAAATGTCAGACAGAGTTTATTATGGAATGTTTAACTCCTGAAGTATCAAACAAACTATGGCGTCACATATTTTTTCACACATTTTGAGAAAAACGTCCTTGTTGTAAACACAGAAAGTACCACAGTGAAGCTGGTAGTGTTTTGCAGCTGTGATGCAGGCTGTTGTCCACCAGAGTCCAGTGTTTGACTGTTGGAAAGTGTTCAGGGTCAAACCCGGGCTGCAGATGGAGAGCAGAGAAGGGAAGAGGAGGGGGAGGGGGTCGATATCTCTTGACTTTATTCAAGATTCAGATAATAATTCTGTAATTAATTCTGTTTCATCGTATCATCTTTTTTCTCCTCACATCTCCCGCACTCGATTCTTTCTCTCCTCAAATTCTGACTTTTTGTCCCCGCAATCCCAGGAATTGTCGGCATGCTCTTGAGCTCCCCCCTTCCTTTTTTTGTGAGGTTGTATGACCTATGCTCCTCTGGGTCTTGTTTTAGGGTGACATTTTGGTGAGACAGGTATTGATCCAGCCTGGTGGATAAGTGTGTAAGTTTCACCTGTACAGCTGACAAGCCAGTTGGATGTAACCCAATGCGACATTCAGGTTCTCCCCATTTCTGCATCAGCGTTATTGGTCCTAGACAGTAATGAGACAAGACATTTAAATTGTGCAGAAGTGCCGATTAAAGGTGCCATCGTTGTTGACATATTTATTTTCTTTTTAGCATCCAACTGCTTCAAGCTAAGCAAAAAATAAAACTTTGCAGAATTAAAAGGTTTTTCAGTATTTTTCATTTTTCATTTAGATCTGTATACTAAGTGATCCTTTTTCCAAATTCGTCTTTTCGTTTTTACTCTTCCTCCCCCGTCTGCGTTCTCTCCCCTCCACAGCTCCTCTTAGTCCCAGGTGACAGAGAAGAGCTGTGCCCTTGAGGCACTCCTACCAGCAGGAGTTGAAACTGCCAGGCTTCTGTGTGTTGTGCGTTACAAATACAGGCTGCACGGCATCAGGATGGTGTGATATTTTACTGCTCCACTGAGACATCTGAGCTTGCCTGTGTTAGCAAAACGGGGGAAGAAAATGTCGGACAGTAACTGTAGTAACCTCAGGCTATTTCTGTTTCTTTTGAATTCATGAGCACGGATGTTTTGTTCAGAGATAATGATATCCTGGAGGAACGCATTTCAAGAACTATTGTATTATTTCCAGTTGGTACCGTGGTTGGTGGGGAAAATGAATACAATAATGATGTCAGTTGAGATCAAACTAGTTGCTATGTTATGTTTTTTATTAATTCTGACATTACTATAACTGTAAAGCTGTATCTTATATTGGTAAGCCAAACCTACGTTTAAATATGCAGAAAATGAGTCGTATGACTTGGTGATTGTCACCGCATTGCAAGCTCAATTTAAAATAACATAATGATATAAATAATATCCTTAATGACCCTCTCCACCTGATCAAGGTAATTCTCACCCTCTAATTCTTTCTAAGTTGGATTACCAGAGCAGATTTCAATCGGGTTTATATGTAACAATTTTCAGTAGATGGTTATAATGTCAGGAAGGAACAAGTTACAGAATTTAAAGAAATATAAAAACATTTTTTTAAAGAAATGTGTCTGCCGTCTGCACAGATGCCCAGTGGACCTGTTGGTTAACTAAATAATTATTGCTGATGTTAGAATTCTAATACTCAGACACTGGCTAGATATATAATTGTGTTGTTGAAAATGCACAAACGTCACAACAAAGAGAAATAAGAAAGGGATGTTTTTATCACTTAAGTGCAATTCTATTTTCTTTTGCAGCATAATTCTTTAAAAAACAAACTGGAATGGATTTTTGACTCACAGGGTATTAGCAAAACAATGCCAAAAGAGATCATTTTCCATAAGTAGGCCTGATTTCATTCCCATTCTGTTGTAACCTCCTATGTATCCATGGTAACCCTGCCTTTTCCAAGGAAGGCTGCAAACTGCAGTGTTAGTGTGAAGAGGCCTGTGATCCACCAATCACATGTCTAGCTGGCCTCTTCTGGGCCACAGCATCTGTCATTCCCTGTGTCAGCTCTCACGTACGTTGTTTTCTGTCTCTCCGTTCACTTCAGTTCTAGTGAATCCCAGTCTCCCATTTTCCTTTTATGCTCCCATAAGAAAGTGGATTGCCCTGGAAACTAGCCACAATGTAACTGAAATCATAAGCATGTGACCATTCAGTATTTTTGAATGTGTGATTACGTTTTGTGTGATATCTTAGGCAGCCTAACAGGTTGGACAGAGTTATCCTTCTTAAATGAATGTCCCATGTGTGAAACTTATAAATTGTGCTTATGATTCAGGGTCAAAATGCATAAAGCAGTGTGTTCCAGGATCTTGTGTGAGCTAGATAGATAGTTATTATAATATTTTACCCACTTTTTTTTCTATTGCACAATCTGCCTTAAAACCTGATATTATATTATTTGCAGTATACATCATTAGGTGGAACGTGTTTTTATTTAAGAGCCATAATTGAGGAAAACAAAGGAATTAATATATCAATTAACAAACATTAAGTTCTCCTGATGGTGAACAGTTGAAGATTAATGTAATTTCACAACAGAAATCTTTAGCATTTGTAGGTATGAAATTTGTCGAGCCCAAGTTATTTACGGATGACCGTGGCTTTTTCCACCATGTTAAACATCAGATGTTCCTTGTCCATTGTTCTCAGAAGGTTTGGTTTGTTCCCGCATTTTGCATGTGCTTACAGAGGATCATAATCTTTTAATTGTTCTTCTTAAACATGCTAATAACAGCGTACCAGTTAACCGTTGTGGGTGGCCGCGTGCCCCCAAGACTGATAACATACCAACCACAGGTGTAATGACTCAAGATAGCATACATAACTTAGATAAGGTACTTATAATTCCCACGTTACGCTTCCCAGCTCACACAGATAGAGATCAGATTCAGTCCTTCGTGCACATTTCACATCAGCACTATGAGGATATTTGCAAGCTGTCTTATTGTGCTGTAGCTTAGCTCTGAGCAGGGGAAGACCAGTGGGTGGAAGCTTCTCACGCAGGGCTTCCACTGAGCTGACTGTAGCGAAGTGATACTTGCTGAGGGGTGAGAGGTAGAAAGACAGAAAGTGTCCCTAATACTATAGGAAGAGCCCCTAATCCTGTGTAAAAGTACCCCCACCGACAGTTGGGGGGCCCACAGGTCAGCTCGCCCTAAAATAGCATCTGGTGTTATTATTTGTTCTTTCATAACTGACCCCACCCCCACCAGTCAAGGCGCCGCATCACACACACACGCATGCACACACACGCATGCACACACACTATCCCTGATGCCATGTCACCAGGTAGAGCAAGCCCACCCTCTTCTTGTACTCACAGCCCTGACACCAGTCTTTGTTTAGGGGGAAAAGCTGCTAAGCTGGCTGACAATGCAGAGCAGCATGCTGGCAGACGCTGGGAGGCAGGGAGAGTGGAGAGAATGAATGGGAGGGAAAGAGGGCGAGTGGGTGGATAACAGTGAAAGTATTTGTTTCAGCTGCTATTTTCAGTTTGGCCCCCCACTCCCCACTTGCCTACACAACCTTGGATATCAAGATCACACTGACACCCCACACCCACCCACCCTTAGACTAAATGAAGATGAGGAAGAAAAGGAGGGCGGAGGAGAGGGGGTGGAAGGGATCTGCCAGTATGGTAAGTCAGGGTGCTTTTCCCTCACCCTCCCCATCTGAAGGTGCTTTCTGGGGCAGAGGCCAGCTTTTGCGAGGCGGCAGGGATTTACCCTTGTTTACTTTTTTTTTTTTAAAGACACAGGCGAGGGATGAGGAGGGAGGAGGCGGCAGACCAGATTTGGCGTGTGTCCTTTCTGCAGCGTGAAAGACTATTAAATGTTCAGTGCTTTGTTTACTCATTACTGCAGGGTTGTACAGACCCCCCCCCCCTCCTCTCCTCATATTCCTTCCTGACATCCTCTCTTTTTACCCTCTATAACTCACCTCTTCAGCCTCCCTCTCTGCCTGCTGTGCAGGGAATCAATCACATGCAGGAAGGGGCTGCTGTATCCACTAACCCCACTGCGAGCATTCCCTCATTTGGATTTTGTTCTTTTTTACTCCGTTACCTGAGCCAATGGCACCTTGCGCTGTCCTCCAGGGGGATGGATGTTCGAGAGGCAGAGATAGGAACTAACTGCTTGACTGGATAAATGACTGGTTGGCTGTTTGGCTGCTCGGCCGCCTGGCCACTCTGAGCTCAGGTTTCACTCCTGGTTATTCAGAGGGGAGAAAGAAAGAGGGAAAGAAATTCAGCATGGCTGTGGAAGAGGGTGCTGTCTTCCTTACCCAAGTGAGTAGAGCTAATGTTAAAATGTATTGTTACATTTGGATTAGAATAGATTTTAGTTGTATTTTGCTGTTATTGTCATGTGTTAAAGTGGGTATTGAGATGGTCAGAATGGGGCATCAAACTACCAGAATGACCTGGTCCTGTTAGAACAGCAAGGTTGTTTGGGTGTGTTTGAGCATGGAAAGTCAGCTGGTCTGTTGCATTCAGATAGATATTGCTCAAGCATGCATGTTTATGGGATTGTGTTATCCTATTTGCCCACACACCAGCAAATGAGTTGATTGTGTAAATGTTTCTGTTCTCTTACTGTTTAAGTGGGTAAACTGAGGATGTTGTCACAGTTTTTTTAAAAACATTTTTAGCCAGAACTAATCTCACCTAGTCTCCATTCCCTGCTCTCTTTATGCTGAGCTGAGCTAACTAAAAGTAAAACAAATAGAACAGACTTATCGACAAAGCAGGAATTGAAGAAAGTTCTGTATCTTTAGTGATGCTGCAACATGGGACTTTATTGAAGAAACATCCAAGTTATTTCTCAGTAAAGCTGATGTTTGGTTAGGGCACGCTCTCAAAACCATCTATTCACAGTAACATCTTCATACTAAAAATAACAAAAAAATACAGCAGGTAATGATTATTTTTCTTTACTTTACTTTCTCACATTGACTCACATTGCTTCAATTCTCTGTACACGAGAGTTGCATTGCACGCTCAGACCTATAGGACTTCCTTTACAATGCTTTGTATATTTATAGTCTGAGGAAGATCCTGATATAGATTGCTATTCACTGCTTTGTCAATAATGTAATTTGCATTCATTCCTCTGAAAGCCTTATTAATGATCTTCTGGTTTTAGTATTTTGGCAGCTTGAGGTGGCACTCATTCATGCTGCTCCACTATCTGGCCTTGAGAGGAATAAAATAAGAGATCTTTGTGGATCTAAAGAATAGGAGAAAAATATAAATAAAGTAGGCTACTGTCCCTGGCAATGAGCAACTAGGATATGTAGCTCTATGAGTTTTGTGCTGTCAGGGGAAGAGGGATAAAGTGAAACAATACAGCTGTTGCTGCACAGGATCTCCTCTTCTAAGCTTCCTCATTTCACAAAGTATACAGCAAGCAGGAGCACGTCCCTGTTTTTGTCTATGCTTACTTTCATCTGGATGTAACTCCCGCTGCTTTAATGTTACGAGGAGAAAAAAACCTAGCACAGATTCAGCAGGAGTGACAACAACTATTTTAAAGTCCAAACTATCCCACTTATTCTAAATCATGTTTGTAAATAAGAAATCCATCCTTTTTTACACATTTTACATGTAAACACGATTAAATATCCATTAAATGTTTTCTTTTTTTTTGTATGTTTTTTTATTCTGTCTGCCCAGAAAATTTATTTTTTGGTTGGGCTGCTGGATTTGCAAAAAACATCTTACAGTTCTCTAAATGTGAACACATAGACCTCACTCTTTTTTTTGTCTGCATTTAATCGTTTTAAAACAGCAAACTAGGATACCACTAATTGACCAAAAGATTCAGATTACTGTTTTCCTCCAGGCCAGCAGTCTTTAAGGCTTTTAAAAACTGGAATGGCTGGACAAATTGAAGCTTTACTGGTTTTCTCTTGTCAGATTTGTCTCTCGAATCCTCCTTCTGGCTTAAACTCATCTTTAATAGCTTCATTTTCTTTGGATGTTTGATCTGTGGAGGCTTAATGATATTTTCTCCTACCAACCTCATACTTCATTCACAAAGGCCCTAGTGTTGGACTTTGATGGGATAGGGACATGTTGGGGGATAAGCTAGCAAGTAAAAAGATGTATTCAAGAACTGAAACTACTTAATCTCTTGGAAAATGCAAAAAGCAGCATGTTATATATAAAGGACCACTGCAAAATGCCAATTATCCTGAGAAAAAAACACGTTTGATGGAATCTGAATTTCCTGTTTTTGCATTTGAACTGTAACTAACTGTATTTCAAAAATGTGTTTGCATGTTGCATTTCTGTAAGCCTATTAATATTTGATTGCTGTTATTTACTGTTTTGTCTGCCTGTACAAACCGACCATAGGTCATCCATTAGATATCGGTTTTAAATAATTCAGCAGTCAAACTTACATAATATTTAACACCGTGCAGCATTTAGTCTTTTTCCTGCATGCTGCCTATATTTCAGTATGGGGTGTACAATTGGTGTGTTTTTCTCATTACACAACATTGTTTTTTTTCAGCAGGGCCCTTATGTGTAAGTCTCACATAGATATGAGTTGCACGACAGACGGTGCAGAGAGTCTACCTCTGTGATTGTGTTAGGAGACACCTTGTGATGACTGAATGCTGGAGTTACAGTTGAGCTGCGTGAGAGCCAAAGTCTCTAACAGGTCATTTGTTGAGAGTTGAATCTTGGTATCCCTTTCCATGTCCAAAAACGTTCAGTCCTCAGACAGCATTAATCTCAGTAGAACCTCTTTCTTTGGTTTATCTTTATACTTTCCGTTGTTACAGGGATTAAAAATGCTGTGTGCCTGCATGAGATTCAGTTGCATGTTCAAACTATTTCAAAACTGGTTGAGCAAAATATTGGATGCTAAGAAGGTTTAACATCTGGTGACCTTTCTCTGTACAGCAGCACCAACAATTGCTTTTTAATAATATTTCTTTCGCAATTATAATCCAGAAGTTCTGTTACAAATCTCATTTTTAGATTAATAATACAAACAATTCTTTATGTATTATTTTCACATATATCTATAAAAGGTAAGGGCTGAATATTTTCTGTGGCTGTTCGTAATTCATGTCTAATTTCCGTTGTTCGGGAATCGGAATGGTTGAAACTTGGGCACAGTATGGAACGTGACTTTTCTCAAGGCCACAGGAGTAGAAATATAACAGTGTTGTCCAGCAGTCCTCTGAGAGTTGAGAGTATGGAAAAAGGAAAGAGAGGTCTAAAGATGTGAGCAGATCGGCTGTAAAGATACTGTATGAGATTTAGCCTAATGGTTTCTTGTAATCAGGAAGTGACTCGGTTTCCAGTTAACACTGCTTCATTTGCCATTAAGTTGTTTGTCTGCTCAGGCCTGCATGAGCGCACATTAACAAATATTTTCCTCTCACACTTTTAAACAGAGATTACCCGTGGAACAATCTGATGCTGAATGTTTTTCTACGCTCACATTTTGGCATCGGATCAGGGCTATTTTTGGCCAAGCAAGGCAGAAGGGGAGGCAGAGAGCACAATGTTAGATAACCGATTGTACAGCTTGGCCCAGCTGAGTTTAACATAAGTGTCTCTGGGAGCAAGGCTAAATATAGCAGGTCTGGGATTTTGATAATACTGGGGAATTTGGGTTTTGAGCTTCTGTTATGAAGCGGCATATAGAGCTCGCCTCTCTTCTGTTCACAGCAGCTTTTGTGCTGAGATTTGCAAAATACTCTCGCAAGAACACTAATAAATGTGCAGAGTTTGCGGTGTGCCAGTTCATGTCAAAGCTAATGTCCTAGGAGCTAACATGATTGCAGACGAGATGTGCAAACTCCATTTCGTCTTTTCTTTTTTGAGCCTTCTCCACATCTTTGTCTTTTCTATCCTCATCCACCTCTCTCCCTCCCTTTCTCATCTCTCATGCACGCACATGCTCACCATGTTTCTTATAGGCTTGAAAACATGCTTGCCTCATCATTTTATTTTGGTGTGCAAAGCCCTATTTCTCTCTTGGAATAAAGGACAGCCAAGCAGAATAGAGAATGCTCGGCTTCTCAAAGCACAGCGACATGATCATGCAACAGCTTCACTGGTGGATTCAGGAGAGCTCTCTGAGGGAAAGAGGAGGGCTCTGCGGCCATTGTAAGGACCACCCGGTCACTGAACTACCTACACTGGGGAATCAGAGTCCTTTGGATTTAACAAAGCTGAAAAAACAGAATGGTGGGATCTGATGGACATTGGAGGAGGGTTTTTGGGTTCGTTGCAGTGGAATTTTTTTTTAAATCTCTGTCATGGATTTCCTTTTTGAACACATGTAGATGTGGATATCTTTTCATGTGACAATGCGGATACTGGCTTTGTTTTCACCTTTATCGAGATTTCTTCTGATGTTTGAGAAAAAATGACAGAGTTCTACCTGGTACAGTCGCATGTGTTTTGTTCTCTTAAGTGTTGGTCTGTAAAGGAAGCAGTTCGATATTTATCTCACATTGCCTCTTTCTCTCTCTTTCTTTCTCTCACTTCTCTGCCTTTTGATCTTTCTTTTTCGCGCTTTGTTTTATGCTCTCCAGTCTGATAGTAATGCCAGTTACCTGCGAGCAGCCCGGGCAGGGAACCTTGAAAAGGTCATCGATTACATCAAGACTGGAGTTGAACTTAACATTTGCAATCAGGCAAGTTTTAAAAAAAACATTTATCACCGTTAATGAAGAGCTTCTTGAAATACATTCTTGTGTGACCTACACTAACTTTTATAAAATATCCCTTTCTTAGAATGGCCTAAATGCTCTTCACCTGGCCTCCAAAGAGGGGCATGTGGAGGTTGTTGCTGAGCTGTTGAAGCTTGGAGCCACTGTGGATGCAGCTACAAAGGTAAGGCACCCTCCATGATCCATCACAGCCCCACGGACATTACTAATAACTATATTTGGGTCCAGCACAAAGCATGGCTGCTGAATGGGATTAAACAGTTGTTAAGTGTGCAGCTTTCGTTGGTTATTTACATCTGGTCAATAATTTATGACCTCTATGGTTATTACTTCAGCAAAGAGAGAGAATTAGGAAAGAAAATGAAATATATTTTATCAAAAAATATCTAGCATGATGTATTGGATAATAATGGGATGTACACAAAGGTTGCAAATGGAGTGGGTGAAGTGCATTTTCTGAACTTTACGGAGTGGTATTTCTGAAAATGAAGGCTTCTTCACAGGATGCATATCTATTTTAATGCCAAAAAGAATTGAGAAGCAGAGTCATTAAAAAAATCATGCTTGTGCCCTCAAGGCTTCCACTCCCATTTAGCCTTCTGGGTTAGCCTCCCTGCTCTGGGCCACATGCCTAGTGCTGACACCAGTACAAGAAGCAATAAAATATTCAATGTCGATATGAAAGGCTCCCAATTAAAAAATCCCTTTATTTTGACCCAGGGGGTGTAGAGGGATTAATCTAAGATTAGTTTGTTTTTTCATGCAGCTAGCTCATGCAATCCCACTGAGGATCCCTTGACTTTGTTACATGGAGCTGCTGTTCAAAGTTAGTTGTGGGACCGCCTCTCTGACATTGTGCTGCTTTTGCCTGAGGAAAATTAAATGAGAAGACTTGTCTTCGGTTCATTACCCAAATAGCCCCTCGTAAAGCTTGGAATGGTAGAACTGTCAGAGAGTTGTAGATTTAAATTGTTGTAACTGTGCATGTTGTAATTTGTTTAATTTTACCGGTCTGTGAAGGCTCTCTGGTCTGTGTGTAATGTTCATAGATGCTTGTGAGAGATGTATTATTTTAGCTGTTATGGGGTCACTGTGCTGATTTGGACTAAACTTGAAAAAAATATTGTACAGCATTTTTGTGGTTTATTTCACATTCCCTTTAAATTTCCTTTCAGGAAACGTTCTTCTGGCTTAAATTCAAATCAAAAGCATGGTGAATCAAATATTTAACAGATTAAATGTTGAAAATATGTCACTGACTCAGTGTTGGGGTTTAATTAGGCAATTATAAAGCCAACCATCAATTGACATTTAAATGTGGCATACATGTTGGTTTCTTGACAGTCATTCAGCATTGAAATAACACTTTAAATTTTGTTTCAGTGTTTGACATCACGCATTCTGTCTGATGGTATTTAAAGGTTGTTTCACTCTCATTTTGCAGTCTCAGTCATCACCATAACAAGTCTGTCAGTATCTCAAGCAATTTGAAATAATTTATACTTTAGAAAATTGTATTTGAACAGGTCATCGGTTAAGTTTAATTTAGCATTTGGATCTTGCTAAATTAAAATAAAGAAAGATTTATGGCACAATCACTTGCAAGACTCACTCTTTACCCAATAGTCTGCCGATTGGTCAGCTTCAATGGCCAGATTATACACCCCCTCCACTACTTGGAATGAACTTTTGTCTTAAAATGCATTGCAATCAAAATACAGTATGAGAAAGGTAAATGATGAGTTGTGAATAATTTTAACTCTGGAAATACTATTACAAATGTAGTATTTTGTACAGTAATCGTACTGGATACTCCATATAAGTTGATCATGAGGCAAGATTACAACATCTGACATCAAATTAGATTGTCATGGAGACAGAAATATATCACAGTAAAAACAATGATTTAAATGAAAATAAATTGTGTGTGTGTGTGTGTGGTTGTTAGTCACAAAATTAAAACATATCTAGTCTCTAAACCATCATAAAGCAGCAGCAGAAACTTGCAGTAGAAGGGACTTTTTTTCTACTGTCATTCACATACGCAAATGTAGTATAAATTCTGTCTCTTCATTCGCCAGCCTTGGGTGTGAGTGGAGGGTATGTTTAATTTCCGTGTCGCATAATGTATTTGTGACGTGTAAATCCCAGTATCATGCAGCCAGGGGACAGTTTGAGTCAGTGCTGCCTTCTCTTTGACCTGTACACGTTCACGATAACCCTCCTGTAGTTTTATTTTAAGGCCGAGGCTCATTCATGTGTGCGACGTGGGGATCGGAAGTGACACATTGTTGGCAGTGCAAGCAGGTGGATGCCAGAGCAGGAATGCCAGCACTTCCAGCATGTGATTTGTGTGATGGGATTCATTAGGGCACATGGATACTGACATGGATATATATACAGACAGTGGAGGCAAAAAGTCACATACACATTGAAGCAAAATAGTGTGACAGGTGGGCCGGGGCTTAACATGCGTTCCTGTTGTTGTTTTGCGTAATCCAGAAAGGAAACACTGCTCTTCACATCTCTTCACTGGCTGGCCAGGCGGAAGTTGTCAAAGAGCTGGTTACAAATGGAGCCAATGTCAACGCTCAGTCTCAGGTGGGATATACTCTGAATGCACAAACAGACTTCCGCACAAAGTCAAGTGAGAACAAGATCCCTTTGATATGCTTTTCAAAGCAGAAGCAAATCATCTGGTTACTATGGTGCACACATTTGTCAAAACGATCCTGTATCAGGAATCAGGGCCACTGAGGGAATCACTCGGTGGAAAGATATCAGCTGACAGAATTAGGCATCATGCCAACTGGGCCTCTCCTGGAAACTGCAGTCCTTGCATTTCACATTTAACTCTACCGGCTCAAGGTGAGAAGAAAATTAAAGGCGCCTTTTTAGTTGATTCAATCACAAAACTTTATCAACCCCATTATGTTTTTTTAACTTCACCTAATGCATAGCCATATGCAAACAGTGGGAGAAAAGCAACGTTCTAGACAGCAAAATGAGATACAAACACATTTCAAGGAAACATGACAACACAACAAAAATCCACAATGTTTCTCCAAACATTTCAGTGTTCAGAACTGCAGAAAATGTTTTAAATAAGTGTGAACAGAGCTGTTTTGACATGTTTGCAAATGGGTGTGAATGTGTTTCGGTCCGTGCTGTGTACAGAATGGCTTCACTCCCCTGTACATGGCGGCCCAGGAGAATCACCTGGACGTGGTGCGGTTCCTCTTGGAGAACAGTGCCAGCCAGAGTATAGCCACAGAGGTACTGCACGCGTGTGCTTGTTTGTCTCTGTGTACATTGTATGTGTGCACTCATATGTGCATAAGTGTAAGTCCTGTGTCCATCTCTCCAAAGTCATACAGTATGTCTCCATGCATTTGCCTCAGTCATGTGTGGTCTTTACATCTGTTGTACTAACCATCTTCATCTCCTTTCCTCCTTTATTTACTTCCCTTTCTCCTTTGATCCCACTCCAATTCACCCCATATCTTCCTGTGTCTCCATCTGTTCTTATCTTTCTGTCTTCTTTTCACTTTCCTGTCTCTTTTTTTCTAATCCTCTGTCTCACAATCACACTCTGTCTACCTGTATTTCTCCCCCCCTTTGCTGCTTACCCTTCTCCTTTCCCCCATCCTGCCTCCCTGTCTCCCCCATCTCTTTATGAGGGCCTTGGCAGAGCCTCACTGATTGGTAGTGTATGTTGGTGGAGGCAGAGCGACCTTGAGTTGGTCACAGATGATGTCCGCTCTGCTGGCTGCCTCTCCTCCACCGCTGCTGCTGCGGCTGTGATTTATGCTGCTCCCTCTGTGGAACCCATACACTTGCATGCTTACCAGTCACTACACGTATACACACACCAACACGTGCATATGCACAGGTAGATAGCTGATGGGTTGCCATGCTGGTCCACATTCCATTGGCTGAAAAAACAAATGCCCTTCCCAAATCCCTTGTATATATTTGGACTATATCCATACACACAGAATTGCCCCCAAAGATCTGAACCTAAAGCAAGATCCTACTTAGATATCCTATTAATGGATCTTTTTTTTTAAATTACATTCAAAATGTAAGTATTTCCATAGATTTTTGGTGTGTAATCAAATAACATTCTATCTCTAACAGTATCTGATGTATAGTGTATAGATTTATCCTTAGAAACAAAGACCACCTGAAACTGATTATTAATATATTAACACATAGGTTTTTCTATTTCTTTGCTCCATGCTTACAACTAGGGACGTTTTTAAAAAAAACATTCTCCATAAATACCATTTCTCCACCATCTCCTCTTCATGTGAAATGTCCAGTCTCCCTTTAATACAATATGTTAGTTCTGTGGTCAGAAATGTGTTACAGCCTCCATTCAGTACCAGTGACTCTTCTCTCCTCTCACGTGCAGGATGGCTTCACCCCTCTGGCAGTTGCCCTCCAGCAGGGCCATGACCAGGTGGTCTCCCTGCTACTGGAGAACGATACAAAGGGCAAGGTACGCTTACCTGCCCTGCACATCGCTGCACGCAAGGACGACACCAAGGCCGCGGCCCTGCTCCTTCAGAACGACCACAACGCGGACGTTGAGTCCAAGGTGAGTGTACGGCTGATATTGTCCAGCTTTGTGGACAAATCTTCAGTTCATTGTTTTTTTTTTCTGGTTCGTTTTTTTTTACTTTGATTGTTCTTGTTTTTCACTTAATTTTTCTTCTTTTGTATTTTGCAAGCTTTCTTCGTAGTCTCTTTTTGCAGAAATGGAGAAAGGAGCTAAATTATCTTTGGATGAATTACACAAGACTTTCTTAATACATAGTATTATCATTCTAAAAATGATCTAAGCTCACAAGTTTCTTATCAGAAAATATTTTTATAGAATTTGAGCCATAAGTTTGACACTAAAACTGAATCACCTTACCTTTGAGCTTATACACTCCTCCGTTTCACACCAACGAAGGCGCTTTTCTGCTTTATTTTCTCACTAACTACTCATTCTCTCCTCTTCTGGCTGACTCTATAGATGATGGTGAATAGAACAACAGAGGTACATCGCTATCTGTACATTATGTAGTCTCCTCATCGCAGTTCATAAAAACTCTGAAAACAACAATCACTTCAGTGCCCCTGACTTGATACAGTAGTGTTTCTGCAGCCCTCTGTGACATCCCCTTTTCCATTTTAGCTCAGTGCCATCTTCCTCCTTTTCATTGCTTAATTAGTGTAGTGAATATCTCTGGTCATGAGGAAAATCAGAGCGATAGCGCATGTTCACTAATACCAACTGATTAATCCTGGTGCTAGAGGCTTGAGTATCAAGGCATGATTGCCTTGATTCAAATGGTTTCATGGTACCCAAAGCTGTCCAAAGTTTCATACTAATGGAAACATTTTTGTGACTGTTGACATGATATTGTTTGAGTGCGTCTTTATACAGTCCATCCATGAAACTGAAAGACCATGATAACCAGTGATCGCATGAAGAGTGGTCCTTAATCATCCACTTAAAAGCAGCAGATCGTTCATTACCTGCATGGCAACCAATTTCCCTTTAAGATTTCAGCAGCCGACATTCAGTTCAATTTGCTAGCAGTTTATCCTTTACCGTGTATCGTATTCTTCTAATTGTCAGTCCTTTCATCTAAAGCATTTTGCATGGGACCGAAGCAAAAAAAACTAACAAGGCATTGCTTCTGTGTTAACCATGGCGGCTTGGCCACACCAAAGCCAGGTGGCCACCTTCTGTGCGTTCGCCTGTTTTGGTTGGCTTTATTTCTGGCTTTGGCAGGCTCTATAGTCATCTGTTATGATTCACCCAAAAATGGCTTTGTTGATCTGAGGCTTGTGCATCGTGGTAAACTAATTTGCATATCACTCAAATGAAAGATGGAAAAAATGTTACTGAGGAATTTTAAGAACCTCCGATTAATTCTGTGCCTGCAACGTTTATACTGAGAGGCAGACTATGTAGCAAGAATGAATATTTTGTGTACCATACTCGTCCTGGTTGATCTGAAATTACTTTGTTTTGGAGTCAGCAACCTCCAAACACATGTGGGAAACACTTGTGAGCTCTTTTTGGTACTTTGGCATTTGAGATTCCAATGATTAGAAGGATTCATGTGAGACTGGCTTGCTTATTGGATAGACTGGTTCTGGTGTTCTCTTGTTGCTCTCACAGCTGTTGTTCTCTGACTCAGGAGTTATTACGAGAAAGTCCTCTCATTTAAAAGGTAAATAACTAGATATTGTGATGAGTTGAAAATTCATTTATTGTTAGTTTAAAGCGTTTCTGGATTTGCCAAGTATTGCATAAAACGGATTTGCCATGAAAGCCGACTTATAACTTTCAGATCTTGATAACTTTTGTGTATTTTGCTCTGCGTGGTTGTTAAAAGAGGAGTTGCATTTTAGAAACCTTAGCTGGCCCCATGTTTGATGCTTCAGAAAAGGCTTTGTAATGAAGTGATAGTTTAGCAGTAGAAATAAAGCATATCCTTGTTTTGAGTGTGACTGTTCTTCAAGCATAGACCTGCTGTCTGTTATTGAGCCAGTGGTCTTAACTTCTCCAAAATGTCGTGCCACTATTTCTAATATGATGTGCTTGCTTGTCTGTTTGTCTATTGTTGGGTTCCTTCAATCCTCAGAGTGGTTTCACCCCCCTCCACATCGCAGCTCATTATGGCAACATTAACGTGGCGACTCTTCTGCTGAACAGAGGGGCCGCTGTGGACTTCATGGCTCGGGTGAGTTTATTCTGCCCTCTGCTGTGTGGGGGGAGCATTGTAAGCTTTCATGGTGAACATGAACACAGTTATCTGCACTTTGGTGCCAAAAAAAACAGACACAGCAGTGAAATAAAGTTATAGTTTAATCTCTGTGATGTAAGCCTTCCATCTAATCTCATTATACCAATGTCGTATTGTTTCTTCTTCCTACAAACCAAAATAGTTCAATCAGTCTAATTTGTATGCACATTTTGTCATTATTACTGTACAGTGTTAGAAAGGGATCCTGTAACAATGACTCTATTAAACACAAAGGATCTGCAAATGAAATTGTGTTGTTTTACTACACAAATGTTTTCCAGAAATTTAAAAAATTCTTGCTCATTTGTTTTTATAAAAGATAACGATTTAACAACCTCCTGCCCAACCTTGGTTGGGCTAAACAAAAGTTTTGGAAACACATGGGAAAAATCCATTTTAAATGTGATTTTAAAATCCTACCTTGTGTAAACTGTTACTAAAACTGAAAGATTGTTTGCCACTGAAAGAAGGGGTCAAGCAAAGTGCATTATCCCACTCTCACTGTGTTCATTCAAACTGGTTGTTTTCCAGCAAAGGCCATCATTATCATTCATTCTAACTGTCCATACAGAGGCTTATTTACTGCTGTATTAACATTGTAATCAGAGCTAATGTTCCATTAAGATGTGTTTACACTTTAGATGTTTCCCGCCTATAGTTAACAGCAAACTAATAATTACTGTATCCGCTGGTGTGAGAAACAGTGGTGGTTGTGCTATTTTGACATTAATAATGGGGTTAAAGAGCAGTCTGCCTGCAGGCCCCACCCCCACCCTGAGTCAATATTCTAATCATGCTTTCCTTTACAGACCTTTTAAACTGGCATAGCAAATGTTCGCTTTTCAGTAAATTACTAATAATTCAATTTACAGCATCATTAAGTCCGTTTTTTTTCAATTTCCTATAGAATGACATCACACCACTTCATGTGGCATCAAAAAGAGGAAACAGCAACATGGTCAAACTGCTGCTGGACAGGGGATCCAAAATAGATGCGAAGACAAAGGTGAGACCTGATTTTAGCCACAAAATTCTAAGTTGCACAGAAATGTTGCACATGATGTTGGGTGATTTTTTTTTTCAAATGCATCGATCTACTTTGTCCATCCGCCTGAATTTTTCTCAGGCACATGGATGTGAAAAAGATGCTTTCACCTAAGGGCCATGACTGATCAATGAACTGTTATTATTCTTAGGATGGTCTGACACCTCTGCACTGTGGGGCGAGGAGTGGGCACGAACAGGTGGTAGAAATCCTGCTGGACCGAGGAGCTCCTATCCTTTCCAAAACCAAGGTAGCTACTATCATTATCAAACAGGACATATATCACATATCACTGGCTGTTATAAAAATAATAGAGAAGATTAGATAATCATTTCTAAGACATATAAAATTTTATTGATAACACCATGACTGTTTAAATCAGTTCTCCTAACCCCACAGAGCGATTTAAAATCTGTTATCCAATCAGAAAGCAGGTCTTTTGTTGCTGTAGTGTTGTCGCATTGTCTCCATAACGTCTGTGCGACCTCTCCAGAACAGCCTGTCTTCGCTGCGTAGCCCTACAGTTTGACCACGCAGGACCACCAGTGTAACAAAATAGACATTGTTGTAATGACCTCGTTATAACAATGCTTCTGTAACCTTCTCAGAAACTTCCTTCACAGTCTTTCTGTGCAGCATTTGGCCACGACCTAACTTCCTGTGTCTGTCTGTCCACCTGTCTATGTGTCCGTCTGCGTGTGTGTTTGTCTCTTTGGTCTGGCTCTCTCCTTGTCTCCCCCTCTCTCTCTCTCTTTCTTTCCCTCTCTCCATCCCCTTGTAGAATGGCCTGTCGCCGCTCCATATGGCCACTCAGGGGGACCACCTGAACTGTGTCCAGCTCCTGCTCCAGCACGACGTGCCTGTGGATGACGTGACCAACGACTACCTGACGGCGCTGCATGTTGCTGCACACTGTGGTCACTACAAGGTGGCCAAACTCATCGTGGACAAGAAGGCCAACCCAAATGCAAAGGCTCTGGTAGGAACAAAGGAATAAGGAGTCAGATCTGCAACAATCAGAATAAATTGATTATAATTAGTTGCTGATCGTTTTTATGTTCCTTTTTTTTTTAACTCGCTGTGGATTGAGATGTATCAAATCTTGTAGTGCAGGCTCAAACTGAGGGAATAAAAGGGTCTTCTTTGGCATTTGTTTAGTAATCCTTATTCAGACTGTTAACATTTATTCATCACTCTTTAGATGTCTCTATCAGACATGTTTCAGAATTGCAGATTTATTGTGGATGAAAATCTTATTTCTTTGTTTAATTAACCATGTAAGCATAATCACTTGTGTTTTTTGATTAGTTGTAACTGATGATAGAACATTTTTATGATAAACTTTTTTTTCCTCTGTGTGCAGAATGGTTTCACTCCACTTCATATTGCTTGCAAGAAAAACAGAGTCAAAGTAATGGAGCTGTTGCTAAAACACGGCGCATCTATTCAGGCTGTCACTGAGGTACTGCAACCCAGATTTTCTGACCTGTCTTTCAAAAAGCTTTGCCTGTGTTTGGACCAATGATTCAGTTTTTAATATGGAATTATCTTTATGCAGTCTGGTTTAACACCCATCCATGTGGCAGCCTTCATGGGGCATGAGAATATTGTCAATGCACTGATACATCATGGAGCATCACCCAACACAACCAATGTGGTGAGTGCCTGATATTTAACGCTGCTCGATACTTTTGCGTTGTTTCTGCTTAAGGCGACTATGTCAAATCTATTGCTGTATCTTTCAGCGAGGGGAGACAGCTCTCCACATGGCAGCTAGGGCAGGCCAGGCAGATGTGGTCCATTACCTGCTCAAGAACGGAGCCAAGGTGGAGACCAAGTCCAAGGTTAAGCCTTACTCTTATCCGCAATCTCGATGGGAAAACAAAAGGATGACACCACACTACAAGAGGCGACCTCTCTCTGTCCGCAGGACGATCAGACGGCGCTGCACATCTCCAGCCGACTGGGGAAAGTTGACATCGTCCAGCAGCTGCTGCATTGCGGCGCTTCTGCTAATGCTGCCACCACCTCGGGCTACACCCCCCTACACCTGGCCGCCCGCGAAGGACACCAAGACGTTGCCGCCATGCTGCTGGAGAACGGAGCCTCGCTCTCGTCTTCAACCAAGGTTGTTCTCTTTTCAATAGTGGAGCTCCTCTAGCACGTCTGCGACATCACACGGCCTTAAACAGACACTCGCTTTTTGGTGACCCGAGCTCTGCATTCCGCCACACTACTGTGCAGAGGATTTCTGCTTCCCTGGGCACCATGCATCTCCACTAGTGGGCATCAGCTTCTCTCTTCTCAGTGTAATGTGTGCGCATTCAGGAACCTTCTTTGTCCATGTGTATGATTTGTAGCTGAGGATTGCATTTAACGGTCACCTCTGTGGGTGAAGCAGATTGATGAAGGGTAAACCCTGCGGTGCTGCCTCCCCCTGTAACACACAGACACACACAGAGCATCTATCTGGACATCACCTGAGTCAGCTGTTCAGGGGAATGATGTCATTGCAACGTGGGAGCAGAGGAATTGGTTGATGGGAACCACAAACTAAATAATTAATGGTGTTTATGAAGCTTATTTATAGTCAGAGAAGCTGTATTTTTTCAAAGATTAAGACAGTTTCTCCCCTTGCTGGAACCTCTCGGAGACTGTCTTTTACTGTAGAGGTCATGTGAATGTTAACTAGAACCAGTCACACAAATTAGGTCATGTGTTTGAGAGCAAATGGGAAACTGTGGGAGTCCCACATTACTCTGGAAAATATGACCGCATGTCTTTAAATATCTTCACATACACACAGGAAGGAAGCTGAGATGGAAATGAACACACTGCTCAACAGTCATTTTTAGCATTATTACCCTTTAGGTTGGTATTAGTGTTCAGCGACAGGAAATGTTTTAATCCATGATATTTAGAGACTGACCAAAAAAAAACTTTGGTGAAAAACACAGTTGATGCATGCCATCCAAAAAATGGTCACAATCAAATGTTTCAACAGTTTTTACTTTTTCATCATTTGTGTAAAATCAGTCTTATCTTATGCTGAAATGTTTTAATGTCAGCTTTTTACCTATTAAAAAAAAAAATTATGCTGTATGTGAGAAACCGCGTCCAAGGATAATCTTAAATAATGAATAATGAATGTAGCAATTTCCCATTTGTATTTGATATGAACTTTCTCAGTTTCCACATAGTTTTTGTTATTAATTGCACTGTTGTCTCCTTCTCTGTGTCCAACAGAAAGGGTTCAGTCCATTGCATGTGGCAGCAAAATATGGCAAAATGGAGGTGGCCAGTTTGCTCCTACAGAAAAGAGCCCCGCCTGATGCTGCTGGAAAGGTGAGATGTCTGTGCATGGTGCACATCTCATTTCAGACAGAAGATCTAAAACTTGGCTAACATTTTTTAAGTGCAGGTTGGTTTTATCAGGATGAAGTATGGCATAAATTATTTGTACATCTATTCAGTTTTTCTAACATTTTTCCAGGTTTAACCTTTTTAGTAATTAGTGCAGTTTTCCTGTTGATATCTAACTAACAAATGGTTCACATACGTTAGTAATTTAGTCACAGCGAACAGTCATCATTCGGCAGGTTTTTCTGTCCCTCAGAGATTTTGTGAATGTATTTCGAAGCTGCAGCTGGACACAAAGCCGGTGGGGGTCATTATGAGGGGTGGCAAGTTTTGTCTGCTCCACAGCAACGCAGCCAGCAGATGCCTTTCTTGTTACAAAAATCTTACGGACAGATTTGCTTTTTCTACCCTGTTTCACACACACATACTTGACACACTTTTCTTAGCATAGGCCTTCTGGCATTCGTCTGTGCCACCATCTGAGAGCATTTAACATAATGGCTGTCAGGTATGATAATGAAGCTTCCTCAATGCATGGTGGTATCACACTGAAATCCGCCTTCTGTCAAACGCACAAAGTTAAATCAGGACTTGCACTCCAATTTAAGGTTTTCTAGTGAGGTTGGAAAAGAAAAAAACAAGTATTGAAGTACCATATAAAAAGATTTGTCAAAGTATCACTAAGTAAAATGAGGTATGTCAGACCATCCCTCAGTAAATCAAACAGAAGACAACAACGAAAAACATAAAAAACCTATACAAGTTTTAAGACTAACAAATTGACAATTGACACCTTGTGGATTAAATTAGCGTTTACAGATATTGTTAGATAATCTTTTCTGTAAAAACAAAAAATGTAAACAAATATTGTAGCATATTCATTTATTTAGAATTTTTCAAATATCTAAAACAGGACTTCCATTTTTATTTCACCCTTTCCATGTTTTGATCAGACACTATTCCAAAAAATGCAAAGTAGCAGCGTACGGTCATCAGACCAAGGCTTTTTTCAGCTTTTTTTTTAAATCAAAGCTCTTTTTAGTATAATTAGTCTGTTTTTGTGACAAAGAGAACCCCGAACTGATTCAGAAATGTTATTCCAAACACCATACAACATCTCCACCAGAGTATAGAATATACTTAATATTCCAGGCAGTTACAAAACCTTCACGAGAGCTTTTTTTGTCGGAAAAGTAGTGAAATGTTGTGAATGAATGTTTTATTCACAATTGTAAATGCTTTCATTACAATCTTCAATCACATAAGGGAACTTTCATGGGATCTGTTTTAAATACAGTTCAGTTTAATCCTCAATGATACCAAAAAAATGCCTTTAAAGAGTCTAACAAAGTCACAAAAGTGAAATGGAAAGAAACACCACCGCAGAAGAGACAGCCAGCCAGGTCATGCTGTACTTTTGTTTGTTTTTCTTTCTTTTAGCCTCTTAAAGATTTCAGCATGCAGTTTCTTCTCTAAACTCTCTGTTGTACTTAATAACTTTCTTCGGTTTGGTGTTGATCTTTCTCCCTTTCTTAATAGTACCTTGGTTAGGTTATAACATGGTACTTATCAGCGTGTTTGTGTATCTTCAGTGAACCTCTAACCTGCTGTTTTGTTGCACGCCTGCTTGTGTGTGTGTGTGTCTGTTTGCTTGGGTGGGTGTTTTAGAGTGGACTAACTCCACTGCATGTTGCCGCTCACTACGATAATCAGAGAGTGGCACTGCTGCTGTTGGATCAGGGAGCTTCTCCTCATGCTGCCGCCAAGGTATCTACACAAACACAGTAGAGACCAGTCAGAATGTCTTCTCCTGGCTCATGCTTTCAGCTCTCAACTCTCTATCCATGTGTGTGTGTAATTCTAACTCTAATCCATTTGTAAATGACATACAACTCATGAGCATGAATGCAGGACAAAGAAAAAGATGGCAGGATACATTGTGTTTTTCTTGTTACCATGTGACATCCTTCTAAAGGAGACAGAAACTTTGAGACAGATTTATCTATACCTCTGTAGTTCCATCTTCATGGCGCTGCCTCCTCCTCATTCTGTTTCTGTCGCTATTTATTTATGTTGTTTTACTACCTTAAACCAACCCTCTTCATTGTTCCTTCCTATCTGTCTTTCTCTCAGTTCCTCCCATGATAAATTGTTTCGTGTTAAAGCTGCTGCTCTTCATCTGTGATTCATCTGTGAAGCTAAAGCATCATTTTGACTGTTTTGAAATTGGTCCTGCATCCCAAAAAAGATGAAAACTTATTGTTGTCCGATTCAAAGACGGAAAATCGCTTGGAAATAATGCGTCCTCATATGGTTATTTTTAGAGCAAACAGCTCAAACTTTTACTCATTCAGCTCATCTTTTTGTTCTCTCACTCGTTTAAGCCAATATCTCCCCCATACAATGTAACTTCAAGGATTTAGAGAAATTACAATAAAATGTTCTTACTCTCAATGAGAAAGTTTCTAAAATCAAGTTAATGCTGTCTCTATCTTTAAGTTACACAACTGAATTTGGCAGATTTATTGCTCTTCAGCTCCTCGCAACAGCACTGTTATTTAAATAAACCTTTATGTGAATCTCACACATACATAGTCGTGCACATTAATCTATCATCATGCTAAAAGGACAAAGCTTAATGATGGGGCGTGGGCCTAGAAACCAAAAGCACGAGCTGGGATATCTCAGCCTTTAGAGGCCCGAGGACAGTTTCTGACCCGGGAATGTGCATGACAAAAATCTGTGAAAAAAATGCAGATTTTTTTGGTCCACAAACTTCTCTGTTGTAAGGAAAGCTGCTCTGGTCACTTTGAGTGAAGCATTCTTATTGTTGAGTATGTGCTACTCATGTCTCAAATGCCCATTTGAAAGTTATTTAAGGAATGACAGTTTTCGACATAACTATGTAACATAAAATTATCCTAAGGTTTGTGTTTGGGCACTTTGGAGCTGCTGAGTTCTGCACTTTTCCAGTGCACCTGCTCGAAAGAGGTCTAATGTCATTTGTTTGTGTCTTAGTAATATAACGAGGAAGTGGAGTCAAATTCATATAACTGACTCTAACTCCTCGGCTTCCCTACTGCTTATTCCAGAATGGTTACACACCCCTCCACATTGCTGCCAAGAAGAACCAAATGGACATTGGGACCACGCTGCTGGAGTACGGTGCCGACACCAACGCCATGACACGACAAGGGATCAGCCCCATTCACCTGGCAGCGCAGGAGGGCAGCGTGGACCTGGTGTCCCTGCTGCTGGCCAAGAACACCAACGTCAATGTGTGCAATAAGGTGAAGCACTTTTTGAAATTTGCTCAGAATTTTTTTGTTTGTTATTTGGGTTCCTTCAGAGATGACTCGCTTTCATCTCATTTGCTTCTCCATCAACCCATTTTTTGCATAGTTCACACATGTGTGTGTACTTTCATCATTTACAGAGCGGACTTACACCACTGCACTTGGCAGCTCAGGAAGATAAGGTCAACATTGCAGAGGTTCTTCTCAACAACGGGGCTGATGTAAACCCACAAACCAAGGTACAGTTTTACAAACCAGTACACACATAACAGACAGATTCACACCGCAAATACACACATAAGACAGAGCATCTTAATCCTTCTTTCTGCAATACAGGCTTGATATGGTCATCCGTTTGCTTTTGTCTTTATTTATTATTTGAAGTTGCTAATTCTACATTGATTTAATGCACTGGAAAAAAAAATACTCTCACACATTCTCATGTGCAAGCATCCATCATCTGCATAAAGCAGTGACGTCTGAGTGAATGGCGTTCTTGTCTATAAGGATGCGCCTCATCCTGCCTCTAACAGACATGAACAACCATAATGTTGAGCGGGACACCTCTCAAAGGCACATGTTCATTGAGACTGATGTGCAGGAGCTGAAGGTTGAGCCAACACAAGGTTATTTGCCGTGTGTTTGTGCTGACAGGAGAATTGTTTACAGCAAATGGGTTATTCACTCAGTGATCTCTATTAAGTGAAACTCTTTTACATAATTCATCAGGGAGATTAAATATGATGCAGTCTTCAAACATTTTTCTGAATCAGCAATATAGATGCATGCTAAAAAGGGAAGTGACTTTTGGAACATCAGTGTGTCTGAGAATAAATGTCAAATTGCACAATGAAAAAGAAACAAACTGGAATCTTTAATGTGAAAACTCTGCTTCTCCATGTCTTAGCAACAATGTTATTCTTGTTATGCTGTCTTTTCATGCCTGGGCCTTGATCTTTATCTGCTGTCCTGTGTGCAGATGGGTTATACTCCCCTCCATGTGGCTTGCCACTATGGTAATGCAAAGATGGCGGACTTCCTCCTCCAGAACCATGCCAGAATAAATGGCAAAACAAAGGTACATTATTATACAAAGAAACACAGCTTTGTGTTGCTACATAAGAACAATAATTATTTTCTGGGACTAACTGTGTTCGTGCCTGTATCTCTGTGCAGAATGGTTACACTCCTCTTCACCAAGCAGCTCAGCAGGGCCACACCCACATCATCAACCTGCTGCTTCAGCACGGGGCCTCAGCCAATGAGCTCACCATGGCGAGTTCACAATCCCACTCAGACATATGCACGCTTTCCGACAGAGCTGGAGCTGTTACGGTGCATGCGTTACTGTACTTTGTGTCCCCTTTGCTGTGAGTAACTCCCTCTCTGTCTGTCGCTGCTCAGAATGGGAACACTGCCCTGTCCATAGCCCGCCGTCTCGGGTACATCTCTGTGGTGGACACTCTGAGGCCCATGACGGATGAAAACCTGAACACAATGGTGAGACCAAGTGTTCCTCTCAGCCATATCTCACTAAGCCTCGTACGGGGACGTTTTTGTTGTATGGCCTATGGTTTTACATTTTTTAATACCTTAACAAAAGTTTTAACTGGCTAAATTTAAGTAAATTCTAAGCTCGCCCCCAGAGCTCTTCACCTCTTCCGGCACATAGTTGAAAGCTTCGAATGTTTGGCATATTATTTTCCTGTTGTATTTAAGAGCCATTTTCATTTCTATTGTGAACCTTCAAGCAGAAAATGTAGACACATAAGGCGGTACATCAGTGGGATCTTTTTTTTTTTCTGCATGTTTAGAAAAGTAAGAGTGAGTCTGTCAGCCCTCTGGAGTGTGAGTTCCTGAGCAGCCACAGTTAATCAAACAGTATGACAGAGTCCTCACCCAAATTAAAAATGTGACCGTTCAGCCACTGGCATGGTGTAAATGGAGTGAGCGCAGCAATACTGCAAATCAGCCAGCAAGTCCCTCAGTCACGCTGTGTCACGTGTGAAGTTGTCCTGATTAAGAGACAGAGAGGGCTTAGATTGGAGATTAAGGTTTCTCCTCACTTAGCTAAGGTTACAAACAGTGATCCTACCTACACATGTGTGTGGAAAGAAAAGAGTGAGGAAAACAAACAGCAAAAGAGATGTGTGTGTGATGATGAAGAGATGATGGGAGACAGAGGTGGTAAAAGACCCAGCGGAATCAGCAGCAAAGGGGTGGGACTGAAAGATCTAGGGCAATTTCTTTTATTATACAGAGACTTCCGCTGTTTTTTCCTCACTTGTGAGGTGTCATCTAGTATCTGCGGAACAACTGTGTTTTAAAAAAAAATCCAACATACCATCTCTATACCTGTAAAAATGGTTTGGGTGAATTTTCTGGGGAAATGTTTATTAGATATAAAAAAGGGAAAACATGTAAAGATGCACTTTGCAGCTGTTACTAATTTTGTGTGCATCTCACAATAGCATTGTGCGTTTTCTATGAAATACTAATTTTATCTCGTCGTATGTTTGTAGAGCGCATCGGAAAAACATAAGATTAATGTGCCGGAGACCATGAATGAGTTCCTCGACATGTCAGATGATGAAGGTATGTAAAAACGACTGGGCCCTGAAAATGAATTGAGGGATGACTCCAAAAAGTTGTTTGACACGTTTTATTCATCAGTTTGTTGCACAAATTCCAATAACCGTGTGCCGTTTTCATTCCCATGTGCATGATTCATTGTTTATGTATCTAAATCACACAGTTGAGGCAAATGTGCCAGAAATTCTCAATGAGGAGTCTTTTTCAGATGTTGACGAAGGTATTTGTAACCACTTTCAAGCTGCTTTTGTTTGACTTAAGATTGCCCATATAGTCAGAAAACTCATGCTTGGCTCTTCACGTCTAACATTTGCAATACTAACATTAAGCTTTGCTTTTTATCTTCATGTGAATCTTCAATTGTATTCATTGGCAGATGCATATGTTTTAGTCTTCATTAGTGATGTTTTTTCTCCAGTAGACCTGCTTATCATGCATATATGCTTTTATTAGAGTTAGTAACGGGTAAGGGGAGGATTAGACAGAGCAATTATTTCATTTTTCATTATTTGTTTACTTCTGTCCATCATCATTGTGAGAGAAAATCAGCAAACATTGAATTCTGTTGAGTTTCAGTTTTTAACCCATCAAAGCCTGTTTCTGTTGGCAAACCGACACAGATAACTTTTCTGTAACTATTTTTAAGTTTTATAAGGTACAATTTTAACAAACAAAAGTATCATGCTGCCTGATTCTCCTCATCAAAGACACTCTTGAGTTTCTCCCAACCCTGTAGTCAGAAAATGAAAACGAGGTCAGTGTAACTGTTTTTATCATTCAGATGAGGGACCGTGTGGAGCTCTAAAATTGTTTCTGTGTGTAAAACTCATCGAATAACCTTTGTAGTTGCACAGGAGGCAGTAGAATAGCTGCTGCACATCTGCAAAGCCAGGTTTACAGAGTAAGTCACATTGTGTCGAGCCGCCCACCTCAGTCCTCAGCACTTTGTTTTGGAACCACAGCGCTGACATGTTGTAAAATTGATGAGCTCGTTCATGGGCTGTTGCTCGGACAACAGTTGGGCAGGGGGGGGGGGGGGGGGGGGGGGGGGGGGGGGGGGAGTTTCTTTGCCAGGTGACACAGCTCGACTCAACTTGCATATCAAGTGATGGTGGATTACTTTGTTCTGAAGCGTCAAGTTGAATATTATGTGTGGCTTTGTGTTTTATAACTGCTATGCTGGAATTATAAAAAAGAGAATCTATGTGCTGGAGCTGCACACTGAGTAGACTGTATACATAATTCAGCAGCTGAGTTTGGACACGGTGTCCATGATTCTCACATAGCAGAAGAGCCTTCACTCTCTTGTCTTTATGTGATGTTTTCCCTCCGAGTGTGTGTATGTGAGTAACTCTTTAATCCTATATGGGGCAATCCTATTAAGCTGCAGGTTCCAGTGACTCTAAGAAGTCAGTGTGGTGTGTGGCTGGTTTGTGTTGTGTGGTTTTATATGGCATGCACACATCAGGGTTTATCCATATCAGTGTGGTTATGAAATGCAATGTGTAAAAAAAAAAAAAGCCTAAATTTGTTCTCCTCAGCTATTAATCACAGGGTGGAGTATCTCCAACGTGCCTATCACAGATTGCATCATCACAGCTGGCTGTGGTCTTGCATCATTTCTCATTTATTCGCTAATTCTTGTGCAAGTGCTGACGGTGGGCGCAACATGTGGAAGGAACCTTTAGAGTTGTTGCTCAAGAATAAGGGATGGCAAAACGATGCAAGGCGTGCAGCCAGATCGCCTCGTTCACTCCCACCCTCAGAGGCGTGCTCAGTGACAGTTTGTCTTCTTGTCTGGCCACTGTCCCCCTTCATCGGGGTTTCATTTGCTCCGGCCACCGGTCAGCTGACCGTCCTCTCTGCAGCCGTAAACACTTCCAGGGACGCTCACCCAGACTGTGTCATATGTGCTAGGGCTGAGAACGCGATGAGACTTACGCTTTCCTTTTTAAATCCACCGAGATGAGCTTTCTCTGAGCCGCCTGCAGAATTAACCCCGCTGTGGCCACTTAAGTCAGATGGCTTTGACTTCTGATGTTTCTGCTCGTCCTGGTGTCCAGTTTTTACAGCGAGGAGACACAAAAGGGAGTTTGGAATTTGAACTTCGGCTGAGGGAAGGCAGCTGAGATGCGCGCACAGGCAGCAAAACGCGCAACTTGGCTCGAGTGGAGTTGAGAGCTCGAGGAGAGGACAACCTAATCCATCGGCCACAGAAGCGAATGGATTTGTCGACTTTTGTCGTCCTAAATTCTCGCTGGATTTTCGGCTTTTGATCTGCGGACGTTTTGCGAGTCATTTGGAGACAACCAGAAGTCGTTAAGGAGATAAGCAGGGTTCTGATCAATATGGCTGAGATGGAAAAAGGTAAATTTCGGCAGGTATTTAAGCAAGTTTAAAGAGCCACAGTCACTGGAAGACACTTAAGTGAAAAGAACGTTTGGCCCATGTCAACACTCACATAGGATAGTATTTATTTATCACCTACGGAAGTCAATGGATCAGATTCTATTAATTGTATTTATTTCTGTTTGGTACTCGTATTGTTTTATTTCTTTAAAAGTAAATACTTGGAAATGTAGACAGGCAAAACTACGATGGTGGGCTGTGTGTGTGTGTGTGTGTGTGTGTGTGTGCGTTCGTGGGTCTGGACTGAGCATCTGAGCTTGAATGGGTATGTGGATTTTATTGTAGCTGCGGGAAGTCAATCCCATTTGCATCAAGTCAGAGAAAAAAATGTAAAAAAAAAACACAGGAAGCTCAGCTGTCAGTTTTACCGTCACAATAAAACCGTATCGTGGCACTGCAGCCTATTTAACTTTTAATCTGAATGGGTGGCTTTGCATACATTCTTCCTTCGTAGAGTTTTGGAAACTGGTGGAACATTTTTTTAACATAAAGCAGAGCTGGGACTGGCACATGTTTGCATGATGCTGAAACCACACTTGTTTTTCTTAAATCCGTGGATCTTACACTATTCTTATTATATCTTTGTGCTTAATATTTGTGATTATATTCAAATTGTTACACAATAACCACCGTGTTTTACAGGTTTAAAGAGAATGTAAATGATCCTTGTGGTAGTTGCATTGTTTTAAGAATAAATAGCATGAGGAGCTTCAGACTTAGTACACATACATACACGCCTCCCACTTGTTGACAGTTTACATTTAGTCCTTGTGGATGTGTTTGAAAAGAACGTGCTTGGGTTTCTGCTGAAGTGCTGATGGTTTAGTTTAGCATCAGGGATAATTCAATCCTCGGTCGTTAGTCTCAAACGCCTCCGTGTGGACGCGTTTTTATTTTGAAATCTGACACCGGAAGCACACGCGCACCTCGCATCGTCCGCCTTGATGATGGCCGTGGTGTGTGATCGGAGTGCGGCAGAACCGAAGGCAGGGGGAGGGGCTGCGGTGAAGGAGCGGAGCGTTGCGGGCAGCACACAGGCGGACATGAGGGAGAAGGGGAAGCACTACGGCCGCTCCGGCGGCTTCGCTGACCGGCGTGTCATCGTCCACCGCTCCGCTGACCGAGGTGCGCTACGGTTCTCAACTTCCATTGCGTGCTGGGCCGGAGCTTTTTTTTTTTTTTCTTTCTGCAGTCGGCATTTTCTGTGCTCCGTGCTTTGAATGGCTTGAAAAGAAGCTGCGTTTGGTTTTTACAAAGGGAGCTCCAGGCAGCCTTTTATCTGGAAAGAAGAAGCACTTCATCCTGTTGTGCCACAATCAGATGATTAGATGAGAAGAAAAGTTATGTTTGGTCATGTTGTTTTTGGGGATGTTTGGATTCCACAAATGAGTATTGGGCAGATAATGACCAAAGGCCCCCCTCTAAGTTCTCTACTAGAATATGTGGGAGGTAGATGCTGGCATTGATGGGTAGTTTTGTTTGCTGTGGTGCCGCAGTGAATCTCTTGACCGGATTGGCCCTTGAAGTTAACTGGAAGATGTTATGGTCTCACCCCCCCCCCCCCCCCCCCCCACCAGGTGAGGATGCCATGACCGGCGACACAGACAAATACCTGCGGCCTCAGGACCTCAAAGAGCTGGGCGACGACTCGCTCCCCCAGGAGGGCTACATGGGCTTCAGCATCGGAGCCCGCTCGGCCAGGTAGGCACCGGTCACTCAGTCCAGGCCTGTGTGGGTTTTATCTGACTGTGTCAGCTTAGGTCTGTGTCATCGTCCTCATCACTGATGCTGTGGTCATCTTGAGCTATGGATTTATGACGCCACGTCAGATACGTCATGTTTGTTGGTTATTTGAGGAGATGACCCCGGGTGCAACCGGTCCCCCAGAGCATAACAGAAATCACCAGAGAGAGAAGTTGGAAAGTTGCCACTTACTGATTCAACCTGACAAAATGATTCAGCGTTTTCCGTGACCTGATTCAAAAAGCAGACAAAAGCTATTAATGGTTTCGTAGAGCATGGGCAGAAACGTATGCCGTTTCTGTGGGCAAACGGCTGCACAGCTGGAGAGCCGCGGTGTCAAACAGTGGACAAAGTGTGGAGTGGAAAACTGGCAGGCCGCAGTGAAAACACATCACAGTGTACAGATGGCAAATGCTGGATTGATCAAAACAAACCAGGATAACCATGGCAGGAAGCTGCTTACATCAGCAAGCCATCACAAACAAGGGAAACTCTAAAATACATTGAGATATCTCATGTAAACACATTTATTTTATGGGTAGCTTCTTACTGGAAGGAGGAATTGTGACTGTTTTTAGTTATTTTTTTAAGCATACGATGTTGACCAGCATTTAGAATTTGGATTTATTTGTTCATTTTTACATTTTAGGACATCACTATTGCTAAAATGATCTGCAATGCTAGCAGTCAAAGAGACTGGATGAAATGTTTTGCTTGTTTGTGCCATTTATTCCTGTGCAGTTTTCTTTGACTGCATCTACTTTACCAGGGCTGTTTGAACCCTGCAAAACTTTTAATATCTCTTTTTACAGGAGTGGGAATCTTGAGAAATATGATGCTATAACATATAATGTTACAAAATAGTGTATTGATGAGTTGATGTATGATGCAGAGTGTTTTTCTTCTTTTCTGACCTTTCTGTTTGTGACATCGGCATTGCATGGTTTGCTTTTATTGAGCTCCGTACGCACAAAGATTCATGTAAACCTAAAAAATATTGGGCCTAGTTGTTAACCAGCCATGCAACAGCGCAGCATTAATGTCATTTTGTGAAGAGAAAGAGCCGCATCATGCATAAATGTCTTCCAAATGCTTTCCTTTTCACTCTTCTATTTTCTTTTTCTTCTTGTTCTCCTGCATCCCCTCCCTCATTCTAGCCCTAGAATCAGGTAAGGCAAGAGTAGTAGTTGTGTCGTAGAAGTAGGAAATTTTAGTTCTGAGTCGTGTCTATCCCTTGTCAACCCCAGCCCTGCACCCGTAGAGCCATTAAGTGTCCCTGTGTCTCTGTTTGTGACGGCAGATGTGTCACATTAGTGCCGTTAGATGTCTGCATTCCATCTTAGCTCAACATTCCCTTTCATTTTTCATCAGTCTGACCAGAAACACTGTGTGTCAGATTTGAAAATGAATGTTTTATTTTATTCAGGTGTGGTTAAAGAAGCTGTCGAGTTTCCCCTGCAACAAGAAAAGAAGCTCTTGTGTTTTGTCTAACGATGTGTGGACTAACCCCCCCCCCCCCCAAGTTCTGTTACATAGTGTGGTATCTGACACTATACGTTTGGAGCACCATTAAGTGTAACTTCCAGGGATCAAACCCATCTTTGTTTTGATCATCCACCTCAGTTGGCCCCTCTGTTTTCATGCCAGTAATTGAAGATAACCCCAATTGTTCGCAGAAGTTCACTAAATAATGGTTTGCAGAGATGGAAAGCTCGCAGCCAAATTGAGTCGTTCCCTCATATTTGGACGCATTCACGAGACACTCACACAGATGCACAATGGCTCATTTGTCAACAGTTGTCTTTGTGAGTCCACACCCACTTCAGCCCACTGACATTTACACAGAGATATTAAATAGAAAAAGGGGAAGTGCAGTTTACAGCAAATCAGACCGGGGGAGCACCAGGAGAGGCGTGAAAGAGGAAGGGAGGTGACGGGGAAGGATGGGGTTAGAGGAAAACGGCACGTAGGAGCACACTGCACAGTTTGGGCACAACGTGGCCCTGACGTGATGTCGGAGGGGCTTTTAAAGAGAGAAGTCACATGGGCAAACAGAAGATTGACCACACTGATGGGAAAAGATGGATGTCCGGGGAAGAGAAGAGGATGTACAGAATGAGAAAGAGGAGGAAGCTGTGAAGAACAAATAGGGTCTGGGTGAGAACAAAAAGGGGGGGGGGGGGGGGGCTGGCATGCCAGCCAGTCCATTCAGCCTGCACAGAGTTGCTTGGTAACTTCGATGGGGTAGGCAGACTCTGCTGAATAAAGGGCTTCTCTCTGTGCTGAATAGTGTGCCCACTCAAACCCGCTGAGCTCGGCAATTTCTCCCCCATAGCATCCCTGTCCTCTCCCCCCTTCGCGCTCCCGCACACGGCGCATCAGTACACACATACAGTATTCAGTCACAGGAGATACAGCACAGGCCCGTCAGCTTCGGTTTGGGGTTATTTAAGCGTTTTCCAAGTCGCTTATCCCGCTTCTGTACCACAAACAACACAAACTACGTGTCCGCGTTTGAACAGACACACTTGGTTTTTTCTACACTGGTCCTGGCCATGTAGAAAAAACTGCACAAGGATAAAAAAAAAAACTGAAAGAATCTCCAGCGCTGCATTGAGGCTGCAAAAAAACAGGCTCACGTCACCGCACACTGCCATAAAGCAGACTGCAGCACAGCAGATAGAAGAGGCTACTCTGGATTTCACTCTAAAGCACCACCTGCTCAGCTGATCTCAGAATAAGGACTGTTAATGGGAACTGAGGGATTTTAAAGTTTAAATGTTTTCTTTCTTTCTTTTCTTTTTTGCTATTTACGTCACATAGAAACTTTTCACCCCTCACACTCTGTCCAGGTGCATACATGGAGAATTTGCTGATCCGTCTATTTCACCTTTTAGATGCGCATAATTTGGTCACAGGCTCCTACATCTCGTGCAATTTATGTCTTTTTAGAGAATCAGTTATTAGTTTATCTGCCCATTTCTCATCTTTCTCTTCCCCTGTCCCTCTATCTCTTAATGCAAACAAACCGAGCCGGCTCTCATTTCCATCTCTGAACAACCAGCTGCAGTGTCTCAGCCCTGTTTATCTGCGGACTCTTCCGCCTCTTTCCATTCTCCCCCTGACAACTGGACTCTCTGTCCAGAAAGTAAATCCTGTTTCCCTGGAGGTTGCATATAGTAATGGATTCCTTGCTTCTTTTTTTTTTTTGGTGCCGTGTCCCCCTGCCCGTCACTTGTTGTTGCCCGTGGCGCCGGGTTGCATGGTAACGTGTAGCCTCCGCTCCTTCAGTTCGGATAGGTCCAACACGCTCAACAGGAGTTCGTTTGCTCGAGACAGCATGATGATTGAGGAGATTCTGGCCCCCACAAAAGACACAGTAAGTTCTACCTTCTATCACTCAGCCCCCTTGAACTGTTTCCTTCGTTGGTGTTTTTGACTGTCTTTGAGCTTTAATGTCTTTATTTGTCAGAGCGCCTGGTAAATGATGGATTTTCCTCATAACCTTTTGCGTTCTTTCTTTATATTTTTGGCTTGGTCATAATACAGGCTTGACATATCAGAGCAAGAAGATGAGTAGTTTTATTTCACACACAAGGACTTCAAAGTGAAAATCACCTTGATTCGGTGTTGTTGCCGTCCTCTCTGCTCTGCGGGGCTTGTTGCTCATGCTGGCGGGCAGAAACTGTAGCTGCTCAGGTTATAAACAATATTAGAATTTCAAGTTTAGTATAACCCGCATTTATAATATAATAATAGCCACGGTATTGCAAATAGCTTGGAAAAATGAGCTGGTATAATTTAACGTCTTTACATATATTTCATTTTTTCAGATGATAAAATGTTGTTTGGATTAAAATTCTTAATTGAAAAAGACAAATTTGAGAAACTTCATTTGACTGGACGACAGTGAATCTAGTGCAACTTCTTAAACTGCTTCTCTTCTCCTTTTAAGCTTCAAAGTGTCTGTAAAGACATTTCCTACTTGGTTGACCCCCTCAATAAGGTATAATTGTTGACGGATGTCCACTCGTTTGTCAGTTTGTTATTTATCGTCACCGTGGCTCATATTCAATTTCGCATTCAGTTTTCTGTATTTGCTGGTTTTGGGTCTGTGCCATTCTCATGTCCTCATTTCTGCCGTTTTCACCGTGTGGTCATTCCCATGCTCCTGCCAGCACACACAAGTACCCAGAATTAGTATTCCCATACACAAGATGACCTCTAGTTTGCAGATTTTTGTGTATGGGGTTTGTTAGTTGTCATTTTTTGCCGACATTTGCTGTTTGATTCTGTGTTTCATACTTAATCTGTTTTTGGGCCTCTGTAAATGGTTCATACCACGCATGACTTGAGGGTCATTTCTATCCATTCAGTGAATGCCTTTTATTCCTTGTTGATTATCGTCTCTTCTCTCTCTTCCCCTGCATCCTTGGATCCTCCAGCACCTCGCCGTGAGCAGGGACCAAAGCTCAGAATGTATGAGGCGCTACAGCTGGACCCCGGACACCATGGACCACAGCCACAACACTGTGTCCAGCCCCATTCACTCCGGGTAAGCACAGACGCTTCCTCATTTCATCTGCAAAGAGCTGTTCCTCATCATACGCAGCACTAGAGCAGCATATATACTGCATGACCATCCTCATCACTGCTGCACAAACTGTGGTGTTGTTTATTTTTTTATTTTTTTTCGCTTTCCCTCCAAAGAGTCGATAATCAGCAGAGCCGGTAGCACCGATGCAGAGCTGTGGGAATTCTGCAGCGGTCCTGCCTCACACATTAGATCACAGCAACACTTTTAATCCGCCAAAGCTCTCGTGTCGGACCAAAAGTCTCGAGACGTGGCCCAGAAGCACCTTCTTGTTCACTGGCTGTGTGCTATTTCTGTCGTTAGCGAAGCACCACGGGCTCAGCGCGAGCTGTCGGCACAGAGGCTCACGCCTTCCATTTGAATAAAACTGATAAAACGTAGCTTTCATGTCGCATCTTTGAATATGTGACATCATAAACTGGTTTGGGCTGCTTTAAAAGAACACAGCTGTCTTTGCACAGAGCTTTACTTACAAATGTCTCTGGTGTGACTCATAAATTAGATACCGAGCCTGCATCTCTAATTTTCCACCATTTCTTGCCCCGTACATGTGGACATCATTTTTTTTTGTCGGACACTGTGTCTTAGTTTGTCTCCCTCGAGTTTTTTTCGTCTTCTTTCATCTACAGCAGACATTACAGATCCCTTGAGTGCTTGTGAAACGTTGATACTAAAACTAGGTCCTGGGGGTTTGCCTCCTGCATTGTCTCCATGTGTTTACTTTGCAGCTTGTCCTCCCCGCTCCCTCAGTATGACTCCAGGTGATGACTGAGCTCGCTGCTTACAGCCCTGATGCCGCAGTGATGTCACTCACTCCTCCACCTCTGTCCCTCTCTCACCTCGCCACTGATCGTTTCATCTGTGTGATCTGCTGTTTTCATTTGCACTGCCTAGATGTTAGACGTGTGTTGGGAGTTTCGTTTTTGGGCCATCTCGTTCTCTCATGGTGCACATTAACAAGAAATCCTCCACAAAACCTTTTGGGGATTGTACCATTTGCATCACGCTATATGAATAAAAAAAATAACACTTTAAGTGAGAGTTTTCTATGCCTACACACAACCTTATTCTCCCTGCTGTTGGGATTTCTTGGTTATGGGATAACTTAAACATGCTCTTGATTTAGAGATAAGAACACAAGACAGCAGGCACATTAACCAGTGTTGGTAGAACATTTGTGACGTGTTTAATATTTGCTTTAGAGGGACTGAATCTTTGACAACAGTCTCACCTTCAGCCTCAGGAGTGGAAACTAAACCTTCTTCTTAAGGATCCCGTTTAGTTTCAGACAGTGTTTGACTTTCTTGATTGAGACAGCTGAAGGTGAGCGCTGCCAAGTTTCAGAGCTCAAAGCATCTTCTTTCCTCTTTCCCTTCCTCCAGCTCACTCTCTATTTTTCCTCATCCCTGTCTTTTCCTTTATTTGGATGTACGGTGATCACAGCATGGGAATCGTCCTCACTTGTGTCCATGGCTACCGTCTGGCTTTCTCTTTTGTGCAGTTTTTCTTCCCCTCACATTGTACTTTTCCCACTTGCAGGTTCTTAGTGAGCTTCATGGTGGATGCCCGTGGTGGTTCAATGAGAGGCAGCCGCCACAACGGCATGCGCATCATCATCCCTCCCCGGAAGTGCACCGCCCCCACCCGCATCACCTGCCGTTTGGCCAAAAAGCACAAGTTGGCTTACCCACCGCCCATGGTGGAGGGAGAGGGGCTTGTCAGCCGGCTGGTAGAGGTCGGGCCCGCCGGCGCTCAGTTCCTTGGGTATGTTTTGAACAGGGCTAGATTGGAAATGGCATTATCACTCAGATTGTGTTTGGATTTTCAGAAATGGGATTAAACCATTCAAATAATCTTTTCTTTTTTTTTAGCCCTGTGATCGTAGAGATTCCCCATTTTGGATCAATGCGAGGGAAAGAAAGGGAGTTGATTGTGTTGAGGAGTGATAATGGTGACACGTGGAAGGAGCACCAGACCGACGCCAGACTAGAGGACCTCACTGACCTGCTTTTTGGCATGGATGAGGGTAATGAAAACATTTTATTCAATCCACAGACAAGCTTGGCTGTTGGATTAGTCTCTTATTTTTTTCATTAGAGCTAACACCAAATAGTACCACAAAAGTGTTATGTTTGTAGTTCTTATCGAATTGGCTTTTTAGAAAAGTACAAAGAATGTTTCATATATATTTATGAAAATCATATTTTCTGACGCAGAGCTGGACAGTCCCATCGAGTTGGAGAAGAAGCGCATTTGCCGCATTGTCACCCGAGATTTTCCTCAGTATTTTGCTGTGGTGTCAAGGATCAAGCAGGAGTCTAACCACATGGGTCCTGATGGAGGCATACTGTCCTGCAGCACTGTGCCCATGGTGCAGGCCTCATTCCCACAAGGGGCTCTCACCAAGAGGATCCGGGTTGGCCTACAGGTACAGTGCAGCTCCATGGATTATCTCATTCTTGACTATATTTTTTTTATTTCTTTGAAATAACCATGCACGTGACTGATTCTTTATCTATACATTACCATTTTTGACCTGGGTGGATCTTTACTCTCATAGATATTCAGGAGAAGTAGAATTGAGAGTTTTTTCTTTCTTTAAAAAAAAAACTCAGCTGACTATAATATCTTTTTTGTTTGTTTGACTTTTCTGTCTCTGTCTTTTTTGCTCTTTCAGGCCCAGCCTGTACCGGACGACATGGTGAGAGCGGTGCTTGGAAACAGAGCCACTTTCAGTCCCATCGTCACTGTAGAGCCACGGAGGAGAAAGTTCCACAAGCCAATCACCATGACGATCCCCGTTCCTCCGAGATCGGCAGAAGGACATCCCAGCGGCCGCCGAGGCGACGCTGCACCATGCCTGCGTCTACTCTGCAGCATCACAGGCAAGTGTCCCTTCCCCCCAAACTGCCTCTCCTGAACAGGTCAGAAGTAACGTCTGGTGTTGACACTAGAGGAACTCACTGCAAACTTGAACGTGTAACACTGGTAGTTGCTATAACTCCAAATTGTATAACATTGTATAAAGAGCTTAGAATATCAAAGGATGATTGAAGGATAAAACACAGACTTGTTAACTCGTATTTCGGGCTTTTTCCTGCAGGAGGGACATCTCCTGCACAGTGGGAAGACATCACAGGAACCACTCCTCTGTCCTTTGTAACGGACTGCGTCTCCTTCACCACAAATGTGTCGGCCAGGTGAGAAATCGGTGCCTATAGATACTTACCTTACTGCTGACTACTATATGCCATATATCCAAACAATACAATAAGGATTTGATTTATAAAGTTATTTCCAGAGGACCAGAAGCGTGACAAAACTCTCATGTTTGTGCAAACCTTCATGTAATTGGATAACTTTAACTTGTTTATTGAATTAATCATGAGACTTCAGGTTACTTCTCTTTTCCTTTTTGACCTTTTTATAACAAAGAATTTTGCGTGTGCCCTGCAGATAGGTTTACAATTACATCGTAGATCGCCATGGCTCACAGCTTAACTGACCTCAGAATAGCAGCGTTTCGGTTACAGTACAAAAAGTCATGAACTCTCATCATTGCAAGATCTGAATCATGTGGTGTGTCTGCAGCCTGATATTAACAGACCTCCATTGGTCCTCTGAAATTAGACTACAATTCAAATGCCATGTGTCTGTGGGCCACTTTGTTTGGTTCGTTGTTTATGTTAAACTGTTGGTTACACTGAAAAGCTGCGGAGCAGTTTGAACGCATTTGTGTTGTTGAACCTCTTTCCTTTCAAACCTCACCTCGGATTGTTCCCCCCCAGGTTCTGGCTCGCAGACTGTCACCAGATTCCTGAGACGGTGAGTCTAGCGTCTCAGTTATACCGGGAGCTGATCTGCGTGCCGTACCTGGCCAAGTTTGTGGTGTTTGCCAAGATGAACGACGCTGTTGAGGCGAGGCTGCGCTGCTTCTGCATGACAGACGACAAGGTGGACAAGACACTCGAGCAACAGGAAAACTTTGAAGAAGTGGCACGGAGCAAAGATATCGAGGTGTGCTGCATATGTAGACACGCAAACACTGTTCTGAAATAACCGCCCTTCCACACATAGAATAAGTACATTTTTAGGCTGACAAATATTGATATATTATATAATATTACATATTAGCTCCATCTGTGTTGTACCACAGCAATTATCAGCTGAAGCAAAAGGTGATGTTCAATTCACCAGAGGGCTCCTAATCTGCACCAGTACAGCTGTTTGTTAGATGAGAAGATGCACCACCTGTCAAAGCTCTGTGCGCTTACTGGAGCTGTCATATTCTCAAAATAAACCCATGTAATACTAACAAGACCACAGCATCATTAAACTAAATGTGAGTGGATGGGATTGCTTAAAACACATAGACTTCCTTTACAGTACCTTTGTACAGGAGCTCATTAAGGAAGGTAAAACCTTGGACTTGAAGACTTATAACTGCACTGTTATGCATTTAGTCATTTGAGCTGTCAGAAAACGCAGAACAGTTGATCAGAAGTCAAATGAACCCATTGCTGCTGTGTGTGTGTGTCTGTTTGTTCATGTGACCACTTCTGTTCAGACGATTTGAAATTGATACGTATATGTTACTTAGTCTGGCTTTGTCAGGTTGCAACGTGCACTTAGAGGGTAAATTAACTCATGGCAACAAGATATTCTGTTGCCACCTGATTGATGGAAAGAAGTGCGTCTGAAATGACTATATAAAGTACCACATAAAGTACCACAGTAAACACGCTGCCATGATACATGTTTGATCATTGCACTTCTGCAGGTTCTTGAGGGCAAGCCCATCCATGTGGATTGTTATGGAAACCTGTCTCCTCTGACAAAAAGTGGGCAGCAGTTGGTTTTCAACTTTTACTCCTTTAAGGAAAACAGACTCCCTTTCAACGTGAAGGTATAGAGTTTCCTCTGCATCAACTTTCTTTCTCTTAACAGTTATTTGTCATGTTAACTGACCTTCATAGCACAGGGCCTTTTTGCCATTTCTTTTGCAATTTCTACAGAGAGCAACAGAAAAATAAATCAGGCTGTATGATAAAGTGAATGAATCAGATTAACATACAGGTCTTTTACTTTCATGCTAAGTAGAAAATACAATGTTTGCCTGTAACATTTACAGTATATTGAGAAAGACCAGTGTGAGTTTAAACAAAAGGTTGAGGGGAAAAAAAACCACAAAAACCCTCCCTTTGGAATTAGGAAAAAAGCTTTTCACCCTTTGTGCCAGTGCCTTTCAGCTGCTGACGTAGTCTTTTTGCCATCACCAAACAGATCAGAGATATGGGCCAGGAACCATGTGGCCGTCTCTCCTTCCTGAGAGAGCCCAAATCCACAAAAGGCCTTCCGCAGGCTGCAATATGCAATTTGAATATAACACTGCCAACCCACAAGAAGGTAGGATCACCATGTTTGTCCTTTTCATTATATGAGGCCATATCACATCATCTCTGTGTAAATAAAGTTGCCATAAAGAGAGTTCTGCTGTCCTGACATCAAGAGAAGCCACTGAAGCTGATTCGGTTTAGAGATGACTGCCTGTTGCTTGTGTCTTTTATCAATGTTACAGCCTGTGCCAGTCTAAAGACCCCACAATGTACATATGCAGCCACACAATGCACACCATGCTTTGTTCTGTTGCCTGGCGGCTCTTTGTGGGAACACAACAATCATGCTAAAAGAAAAGCAATAAGTCTTGTTCGTTTGTTGTGGTGTTGATTGATCACAAGAAACTGTAATTATTTTCGCTTTTGCTTTTGTTATTTTGCCTGTTTGTTTTATCTATTAATCCCATAGATTATTTCTGATGCCTTTTGTTGTTTTTGCTGCTCCATTTTCATCCCCTGAGTTTTATTTCCACCTCCCCGCTCACTATAACTCCCCTGCTCTCCATTGTGTCATCTTTCTCCCCTCCTGCAATGCATCTTGGAATACCACAGGATTTGGAGTCTGATCCTGATGATGAGGTAAACAGATTCTTCATCATCACATGGAACCGCTTCTTCTCTATGTTTTCTTTTTCTGTTGGCGTTATTGCAGATGCTGTGTTGAAAATGATTTGTCGCTTTAATATGCTGCCGTCTGCACCTTTTTTACACAGCTATGATGTTATCGAAATGACCCTATGTGGTGCATGTGAATGGCAATTTTAATCAGCAAAGATTTGTTTATTGTTGTGTTCACCCCAATTGCAGCAGAGAAAATAGCTTTGCCACATCTCGGCTTGTTTTTCATCTCGACCTTCCTTCCCATACTTGTTCAATAGGAACTCATTATTACTACTAACTCATAGGGACTCTTGTGTTTATGCCAGCTAAAGATGAGACCGTAATTATTATAATTTGTCCACTTTTTCATTGTTTTGTTGTGTCTGGGGTTGCCCTTGTTTCCCCCTGTGTTCTAGTCTTCTGTGACAGGAATACTGGAGCTCTCAACTGCATGCCAAAAACATTTAATATGGTTTAGGAAAAAGCAGTATTTTTCTGTTTTATGTTTCGAACTTTACATGAAACAGAAAAGCACACGAATGTCAAAATTTCCAGATGACTATAACGTTACAACTAATAACTAAATTTTTGTTAAGTGAAGACAACTCGATTTTATCAAGTCCCTCAAAAAATTTAATTGACATGACTAATTTTAATTCAAGAGGTTTATTTTGATCCCATGTTTGTGAACTGAGGAAGGTATCTTGAGGATGAGGAAGAATTCAAATAAATAAAAGACCTACATGGAAGTTGAAGTAGAGGGAAGCAGTAAAACGATCCTTTTGTCTCGAGTTAACGCACTAAAAAGTATACTTGCAGTGCCTCCTTGACCCAACACTAACAGCATGCACAGGCTCACTGAAAACATGACTATGCACTGTAGTTAACTAAGTTAACAGGCTGATAGGTTAGAAAAGCACATCTTTATATTTTTATGTTAAATATTTTTTGTTCCTTTTTGTTTGTTTCAGACTGAAAAGCCAGAGAGACGTCATACCTTTGCCTCCTTAGCTTTGCGTAAGCGCTACAGCTATTTGACTGATCCAGCAGCGAGTGAGTGCCCCATTTTTACTTTAATAATATTTGAACAGATCTTTGTTATTGTTGTAATATTATTGAGTCTCAATGCCTGAAGGTTACAATATATTTCAGTTTTTCATATTTCTGTCAAAGACATATTAGAATGACAAAATACTTGACAAATCATGTTCATCAATCATTTATTCCTTCTACCGGACACATGCTCACATACCATTGGCCCCTCATTAAACATCTGCATGGTTTTCTGTGTGTTACGCTTTGCTTATACATCCTATGTTGGAAAAAAATGCCTCCCTGTGTCAGTTGTTTTACCACTTTTACATTTGTGTCAACATTGGGAATTCATGTCTGTCTGCTCTTTAAGCATTTGAGAGAAAAGTATTTTAAGTCATGTTGAATAAATATATTCTTTCGACTTGTTCCGATTCTTTGAGTGACCAATTCACTCTTTTATTGGCTTCATGATTGTCTGTGGCTGTATAATTAATGCCTAACAGGTTGCACTTTACATTCACAGTTGCTCTATTAGAGGAAATAATTTTGCATTTCCTGCTGTTTACTATTTGATAAGATATATATTTCCATAGGCCATACTTCTGAGTTGTTGATTAATCTCAAAACTGAGCCCGCCATCATATATCTCACATTCCATTCCAAGTTAGAAAGGGCATGAAATTACTGATTTTATTTTTGTAAAGTGCAACCTTATATTTGAAGTCATAACTAAACAATTGAGATCATCTATTATTTTTATTGATAGTACACACTTGTGGGGTCCTCTGGCATTGAAATATATCTATGATAGATCAAATAATTATAAACATTTTCGTTTTGTATGTGCAGTAAAGGAACTGTTGTTAAGAAACAATTTCAATTTTCAGTTTCAAAATCAGTATTGAAATCAAAAGTCAGTGGAACTTTGTTAGTTACATGTATCATGTCTTTATTTTTGTCACCTTGTCATTTCATTTTATTTCTTATCCATTCTCCAGTCTGTAATGAGAGAATTTTTCCATTCAACCATTGTCACTTGGTATCTTGTAATTTTGGTGTAAAATGTTGCCTTGTTGCTGTGCATATTGCCCTCTCTGACTGACTTAAATTTCTCTTTCTGGTTTTTATGTTTTATTTGGAATTATTTTATGTTCATTTTATGTTGGCTCCTTATTGCTTTTCATTTGCAATTATTGTTGAAGAAACATCTGATCGAAGCTCGCCACGATCACAGCCTTCTAGCCAGCCTCACAAACCTGTCTTTTCAACGAGATCTTATCAGGCGTGGTCGCCTGTTCCTGTCGCCATCCCTGGCCAAGCCAAGTCTGGGTTTGGCTCCCTCTCCAGTTCGTCATCCAACACGCCTTCTGCCTCTCCATTAAAGTCTGTCTGGTCCATCAACTCTGCTTCCCCCATCAAGACCAACATCCCTGGATCACCCGCATCCTCTGTAAAGTCAGTTAGTGATACTGCCTCTCCCATCCGATCCTACAGAACCATCTCGTCTCCAATAAAGACAGTAGTCCAGCAAGCTCAGTACCCTGTCCAGGTCACCCCCAGCCCCCTGGCCTCCCCAGGCAAAAGTGCTCCAGATCCTCTATCTATGAAGGGATTGACAGCATTGTCAACTAGGACCTCCCCCATAACTACCTCTGGATCAGGAAACATGGGTCTGACCCCACCGACCTCCCCAAAATCTTCTCTAAATATGTTCAATTCTCCTCTTTCATATAAGACGATATTGGGAACCTCTAGTGGAACAACATCATCCTCTTCACCCATAAAAACAGTCCCTGGCCTCTCTTCTGTTCGCTCTTTTGCAGCTGATGCAACTGGTTCTGCAAGAAATCTGTTCTCCTCGCTCTCATCACCTCTGAAATCCAACAACTCCTCAAATGCTGCTGCTCTGATCAATGGAACTGTGTCACCAACACAATACCGCTCTTCCTCCCCAACATCTCTTCTCACCAGCAGTCTGCAAGAAAGAATACAAGCAACCACCAATGCTGCAACTACAAGTGTAAATGCAGCCTTTGATGAAGTTGAAAAGACTTTTAATTCTTGCTCTGCAGGCTATGGCACCCTTAAATCTTTGTCTTCCTCTGCATCCTCTTCATATCAGTCTATTAGATCATCAGCGTCTAGTTCCCTTTATGCCTCTCTAAGGTCCCCACCTAATGCCACTACTGCTGTAACATCAAGCACCATGACTGTTCCAGTGTACTCTGTTATAAATGTCCTGCCAGAGCCCCAGTTTAAAAAGTTACCTGAAGTGTCCAAATCAGCTGCTGCTCTTTTGTCCCCTAGGAAAACTTTGCCCGCTGAGGTGAATCCTCAGTCCTCCTTTGTAAGAACTCTTTCTCCCATCAAAACCCCTCTTTTTCCTGCTGGCATCAAATCCAACAGTATATCACCACTTTCATCCAGCCAAGAGATTCTGAAGGATGTAGCTGAAATGAAGGAAGACCTAATAAGAATGTCAGCCATTTTGCAGACAGACCCAAATTCTACAGCAAGTAAAGGATTGCAGTCTGATTCTCCCAGGGAGGGTAAGATAGAAGATGAGGAGCCATATCGGATTGTGGAGAAAGTGAAACAAGATTTGGTAAAAGTCAGTGAAATCCTCACCAAAGATGCTAGGAAGGATGGTCGGGCCTCCCCTGCAAGGGGTACATTGGATGACATACACTTCTCTAAAGTACAAGTTGAACAACCACCAAGCAACTGGAGCTACCCTCCAAGATATGAGACGGTGGTTCCCCAAGCCAAATCAAAAAAGATACCTGACCGAGATTTCAATTTGTCCAAAGTGGTTGACTATCTAGCCAATGATGTTAGTAGTAGCTCTTACTCCAAAATACATGAAACAAACCATAAAGCAGATGAGGGCAAAAGAGAAGGAGAGTGTAAAGAGAAACAGAAACGAGTACTGAAACCAACCATAGCAGTTCAGGAGCACAAGCTCAAAATGCCTCCAACAAACATGCGGTCTTCACCTTCAGACAAAGAAATCAGTAAAGTAGCAGATGCACTGTTTGGAGCAGATACAGTACTAGAATCCCCTGATGATATCTCACACGAACAGGATAAAAGTCCTCTATCTGACAGTGGGTTTGAGACCAGGAGTGAGAGGACACCTTCTGCCCCTCAAAGTGCAGAAGGCATGGGTCCCAAGGCTCTTTTTCAGGAAATTCCAGTTCCACCAGTGATCACTGAGACAAGGACTGAGGTAGTCCACGTCATCCGGAGCTATGAGCCAGAGGATAACAAACAGCCTGCGATGGAGGATGCACATCCAGTCAGATATATTGATTCAGATAGTAAAGGGCATCAGATTCAATCTCCAGCAACCCCAGACCAAAATAAATCGTATTCAGTAAAAGTAAGCCCTGATGAAGATCCAATGGGAAAAGGGATGAGGGTAAAGGAGGAAACTCACATCACTACCACCACCAGGATGGTATACCACAAACCACCTATCAAAGAAACTGCATCAGAGAGATGCGAAGAGACAATGTCTGTGCACGACATAATGAAAGCTTTCCAGTCAGGCAAGGACCCATCTAGAGAGCTAGCTGGCCTGTTTGAGCACAAATCTGGCAACGAAGAAACATCACAAAGAGTCCTCGATGACATTCACTCGAAACCTAAGGTTGAAAGAATAATTGAAGTGCACATCGAAAAGGGCAATAAAACTGAACCCACTGAAGTCATCATCAGGGAGACAAAAAACCAAACAGAGAACGAAATGTTTTACTACCCAGGGAGTAGACAAGATGAGGAACCCGAAGAATCAATTCCAATTTACCTCGATTCCCCCAGAGTGAACACACCCATGTCACAGGAAGAAGACAGTCGTCCCAGTTCAGCCCAGCTCATGGCAGATGACTCCTACAGAACACTAAAGCTACTCAGCCAGCAATCTGTAGAGTACAAGGAGGATGAACTATCTGAGCTGAGGGGGGAATCTTACAATTTTGCAGAGAAAATGTTACTTTCTGAGAAATTTGAACAATCTCATTCTGACACAGAAGAGTATCTGAGAGATAGGTCTCGTTTCCACTCACCAGACAGAAGTAGTCGCAGCGAGGGTAGGTCAGTTGGGCCCAGAACAGATTATGTCTTTAGGTCATCGAGAAATGTTTTTGACAAATCTGGACGAATGGCCAATGTTGATGATAACTTTGACAAACTGACACTTTTGCAATATTCCTCTGAGCCTGGGAGCCCAAAGCAGTCTGTTTGGATGCGTGTGCCAGATGAGATGCAGAGTATGGATAGTAAACAGCTTATGTATGAGGACAGAGTGGACAGGACTGTAAAAGAGGCAGAGGAAAAACTTAGTGAGGTATCGCAGTTCTTTCGGGAAAAAACAGAGGAGCTCAATGATGAGCTTTCGTCTCCAGAGAAAAAATCTCGAAGACCAGACTTCAGGGAATCACAATCAGGGCCCAGGTCAACACAGAGTAGCCCAGAGAGGTCACCCTATAGGAGTGGGGGTAGTGGAGAAGAGTGGAATAGGGAGAGGCTAAGGGACAGGTTTGGGTCCAGTGACAGAAAATGTGCCAGTTTACCCAGCAGTCCTGAAAGACGAGTTTTGCTGCAGTTCAGTGAAGCAGACTCGAGACAAAAAGGAGATAGTAATTCACAGGGCAGTGCAAGTGATAATTCTAAACCTTTTCAAATGTCTTCTTCTAAAGTCAGTGCAGTTAGACTGAAGTTTGAGCAAGAGGCTCAGAGGCAAGATAAGAGCACTCAGGGTAGCCAAAGTCCAAACCCTCCCATCAGGAAACTCCAAGAAACTAAGTTACCTGTGTATCAGGTATTTGCAGGTTCTAATACTCCTAAACCACCGGACAGTCCAGGTAATCAGAGGAAATGTATGGAGAGTGAATCACATAAACTTTCATTTAAACATGAGATTAGTGGAAAAGATCAAGACGAGAACAGGTTATTCAAAACTTGGGAGAGCCAAGGATATGGACACTACAAACCTCAGTCTCCCAAACTTTCTCGTCCTTCAGTCCATGATAGTACAAAAGACGGTGACTCCCAAAGACAAGAAACAACAAAGAAAATAATCTATACAGAATTTGTTGTCCGAGAAAGTCCAAACAACAACGATAGTCTAAAAAAAAACTCGGAATCGCAAATTCCAGTAAGAAAAACATCCAATTTCTCAGAAATTAACAAATCCACTTCTTTAAATTTAGATGAATCTTGTGAAAGGTCTGGGTCTCATAAGCCTTCTTTAGCTAGAAATCGATTGCACAGTAGCTCTGAATCAAATAAGTCTACTCGTGGAAATTCCAAGTCACCAGAGGGTAGCCAGTCGACTATTGTGTGTAACGGTGTTGACGATGACCAAATAGAGTATTTGGATCAAGTAACCCCTGTAGTTGTCACTGAGGGTTTCAAAGACATTAAACCCTTACCTGTGTATGTTAGCATCCAGGTAGGAAAACAGTATGAGAAGGAAACAGCTTCAGGGCAGCTGGGAACATATAAAAAGATAGTAAGCCATGAGAGTAGAACAGTGCATGAGACTAGGGGGGCATTTTACACTGTCAAACAAAAACAGTCTCCATCTCCTCAAGGAAGTCCAGAAGATGACACTCTAGAACAAGTGACATTAATGGACAGCTCTGGGAAAAGCCCTGTCACTCCTGAGACACCCAGCTCAGATGATCTTAGTCTGACCTCCAGAACGCCTGACTCTGTTATAGGCTTCATGCCAGGTATGCCAAGCCCTATCCCAGAGGAATCTGAGGAGGAAGAAGCAAAGACCTTCATTTACAAAGAGCCCTCAAAGGAGAAATCCAAGCCAGCTTCCCGAGAGAATCAAAGCAAAAGACAGGATGGAGAACGAGGGAAGTCAAAGGACAAAAGAGTTGCTTATATAGAGTTTCCACCACCTCCTCCTTTAGAGGCAGAGCAGTCTGACCCTGAGAAAAGGGGTTCATGTGCTTCCTCTGAGGCAGAAACAGAGATGATAGAGGTGAACCTCCAAGAGGAGCATGATAGGCACCTGTTAGCTGAACCAATCATCAGGGTCCAGCCACCATCACCTATACCACCTGGAGCTGAAAACAGTGACTCAAGTGACGATGAGTCTGTCTTCCATCCCATTCCTATAAAAAAGTACACTTTCAAAATGAAGGAAGAAGGGGAAAAACGCCCAAAATGCAAAAGATCTGATAAAAATGGAAATAATAAAGAGTCGGGGGTTAATGGTGATGTAAAGGCGGAGGATACTGACTTGGAACAAAATGGCAATGACCAGTCAATCACTGACTGTTCCATAGCAACCACAGCTGAATTCTCCCATGACACAGATGCAACTGAAATAGATTCATTGGATGGATATGACCTTCAGGATGAGGATGATGGTTTGAGTGAGGACCCTAAAACCTCTAGTCTGTCCAATGATGGAAAAACCACTGACCGCTCATTTAGTCAGTCCAAGCTCGAAGTGATTGAGGAGGAGAAATGTGAAGAAGGGGGTGATAATGGAAATACCAAAAGCAGCACATCTGCAGCAAAAAGTAGTGGGGATGAAAAAGATTATACCCTTGAAGGGAGACATCCAGACAGGCAGGGCTTTGGAGAAAACTACTTTGGCTACCAACTTGATGAGGAGCTTAATTCAACCTTCAAGACTGTTGCGACCAAAGGTTTGGACTTTGACCCCTGGTCTACAAAAGGGGTTGATAATGAAGGGGTTTTCGAACCTAAATCAAAAGAGGAGGACCCAAAACCATTTGGTTTATCTGTGGAGGACAAATCTCAGGCTACAACACCTGACACAACCCCTGCTCGAACACCAACTGATGAGAGCACACCAACTAGTGAGCCTAACCCCTTCCCTTTCCACGAAGGGAAGATGTTTGAGATGACCCGCAGTGGTGCAATTGACATGAGCAAGCGGGACTTTGTTGAAGAGAGGCTTCAGTTTTTCCAGATTGGTGAGCATTCCTCTGACCCTAAAACAGGGGAAAAGGGGCGAGGGGGCAAGATCCTGGGGGTACTTTCCTCTCAGTCCCAAACAGGGGAGAGGTCCACCGTAGATGGGAAGGTGACGGTTGTAGATACTACCTTAGACAACAGCACAACACCAACACCAGCAGCAACTACAGCAAAATGCAGCCCTGGCAGTGACACTGATTATGCTGGTGCTGAGATCGCCGTCTGTGAAGCCCTAGTTGAGACTGCCTCCTCATGCACAATCACAGCCTCTAAGGTTGATTCCAGATTACGTACTCCCATTAAAATGGGCATAGCTGCCTCTATAACTGTGAAAAAAGACTCAGGGGATCTCACCGAATGTAAAGGGGAGATGTCAGAGGGTCAGATGGTGCCAGAATATGTGAGTATAGAAGGTCAGTGTACAGAGAAAAAGTCAAACAATCCTGTTGAGTCCGAGTTAGAAAGAAGAGATTACCCCACTGAGAACTGCAACAACAACAATAACCTTGAGTCCTCCAGTGTTCAGGCCAACTACATTCAATGTGGGAGTGTTGTATTTAATTTGCAGTCCTCCTCTGAGCCCACCCTTCAGAAAGCCAACATGATAGAGAAGCTGTGCTGTAGGGATTTAGATGAGAAAGTAGAAGTGCACAACAGCCATCAGGTGCAGGAACAAAAAAATGAAACAGTCAAAGAAAATGAAGTGAAGCAGCCCAAATCAAGACTTCCTGTGAAAGCATCAGGGTGGTCATTTCATACACAGGGAACAGCCATTGGTAAGCAGAAGCCCAAACAAGCAGTAAAAGCTGAGGTCAGGAAAAGAAGAGAGCCAGCCGTAGCCAAGGTAGAGCCCAGATCTAGAATACCAGTCAAGGATGTGAAAAAGAGTAGTCCTGCTGCCCCGACTACCACACCTTTATTAGTTCAGGTAACATCACAGCCAATGAAGAAATTGGACACACAGAGATCAGCCATACAGTTGCCCACAAGGCTTCCGCTGAAGGACAGGCACCAGGTCAGAAATACCACAAGTGAGGGAGCATGTAGGCAGGACAGGCAGGATAACCCTAGTGAGCTTTGCAAGCGCACCATCCAGTACTTTAAAGACATTAGCGGGGAGACGCTAAAGTTGGTGGACCGCCTATCAGACGAGGAGAAAAAGGCGCAGACAGAGCAGTCGGAGGAAGACAGCACCTCCCGGAGCACCTCTCTGTCGGACGCCTCCCAGCCTTCCCAGCCCTCCCAGCCCTCTCGCTCATCCAGGTCTGGTAGAGGTTCGAGGGCTGAGGCCGGGGCCGCGTCCGTAAGGGCAAAGGTGGCGACGACGGACAGGGCCTCCGGCATTGAGAGGAGCAGAAGGAGTAGGAGGACTGGTGGGAAGGAGGGCAGTCAGGGACTCACAGGGTCTCGAACGCCTCCCATCGCGGAGATCAAGCCTAGTTTGTAAAACTTTCACACTATGTTTAAACTACATCTATATATTCAAATATTTCACTTTTGGTTGCATGACATTGTTGTGATCGTTTATTAGATTGACTGGAATGCCTGTGGCGTGTTGACATATTCTCTTAGGAACAGTAGCTGTCATTAAATTTATTTTTTGTCATTGATGTACCGTGTACTGTACTGTCCATGTTGCAAGATTATTCTTTCTCTGTTCTCCCCTTTCAACTCTGTTAATGCTCTGTTTGAAGGAGTGAGAATGCCATTAGTAATGGCTGGTCACTGGTACAACCAGTCCCTTGTTTGAGAGTTCTCTTGTCTATCTGTCTGTCTGTGTTGGGTGGTTACTGACTTATTGTGGTAGTTTTTTAATACATTTTTTTCATATAATGGTCCTTGAAACTAACTAGTATTCACAAAAAATCCTAATTTTTTGCATGTTGACATTTTAGTTTCTAACATAGACCTCTACACCCTAGATTTGTAGAAATCTTGGTCTGTTGTTGAAATCCATGTTATGTTTTGTTTTGTATTATGTGGTTCTCATGACAGTTACTGCCTGCTTAGAGGTTACACAAAATGGTCACAGAGCACCACTTTACCCTACAGACACATATGCAGTATATGCCCATTATGTTTCTAGTATGAAAGTCCTCTTCTTGCCATCTTGGATAAATAACGGAACTAAGCTGTTTTAACATTAACTCACTAACACTTCCCAACATTTTAAACCCCAACATTTCTTATGTTGGTTATAAAAATCAACACCTATCAACATATCAAAGAATAATCTATTCACAGACAGTCTTAATGAACAATAAACCTTGGGAGAAAAAAAAATAGAAAAGAGCAAGTGGCCAGAAAAGGAAAGTTATACATTAATTAATTTATTTATCATTATTTGTGTACTGGAGGTGAAGAATATGATTTGTATTAATCTATCATTGTTTTCTATCTTCACCAGGTCCCCAAAGTCCATGTGAGCGAACAGATTTGCGCATGGCTATTGTTGCAGATCACCTGGGTCTCAGCTGGACAGGTAAGTCTGTGTAGTCTATAGCGAATATTGCTTAGTGCTGTTTCTAACTGAGAGAAGCATTTTTACAATTGAACAGCTGCCATGAGAACTGTTTGAACTATCCAAATGCAATGGTTGAGAGCTCAAATTTATCTTTTAAGATGGGAGATCATTCTTTTTGACAGAAAGTAGATCACGCCCCACACGTTCCTTGTGGTTGCAGGTTTTTTAGTGATACACGATCGTTATTATGTAGTTGTGCTGATTATGATTTGTGTTGAGGACAGTCGTGATATTTCTTTTTTTACCGTTTGACTGGTACCTTAAAGTCTGTCATTTGCACACTGTGTAGTTCACTGCCATCTTCAGGCCAACTGCAAATCCTACAGATTATTTAATCTATTGTATTGTATAAACGGACTAATGCCATTCTGCACACACAGGAACTCCCAGACTTCTAGGCACTTTCCCTCAAAGTGCCTGACACTGTCCATTAGTCTAGTCATCAAGTACAAAACCATAGTGTGTTCCTTTTGTGAATGACTTAAAAACTTGTAAACAGTCAATTGGAAAACTGATGTTTAACTGATGTTTACGCAAGGAAAAGAAAAAAGTCATCTTGAAAGTTCATCTTGACAGTTAATCATCCTTAAAGTCTAGATTGGGATTGGACCCTTATGCAGCTTTGATTTAACGAGCTAAAGATCAATTTAAACAGTTATGTCAGGAGTACTTTTACAGGATATATTACAGCACATACATACATAATGTAGTAAGTACTGTCCTTTTATAGTCTATGTTTGACATTTCAGTTTGTGTGTTAGAGCTGTTCTTGTATCCTATCACAGAGCTGGCTCGAGAGATGAACTTCACAGTGGATGAGATCAACCACATAAGACTGGAGAACCCTAATTCTCTGACAGCACAGAGCTTCATGCTTCTTAAAAAGTGGGTCAGTCGAGAAGGAAAAAATGCCACAAGTAAGTTTACTTCCAATTTTCTGCCTCCTCATCTTTTCAGTGTTTCTGCTCTTAATTGAAAGATCGAAGTTTATCACTTCCAAAAATATTTATTCAAGTTTGCTCTCAATAGAAGACAAGCTACTGTCTTCTATTGGACGACATTTCATGGTTTTCGCCTTGTTAATTCCAACTGTACTCTTTTGTATTTCATGTCTTATTTGTCGTATACTTAGATAAGCAAGAAGCTGTAAATTAGGATGAGTTTAACCTTGGAATACAAACTTTTGCTAAAATGTCTCACTCATTATATATTGTTTTTCTGGTGACTTATCCAGAGTTTATTTCTTGTTTTTTTCTAAAGCGGATGCCTTAACTGCAGTGCTGACCAAAGTCAATCGGATGGATATTGTGACTTTACTGGAGGGCCCAATATTTGACTATGGTAACATTTCAGGCACAAGATGTTTTGCCGATGATAACGCTGTTTTCCGGGATCAGGCTGATGGTAAAGTTTAGCTCTACTAGCTGACCTCTTACCTCTCCCTGCTACCTCTTTTGTTGTGTCAGTGCATGGATAATATGTGCATACTTAATATAGAATTTATATTCAGATTTGTTCCTTGTTTGGGCAACTGGATTCTGATGTTCCTGTTTTCTCTGGGACATTGCATTTACCACTGCAGTTATTACTACATTATAAGCTGATTAAACACTTTAAACATTTAGATCCTCTTGGCTTTTAAATTTAGATTAAAGGGTTTTGAATTGCTCTAAAATACTTTTTTACAAATCATGGTGCATCCAGTTGTCGCAAATGAGCAATTTTATAGCTAAAAGCCCTTTATAAGTGCATGCTGCATACCACAAACTGCTTTAAATGTTTTTCAATTATGTCTGATTTTAGCAGAAATTTTATAACCTTTTAGATTCTGTTTTCTCTGTTGATTTAGTTTAGCTCTCCTAGTTCTCCTCCAGTTCCTCTGAGCCTTCTTTGGATAGATGAGAGAATCTCTTCCCCTCTGAAAACCAGACTGCCTCCTCCTTCTCCTGCATCCTACCACCTCCCCACTGCAGTATCAACTGCAGATTACAGCACATAACAGCTCTTAACACATTAAGAGTCATCCATATGTGCCTGCTCCTAATCATCCACATTATTCATCATTTTCTTCTTTCACAAGCATGTTCCACATTTGCATTATTTTGTGTTCTTCTTTCATCTCCAAGTGACTTTGTGTTTCTTTGTCTTTTCTGCATGTATTTCACCCTTATCCCACTCCATAGTTTGCCTGATTATCCCCCTAAATCCCAGAAGCACTGAAGCAGCTTTTATCCTGCAGACAACTCCCATCCATCCCACCACAACACCAACTCCACCACCCACTCCCATCACACCTACAGTGGCTAATAACTACCATTCCTTGTCCTCACGCCGCTCTCCGAGTTATGAGTCTTCTATTTCACTCAAAGACCTGGCACCTTCAGCACCGTTTCAGCTGACAAAATCCAGTTTCCCCCCCTCTCTTTCGCCTCGCCCCATCCCTCAGTCCCAGTCTGCTGACGTCCATCAAACCCCTGCTTTCCTTCTCCCTTCCGGCATGTCCTCCCCAATCCCTCTCATCACCTCACCATTACCTTCCTCTCTGGCTCCTAACTTTCCCTTTCCAGCCACATCTGTTCCCAAATCTCCCACGTCAGTCCCAGCCTCCCCGACACTCGTCACGCCCACTCTGACCCCCTCACAAGCTGAGTGTGTCACCCCTTCTCTCACATCCCAATTGTCACCTGACACATCCTGTCCTAGATCAGACAACGCTCCAACTAACAACACTGTTGCAGTTTCTTCTAAAGACCCCGGGCTTTGTCAGTCCCTCACCATGCCAGTTTCAACTATCTCACCCGGTGTTGTTCTCTCAGCTAGCAAAGATTCTTTAGTGGCCCTGCTGGCCTCCGCCTCCTCCCGCCCTGTCTCACCTCTCTCTGTTTGTACTCTTCCTCCCCTCTCCCCTTCAGGGTCTCGTTGCCCTAGCCCCAGTCCTTCTTCCCCTCCTCTGCGCTCCCTGTCTCCCTGTCCTGTTTGTCAGTGCACATGTGCGCCCTCAGTCCCCCCGCCTCCCCCTCGAACCCCCATCGATCCTTCTAAAATGGAAATATTCATCTAGCATACTGTGTCCTTTTTGTTGTTCCTTCTCATGTCTCTCATCTGTCATCTGTCTCACGTGAGCATGTATCAGAACACCCTGGCAAATAGTTAAAGGTTTAAACTCATCACATCCCTATTTATTATTGCTGTAGCCTTATTTAGTCACTAAAAGTATTAAACTTTTAACATCTTACCTCACCAAAACCGTTGAATTAACCCTTTCAATTTTCCAATATCTATTACAAATACAAAATGGTTCGTATTATTTTGTGGAGTATTGTATTCTCAAACATGAAGTATAAAATCTATGCAATTATTGCAATTTAGTTCCCATTTTTGTAAATATTTGTTCCATATTGTCATTGTTTAGGAGCTCTTAAAACACTGTTTATTACCTCTCAGCTAGTGGTTGCCTGGAAACGTGCTTCACACCTTAGTCTCAGTGTCACTTCTCATGTCATTTGCTGTTTGTGTTAGGGTGTGGGCTTTTTTCATTCTGTTACGTTCTTTTGTGGCATGCTTCTGTGTTTGTATGTCTCTACATTTGTCATCCTTTCACCTACAGATTATCAGAGCATTCTAGCAGAGCTGCAGTCTCCCGCCGCACTGCAATCCAACCCTTACTTCCTGGAGCCTGAACTCCCTGTCACCCCCAATCCTTCCCTTGCCCCCCATCGGCAGCACCATTACCCAGAACCAGACTCCCCTTGCCAGGCGTACACCCAGCCCCCTCCTTGGACTCCAGTAGTAGAACCCATAAACCAAGAGTCAGACAGTCCTCCTAGGAGCCCTCCCAGACCAAGCGAGCTTGCCTTGTCCATCTCTGCCTTTGAACTCCCCGATCCTGTTTCTTCTAAGGTCAGAAAGCCCCACATCGCCCTGAACGACCAGCTCCTTTTGAGCGAGGAGGAGGACAAGTCCTTTCAAGAAATGGCGCCTGCCCGAAAGCCAAGGTCCCGCTCCTTCCCAGCGATGTGTGAACTAGACTTTGACATGACATACTCCACATCTTCCCCTTCACTGTCTTTGGTGTCATCCATAAGCCCGCTGTCACCTGACAGAACACAAGTGGGAGTTGGAGGGGGGCAGACAGACCCCTTCAGTGGGCTACGAGGGGATGGAGGTTTGAGTGCGCGTTCAAAGGATGGAGAAACAGAGAAAGTTGTTGAGATGGTTGCCGCAGAGTCAGCAGAGGGAAATGGATTAGTGGAGAAGTGGGTGGAGCAAGACTTGCTAAAAAATGTTGAAAGAAAGTGTGAGATGATTATAAAAAACATGTCTAAGCTATCTGAGGAAAATGTTATTTTCTTAGAAAAGAGGAAGGAATCTTCAGAGCAAGAGACAGATATTGTAATTGCGCATATTCAGAGTAAGGAGTTGGGATGTGAGGTGGAGGAGGATAGAGATGTGCAGAATCTCTTAACAGAGCAGGAGAGTCCAGCAGATAGGGTACATGAAGTGGACAAATGTGCACTACAAAGTGCAGGTGTCCCAGAAAGTGTTGATCAAACACCTGACATTAAAAATTCTGATACAAACGGTCAGAAAAATGTTCAACTTGAGCCCAGATTGGATGATCCAGATGAAGACCTGGAGTTTAAAGACGAAAGAGGTGTTTGCATGACAGCAGGAGGGGCTTTGGCAGCTGAGGACCAGATTGTAGCTGACCTCTCTCCTCAGGCCTGGGTTGAAGCCCTCAGCGAGTCTGGATCCCATGTAGAGGAAGAGGAGGGAGGCAAAGAAATCCCAGGGGAGGCTTTGGGGTCTTTTATGGATGAGATAAGAAAACAAGAAGGCTCAGAGGAGACGGAGGAGGACAAAGAGAAGACTGAATCCAGGGATTACGTGGATCTTGAAAAAGTTGAACAGACAGAAAAGGCCGTATGTTCACTTTTAGGGTGGCACAGTGATTCATCCAGCGTGAACGTGGAACCTCCAACACCGGGCCGCAGTGTCAGCTCGGACCTGCTTGACAGACGGGAAAGGTAACCCAAGTGGTACCCCACTACCTTAATTCCCTTTATTTTAAAATACTTTTATCGCAGTTGGAAACTACATCCCCTCAGATAGTTGTGTGTTTTCATCCAACAGCCAAGAGAACTCAAGTGACTCCATCACCTCCTCGTCTAAGGCGGAATCAGGGAGGTCCCGTCAGAATGGCGATAACTCAAAGCACTCACCTCAGGACGGCTCATCTGAATCATCAAACGGCAAAAAGGAAGATGGAGCACTGGTGTCAGAGAAAAAAGTTCAGGTGAATATCTAAGTTGACTTAAAAAAAGTTTTGCTGCACAGTCTGCTATTGAGGAGAAACCCCTAAATGTACGCTATGTGTTGAATTATTCAGTTTCTCTTTTTCATACAGCCGACCATGGATTTAAAACCACGCCCAGGGACATGAGCAAAATGTGTCAACTAACAAACTAGTTTGCCTGTTGTGTAATTGTCTTACAACGCCTTCCTCTGCAGCGGGTTAGAGTAGATTCCGGGTCAGAGGAAGAACAGACCGTAACCACCAGAATCTTCAGACGCCGTCTCATTTTGAAGGTACCCTGAAAGCCTGGAAACGGGGCTGGCTGGGTCTTGGTTTGGGTTGGTTTAGACCTCTGAGTCTAGTGTGTGTTGTAGTTACTTTGTTTTGCCGTGCTGAAATCTCTGCCGTCCCTGTGTGAACTGACGAGTACATGTGCTACTGACCTCGTCTCTGTTCATGGCTGAAGACTAACTCAGCCCCTGTCTGGTGTGAACATTCTTCTCTTTTGAGGATTTCTTTCAGTGTGGTGCTGGTGGAGGATTCTTTTTCTATTTCTTTTATATGTGTGAAGTGAAGAATCCTTGATTCATGCATTAATAACAAACACTTGCAGGGAGAAGAAGCAAAGAATTTCCCAGGCGAGTCTGTAAAAGAGGAACACTACATGGACCAAGATGGTAACCTCATCAGCAGAAAAGTAATGCTTATCTTTTTAAATATGTCTCATTACACTGAAATGACACAGAGAGAGGAGTTGGCTGTTTCTGAAAACGCAGACTCCTCTAGATCTTTTCTCCCTCTGAAAACATCCTTGGGCAGGTGATCAGGAAGATTATTAGACGGGTGTCGTCTCCCACACCAGAGAACCAAGGAGCTGACAAGGAGTTCAGTGACCCTCAGCACAGCCCAGTTCTACAGGAACATGGGCCAGAGGTTGGCACGAGGATCCCCTTTAACTGAGTTTCTTCAAGGTTTAATTTAGATGTGGATGATGTTTTCCTCATGTGAGAGTTTGAGTCAGATCTCATAACTGTATCTGAGTAACATCTGATTGGAGCATGCAACCATCACAGTGGGACTAAATTAAAATTAGACAAGTTACGTCCAGTCACAAGCACCTTACTCAGTCCTGTGACTCTCACTGGTGGAAATAAAACCTTCTCCGAAACTATTAATGGACAAATTGGGGTTCAAGTTGTGATTTTTCTTTCTTTTTTGTTAAACACAACAGTTCACTTGGTTTCAAATTCTATTTGTTAGTTGAAAACCTGTAAATCTGTCTGATTACTGCTTTAAATTCTGAAAAGAATCAGTCATGTCTTCTTCAGTGATGCAGGAGAATTTCTGTTTAACATCTGATTGGGACGCTCAAGATAAAAGTGGTATTCATCTCTCCTCTGAGGAAACAAGGCCACTTGAAATTAAACCTTGCATTCTGTGTTTTGAAAATATGCGATGAATGTCGTACCCGAATACAGAAGGAGATCCTGAAGTTCCTGCTCCTGAATGATGATTGCTGTGACTGTTGTTTCTAACACAATTAACAATACTATCCTTTCTCTTCTTCAAGGTATCTTGTTGGTGTGGGTGCTAATTTTATGCCTTGTAATTTAGTTCCAACTAACCTTGCGAAAAGTCAAATTGCTCAGCTTTTTTTTGCCATTTTAAAGTCCAAGCTGTCGTTTGCACAATGTGTGGAGAGATGCTTGTTTTTAATCAGTTTTTTTTTTCGGCTTTCTGTTTAAGCTTTTGTTTGTTAAACTCAAATTTTTGGTATAATCTCAGGATAGGAATAACATGATTTAACTGCATTTCTGTTTTTTTCTAGCAAGGAGACGGGGCAAAAAAAAGCAGACGGAAGGATGAGAGAAGATCAGGGGATAAAAAGCACCACTCATAGGGATGGCTGAACTCTATCAGGTGGGGTAGTTTTTTTTGGCAAAAAAAAAAACTTTTAGTGTTTCTTATGTTTCTCTCTCTCTCTTTTTATAACCATTCATTTTGACATGTCAGAGCAGGAAATGTATAAGTGAATTAATAAAAACTTGGAGGAGATTGTGCATGCAATAAAGGTACCTTGTTCACCATTAATGGTATCACAGGATAAAGTGTGTACTGCAAAAAAAGGCCACAGTTTAGAATCAGTTACATGCTGTACATCTGGATATCTAGAATAACTTAAACTTTGGCACAGTATCAAACACACAAGAGGAATGTATCTTTTCAACTAACCCCCCTGCAAGGAACTAAATAAGAAACCACATGGTTCTTCAGTCAGACAGTTGTTCTGTGTCATTGTGTCACACTCAATGTAAAAGGCTGACTGGTCTGAGCCTGCTTATCCCTTGGCAATATTTCTACGCTCTGAGTGTGTGTGAATAGGCCAGAATTACAAAGAGAGCAGGGCTGACAAGCGTTACGTACCACAGCATGATACTGCCCCGCTGATACCCTCCATGCCTGTTTTTGTCCACTTAATCCCTGACTAAAACAGCACTGAAGCGTCCAAATAGAGTTTGTTATCCCACCGGTCTAACTGTTGATCCCTACCGCTGCTCATCCTTATGTTAACATTGAATCATTCCATCTGTACACAACTAATTTAGAAGATCTATCATAATGATTTTTAAGTTGGTGTTATCTGAGACAAGAGTGGAAGATTGTGACAGCTTTTTTGTTGTTTTTAGTGTAGCAATAGTCCTCCATGAGAAAACAGTTTGTATTTTCAACATTTAGCAGGAAATATTCTGTCAGTAGCAATTGTTAAATAGTTACAATATATGTGCTGTAATATCTGTTGCATTATTTTGTGTTTTGTAGGTTTACAGGAACCAAGTTAGATGTTTCCTGGGAACAAGCATTCAAAGGGCTGGGGAGTTCCAATGTTTGGAGTAAATTCAGAGGTCCAGTGTGCAACTTTCTGCATCAAAAAACAAAAATGGTTTTCAGATGAGAGGACTCGACCGTTCTGATGTCCGCATGAACATGAAAAACTCACTCCTGGTCAATCAAAGGCCGGGTAGTTGACTGTGGTGGGCCAGTGGATGGTGATCCTGCTTCCTGCTTGGTGTGAAACTATACGTGCCATGGGTCCACTGGTGGTTTTCGACTAGTTCTAAGGAGCCTCAACAAAAGACTCCACCCAGGTGCAACTGTGACCAAAGATGGCACAAGAGCTCAATCCACATGCTGGTTGAAAAGAAGGAAGTAGACACAGTCACACAAAAACATAAAATGGAACACTTCTGACCCAACTTCAACACTCGCCTTATAGTTTTTTCTTGAACCCATTGCTGTCAGGATGTAAATTGTTTTGGGATATTTTTCCTTCCTTTTTAAAACTGAAACTAACACAAAAGCTTTTTTCTGTATATAAAATGACAGTGTGTATAATTCTTAAGAATGGGGAAGCTTCTTGTGAGAATGCACTGAGAAGAAGCCTTTTCAAGTGTGTTCATAATTTACTGAAACAGTTCCACTTTCAAAGATTTGAGTGAAACTTCACAAGTTCTTGTATAATTAATTATTAGAGCAGGTATAATGTTTGTATATGAAAAAAGCTGGTTTGATTTTAACAGAAGAAATTTCCAGAAAATCACAGTTCCCTGAGTGGGAATTGGTTTAATCCTGCAAAAAGCAGCCTTTCAGAGTACTCATATTTTCATGCTTGCTGTTCACATTATTTTAAGTACAATTTTTACGAGTTTACACTGTATTCAAATGAGAAAATAAAACCCTTTATCTCTGTACCCACATAGCCCCAAGATTTGTCACCAATTTTATATTTTCAATTGAAAAAGGATGCCATTAAAGCGTTTATCAAGCTGGGATGAGGATGAAAAACGTTCTATAGCTTCTTGAGGATGTGATGTCTTGTCTGTCTGTGTAAAAGTGGAGGGCAGCTTCTGTTAAGAGGATGAAGTGATCTGAATGTAAATGCTGATAAGCTGGCTCGCTGTAAAACTCTTAATTGTACTGTGTGTATTGGCTATAAGGTGTAGGAGTCTCTGTACACTGTTAGACTGTTTGTATCATCTTAGCAGTGTGTCGATTTGGTTTTCTAAAGGCTGCTGTGGTATTAAAGGAAAACTGGGGCATTTCACTTTGGGTTTTTTTGGTGAAGTATCTCCTTGATTTAAAACCTACTCATATTAAGGACACGTAAAGACATTATTTGATTGTAGCTCTAAATAGCATAATGTATGACAAAACACTGGATGGTCAAAAATAATAATTTAAGCATTAATAAATTGTGTTTCACTCTGAAACTGTGTGATCTCTTTAGGCTTGGGAGTCTGTAGATGCAGTGTTGAATAGAACTGTTTTTCACTAGCTCACTAAAGATATTTTACTTTTCATTAGGAATTATCTTTGTATTGGTTTTCATTAGATCCCCATGTAGTTCAAGTGTGTTGTTTTACTAATGCAATGGCTCAGATTGCTGATGTCTATGCTGTGGACATGAAAACTATGTAACTTTTTTCTTTTCTTTTTTTTTTTCTTTTGGGATAGGGGCAAGGGTTTGAAGGAATTCCGTTAGGGTGCTATACCACATCCCCTTCCACTACTATGTCAATCAGGGGGTAGAGGATCCTTTGATATGGTTGAACTATCAATTTTGTCAATTTTGTTTGATATGTGTTTTCACCTGAGGAGATTTTTTGATGTACAATTCTTACTAACAGAGTGAAGCCATTGAAATATAACTATTCTAGCACTTTGGTTATTCAAGGACTTTTAGAGGCTATAGCAGCAATGATGCCACCACAAATGGTTCAGACGTCTTTAAAAAAACAACTTAAAAATAAAAATGCAATGATTTTGCAGTATGGTTGTGTTTGTTCTTGTCTTTGGGTCCATTAATTAATTTCTGAGAGATGATAAGCATAGTCCTCGTGGGAGAAAGTACCTTTCTTTTCTACCAAAGCATCCTTGAGACTTTTGTTTCTATCCTTGGACTGACATTCAGGGAATTCTTTCTGTGTGATTTTTTAGGCAAATACATGAAAACCAGTGTGTAGGAACTGAAACACCAACATCAGGAACAGAGTCCAGAAAAAAAAAAAGGCTTTAACTTAAAGATGCACAAAGGATTAAAGGAAATTTTATTTTTTCTGATACATTTTGCACTAAGCTTCTTACAAGCTCTTTTGTTCATGGTGATTTGACTAAAACTTATTCTCGATAATATTAAAAGGAATTTATTTTGTGTATGTCTTTGACTGAAAACAGCAACAAGCTCTTCTCCAACAGTACAGCGGTGCCCCATCTTGCAGAATACAGATGGCATTTTGCTTTGATTTGTCGCCAGGTAAATAGATTGCTCAAAAGAGAAGAGAGTTCCTGATTTGAATCCTAGCTGGGGCCTTTCTATTTGCAGTTTGCTTATTTTCCCCATGTAATGTTGGGTTCTGTCCGAGTACTCTAGCATCCTCCCACCGCCAAAAACATGCAGTTAGTTCCAGATTAATTATTGCATCTAAATTGCTCATAGGAGTGAGTGTGAACGTAAATTGTTGCATGTCTTATTTGCTTTTGTGTGGCCCTGTGATAGACTGGTGACCACTGGTGTGTCCATCGGTGCCCAGTCCTGAGTGGGATTAAGTGGCTATAAACAATGGCTGAACAGAATTCAGTTAAATAAAAAAAATGACACATTGGCAAAAAATGAATTGAGATTGAAGTCAAAACAATCTCACATGGATGTAAAATTAGCAGCATGAGACAAAAAGTTACCAAAAAGGTGAATCGCAAGACCACAGTAAACTGTGTGGTTCACCTTTTTTTACATCTATACCCTGGGGGCTTGGGGCAACTTAAGGAGTGGATGATTCAGAGCTCTTGGTTTTTCAGTGATGCTCAGAAAGTGCTTTAACTCCTGGCGATCCGGGTTGGTTGTCCTTTTTATCAACTTTTTCTGGGATGCATTTGGTGGTGCTCCGGTATCATTCCTCAGGGCTCCGGGGGGGGGCGATGTGTAGTACTGGAGGCGTCCTGGGGGTGGCGCTATGTTGTCACGCAGGAGCAAGGTCACACAGCGTACTATTCTGCTGCGTGCGCTGCTCAAACTCGACGCTGCAGCTGCCATCGTCTTCCCCTCTCCACTCCACACACCGTCGTGCAACCATGGCGGACAGTGCGAGCGAGAGCGACACTGACGGAGCTGGGAGCAGCTCGGCCACCCCGATGTCATCCTCCGCCTCGAATTCTGGAAAGCCGAGCATAGTCATTTCACAGTTTCGCCTGGAGGAACTGACGAACCGCCTTGCCTCGCTACAACAAGAAAACAAAGTTCTTAAAATTGAGCTAGAGACGTTTAAACTGAAGTGCAAAGCCCTGCAGGAGGAGAATCGGGACCTCCGCAAAGCTAGCGTCACCATTGTGAGTAACGTTAGCAAGCTAACTAGCTAGATGCTATCCCCACGGAACAGAGTGCATTGTGTTTGTCAGTAAGCCAGCTCTGGTTAGTGTGGTTGGTTTAATGCCAAATGTCCCACCCTGACTCGTCTGGGGTGTTTCTGGCGATTCTAAATTGTATTTGAGCACATATGTTCGCTGTTTTGCTAGCCCCGCTATCATTAGCTGGTTGGATATGTTGCTAAATTAGCCAACGGGATGGGGTTTGCCAGGTGGTTGGGCAATGATAGCCAGCTAGTTTGCTTTGTTATGTTTTGCGTCGTTGATTTTGCCCTGCCTCCGTTATACGGGTTTTCAAAGGCTAGGACACCGTTGTACAAGTTACTAGTTTGATATTTACTGTCCAGTCATCTGATTATTCACTGTTGGACGTTGCCACCACGTTATGTTCAATGAGGTTATGGCAACCGGGTAGAAAATTAGATACTGTAGCAGCGAGATTGGCTCGTACTCACGAGGCATATGTCTTCCTGCTTGGTTAATGAGCACCAGCTTCATATAAATGTGTAACCGATCTGTTGGATGGATGGAGAGTACGGTATGTAGGCCAAAGTTAGCGAAATGCCACGCCATTCATGTTGGCAAGTCGACCTCCCTGTGCCTTGTCCACTCTCCCTTTTAATATGAACGATATGGCTACTCGTCTTGTATTTTTGCTATCGTTTGTTCATCCCGAAAATTGATAAATTAATAAATCAACTGCGTGTGAAACTATCCTTCTGGTGAAGAATCTGGGATGGGGACTGGCAAGGACAGACGTATCACACTGTAATGCTAGCTCTTGTAGCCATCCCAACACATTTCTATGTCTCACTCTTCCCATTTCCACCAGTCAGCCTCTACTGCAATGTCTTCTGAGTCATTTGGGAAAATGATGCTTTCATTTTGGCACACAGACTTCATTGCAGCAGAGTGATTGACTGGTGTGTCTGCTTACACTCACTGGTTGGTTGTTGCAGTCTAATCAGGGTAAAGATGAAACATTAACTTATGCCCAGTCTGTGAAACGGTCTGCTGTACCGATGTTTTCTAATTATCTTTCTCACAGCAAGCAAGAGCAGAGCAAGAGGAAGAATTTATCAGCAACACTTTGTTCAAGAAGATCCAGGCTCTCCAGAAGGAAAAGGAGACCTTGGCCGTCAACTATGAGAAGGAGGAGGAATTTCTCACCAATGAGCTGTCAAGGAAACTCATGCAAGTAAGTAATGGGAAGTAAATAGGGGGGACATTAGCATTTTCAAGTTAAAGTATTTTTTACACAAGTCGATCATGATTAAGCTTGACTTGGAAAAACTGACTTAGAACCTATGTCATTATCATGTAGTACAGTGACTTCCCTGATGCCTGGAAAGGCTCAAGAAGGACCTTTTTTAGAGCTGCTTGTAACTCCTAATGGTTGTCAAGTTACTCCACTCCTGTTTGACCAAAAGTCTGTTTTCCTTATTTTATTTTCACATGTTCCAAAGAGTGTCCTCAGCTTGCTGACTTTACTGCAGAGGGCACAGCACATGCATGCCTGCCTCCGTACTCTTAAGTGGAAGCTTAATGGCTGACTAATAGTTTGTTTTATATCAGAACTAGGAATCTGTTATCGGCAGGTGCTTAAGGTCATCTGATTATACATGTTTGGGCTTTTGTTATGTCTTGCCTGAAGGCAAGACGCGTTTCTGAAACGTGTATATGTTGTAATAACGTAGGTAAACATTACATGTTTGTAATCGTGAGTGATGAATTAAGAAATATGGTTCTTTATTTTTGGAGGGTATTTTTGTACCTACTTTGATTGAATGAACTTTGTGTTCTCTCACAACATTTAATGACTGACTTTTAAACAAGGTGTTCTGAATTAAAATGATCAATTGATGCGAGTCCTTCAGCTGTCAGTCAGGTTACAATCTAAGATGGATTTGCCTCCCTAAATTCTTTAGGTCAGATAACTTTTGGCTGCCTTCGTGAAATTAAGTCAGATGAATGTGCAGAAGACCCAAGTTTTTATCAGCTTGTGTCAACACAACATTCAGGTGTAGGTGTTAGTTGTCACTGAGGTTGCTGTGGTTAAATTACATGGGCATAGAAACGGATGTTTACAGGCTCCAACGTCTCACATGGAATGAAACTGACAGAAAAATCTTTAGACTAGAGTAAGGTTAATCTTTTACTCTCTGTGCTGCTGTTGAGGTCCTCATCTATCTGTAGTGGTAGGTCTGCCGTTTGGGAGTGTTAACGTGTGCTGGACATAGAAGTTGGGGTTAGGGGTTATTTTTCAAACCACATGCATCGTAAAAATGGGCAGGGTTGTTGCATTTGTTAAGGCCATCTCTGTGATCACAGATAACTGTAACCAGCACAGTGTTTAGAAAGAAAGGTTATTGACATTTAGTTTATCAGTCCCTGTTTAAAACACAACAATTCCACATGTATGTGATTTGTAATGTTTTTCCACATGTTGCAGTTACTGGTTGTTGTGGGCTGATAAAAGCATTTTAATGTGCGGCCCACGTGCCCACTTTCCATTGCCACTGTCGGATTATGCTTACAGACAGCTTATGCTTTAGGGACAATAGAACCTGAGCGTTATTTGACACCACTGCAACGTCTTCATGACCTGAAACATTTCAGATTTATGTTCATGGTCTTCAACGAGGAAGTTAAAAAGTGTCCCTCTCATAAGCCGGATTGCTTTTGTTGCCAGCTGACGTGTAACACATCAACGCCAGTGACAAGAAGTCATAAAGAAGAACGTTTTGTTTGTTTGTTTGTTGTTGTTGTTTTTTTTAAAGACTGAAGGTGCAGACCTTTGCATTCACCATTCTTCCAATATCAGGAAAGCCGTGGCTGTCTCCATTTGCAACTTCCCAGATGCTCTGCAAGCTTGAATTTGTTAGGTTAGCACTAGTTGCCACCCACTATGCAGCACAATGGGGTTGGAGACGCATCAAAACCAAAATAGTTGTTGATTAAAAAATGGCTGTGCTGGGTGTGTCAGCTCTCTGTGTTCTCAGACGGGATACTGCAGAGCTCTCTGTAGGCATAAGTTCAAACTATCCTCCATAATTAGAAGTGTTTAGTTTGCTGTACTGGCAGAATGGAAATTATTCCTTTTTCTTCATCAGATTTTTCCTATAAATTAATTCACATCCCTTTCTCTATAATAAGTATGTTAATCAATCACTTATGTAATCCATCAGACAGAGATGTCCCATTTTGTAGCAGTGCTGGGCAACACCCTTTTCTCTACTGGTTAGCTGCCAAATGTATGCTGGTTGCCAAAAGATTATTTTATCTTTTTGTCTGTGTTTAACCCTTTCTTTTGATTTCTCTTTTGACTTTATTTTTGGCTTGTCAGCTAAATGACTGAAGCAAATGCCTTTATTTGTTCACTTTGGGCCTCTAATATCTCTGTACTCGCCGTCTGTCTCCTGTTGTGCTTTGGCTCATGTCTCTTCTGTTTCATTTACCTCTTCCTTTCCCCTGCCCATGCATTTCACTCCTTTTCCGTCCTAGCTCCAGCATGAAAAAGCGGAGTTGGAGCAGCACTTGGAGCAAGAGCAGGAGTTCCAGGTTAACAAGCTCATGAAAAAGATCAAGAAAATGGAGAATGAAACCATCTCAAAGCAGCTAACGCTGGAACAGGTATGCTTATTTAGGTTGGATAATATTTCAGCATCCAGAAGGTATAACCAGTTCCTGAGAACAAGTGTGTACAGTTGCAGTGCAGTGTGCCAACATTTCACTATCTGTGATTCTTCCCAGTGATGTTTACCTGGAAAGAAAATTTTGTTCTGTACTGTTCAAACCTTCTTTGTGGAACCTGGTGTTTTTGGTTGATACTTTTGCTAAAGCTTTGTGCCTTTTCCCTTGATGGGGTGATAATTAAAGGACATTTGTAAGATAATGGTTCACTTATAGAACAAAAAAAGTCATTTGGAAAATGCAGTAATAGAGATTTTTGTTCAGAAGCCAGTAATCGTACTATGCTTCTATGAAAGCAAAGCTTATCTGGAGACCTTGGATTTGAAAATGTGTGTCTGTGAAGTATTGCAACAGCTTGACAACGTCAAGGCTTTTCAGTCTCTGAACGTCACTCTCTGCTTTTTCTTTCATTTTCCAGTTGAGACGGGAGAAGATCGACCTTGAGAACACATTAGAGCAAGAACAAGAGGCTTTGGTCAACAGACTGTGGAAAAGGATGGACAAACTGGAGGCTGAGAAGAGGTGCAGTTATTTTACTGTATTAAGTATTTCAGGCTATGGTCACAACTATGTGTACAATGCACACGAAAAGGTAAATGGTAAATTTTGCCTCCGCCTCAGAAACGTATACCACCACCACTGCCTACTTCTTATTCATTTATTTGTTTTTCTTAACTTGCGTCTTCGTGGTCTGATAAACTAGTGATTTATCTGGCTTTTGACCAATTATAATGGGAAATTCATGACATGATTACTGTGATTTGGTTATCCATAAACAGTTTTAATACTTACAGATTTGTATCGATAATATTATTCTCAGTAATTTGATTGCTCGTGAGTAAAAAGGGTGATCAGAAGGGATTATTGTTGTCATTATATTCACATGGGGTAGGAGAGGTCCATTATTCCCACTAAATACTGTTAGAAAGCAAAGTGGTCAGGGGTGGAATTATTATTGAGGCTTCATTTCTCAACCAGATCAAATCTAGAAATTAGAAAACACAAAAAAACACTGCCCTGATGCATCCTTTTATCAACAGTTAAGCCTCACTGGAAAATATAAAAAACTTGAGTAGAAATGAAAAGTCCACATGTAATCAAAGGTTCCATAAATAATTCCACGATGTTCCTTTGTACTTCAAAATGAGTCGAATGCTGGCAGCCTTGGCGTTCTCTAACATGGGTTGCATTAAGAAATGAGGAAGGAAAGAAATCTGTATTTAAAGCTGCACATTTGTCATTGAGCAACACGGATCACAACATCACTCATAACCGCAGCGTGTTCTGGTCACTTTTTGAGGACTGCAGCTTTTAGGTGTGCAACATCAGCAATACTGCGACTGAACTCTGCCTGTGAAAATCAAGTTATGACTGTTTCTTTTAACCTAAGCCTGACTCTGTTTCGAACTGTTTTAATTCCCAATAGAAACAGCTTTAATTACATTAGCACAACCACCTAGTTTTCAAGGTTATTTCCGTGCTCTCCACACACTGGTTCCCAACAGCAGGCTTAGCTCAGCATGTTTTATCCAACAGCCACATTCAAATCAGGTGGTGTCGCTCACCCTCTGTTCACCTTTTATGGCTCATCCTCAGACTCAACCTTGTGTGCTCCTCTCTGTACTGACCCAAATATGTCAACCAATTATTTTGTATGTTTTCTATCTTAATTTACCAACGCAGCAGTCTTAAAACAGCTTGCAGTGATGGTTATCCCTGTGGGCTAATTATGAACAAACATCCTGATGACCCGTCAGTGGCAATGTGGTGGACGCGGGTCTAAAACGATTCCATCTTTCTTAATATTATTATTCCTTTCAAGCTAATTGTTATTAGACTGGTTCATGTATTTAAATGTGTTGTGCAGTCCTTTGCTGTAACATAATGCTAAAATATATTACCTCGGTATACTTAATCCAAATTTTATTTTAACAGAACGATGAAGTAAAGCCATTTGCTTATGGTGGATTGAAAAGATAACCCTGCGAACGGTTGTTTTCATTGCATTTAGTTGTCTTCCTTTTACATAAAAGGTTTTCATTCTGAACCAGACCTTTAAAAGCTTGGATTCATGTACATTGTTTCCCACCTAATTGGTTGTTTTTCTAAATTAGAATCCTTCAGGAGAAGTTGGACCAGCCCGTATCGGCTCCCCCCTCTCCCAGAGACGTTTCCATGGAGATAGATTCACCAGAGAACATGATGCGGCATATCCGCTTCCTGAAGAATGAAGTTGAGAGACTTAAAAAAAGCCTGCGCACCACTGAGCTGCAGCGTAAGTGTCCACTTGTCTTCTCACAGTATGCTTGGGGAGTGGGCTCTGAAGGGGCAGATGGCCTGAAGTGTTGAATAAGGATGTGATCCTCAGATAAGCAGATGGATAGAATCCATTCACCCTCAATCCTTTAACTGAGGACATACATGACAGGAAACTTTCCCACTTTATTCTTAGACCTCTTTGTTCCTTAGAGATCAAATTGCATCTAAACACAGGTTGAGAAAAATGCACCTTGGTCAGCAAGACTTTTACGAAAGGCCACATTAGCATTTAACTGCAATTAATCTCCCTTTCTTGGTAAAGAGAGATCTGTCTCACATTACTTACACTGACTCTGTCCCTGAAGAAATTAAGTTCATTTAAATCTGTACTTGGCATACATTGTCCTCCCCTTGTTTTTTTCCTTTATCTTAAAGAGAGAAAAGACCATTTTGATATAAGTGAATTTCCTGTGTAGAGACACAGCTGCTGTCATGTTTTTAGAAGTTTTCCTGCTTTGTCATGCTCAAATTATTTGGGCCTTAACATAACTTGAAAGTGATAAAGAGAACTGACCCATGTCTTGCATGTGCAGAGAATCTTAATTTTATATAGATAAAATAAGATGTAACCTTCCCCTCCAATAAAGTTGAGTTCTTTGTACTGAGCATCGTTTGTGAAAGAGGTGTGGAAGTAGCTGAAACTCATTGTCTCAGAATAAATGATCCTGATGAGGCAATAGACACTTTTTCCAAACCATCAGAAGGTCTGGTTCATCTGCTGAGAATGAATGAGCTCATGGACATGGGTTGAACCTCTGCCAGGGTGAGCTTTTACTATGGCTGTAGTTGTGATCCTTCACCACTAGATGGTGCTGCACGCCCAACTTTGAACAGTCTTGAAGAAACTGGGTGAAGTAGACAAACAATATAGTGTCTAGAAGTGTATCTTATCAAATCTGTGTTAGTCAAGGTTGGCATTGACCCACTTCTAAGAATTTGATAAAAAAGAAAGCATTGTATTGCAAAGTTACTCAGACAACACTGTAGAATAGCTTTTTTGTATTTGTGCAAAAGTTTTGACTCGCTGTACTTGTTGCTCATTATGATATATAGTAGCAAGACTGATACTGAGAAAATCTCATCTGTCTGTCCTTTTTTAGACACAGAGAAGCGTGCCCAGTACATAGAGGAGGAGCGACAGATGAGGGAGGAAAACATTCGGTTGCAGAGAAAACTTCAGAGGGAAATGGAGCGCCGGGAGGCCCTTTGCAGACAACTGTCAGAGAGCGAATCCAGTCTGGAGATGGATGATGAAAGGTAGAGGGTGCACCACATCGTGGGACTGTGGAACAAGATCACCTCTGTTTGCAAGGGCATTCTGACATTATGCTGGTGAACAGCATAATGCACGATTCTGCATCCTGATGATTTGTAAAATGATGCAGAATGACCGGAAAGGCTCTGTTTGCCTGCAAAACTGCCGACACTGCCCGTCGGATAAACATGGCTCTTGTAACGAGCTTTTTTTATTACCGGAGTGACAACATGGTTTTTAACCCGATTGTGTGCCTTTTTTAAGATCATCAAACTTGAACATACTGCTCATATTGAGTCAGTTTCCCTGAGACCTGATTCAGGCCATGGTTGGCACGATTCAGATATGCAGGGGGCGTCAACATTTCCAGCAACACCTGAACTAATTTCACTGGGGTCTTTCTTTCTTTTTTTTTTTGTATCTGAAAGAAATCATCGCAGTTCATGCTGACAAAGGCATTTTCTGTTTTGTCATTTCTTATTTTCCTTCCAACCCTTTATTTGAGTAGCTCAGGCACACATGTTGTACAAAGCTGGTCCCCTGTGAGACGTTTGTGGCAACTCTATGGTTTCCTGCCACCAAAGCACTCAAACACTCATCCATGCTTTCATCACCCAGCACTGTTTGCATTCATATTGCATAGGTTGCTTTGTTTATGGTTTTTAGAGTTTTCTTTAAGCCACACCCCCCCTATCATAAAATGCGTGTCTTTTTTTAACTCAAAGTATTGTCTTCTACATATTGATATCATTGTCAAAAGGGCTGAGTCAAACAAAGGCTGTTTGGCCCATGAGCTTAAGTGACATAACTTAAATTAAGTCATACTAGTATCTGGTGTTTTTTCTTTTTCTTTTTTTCTGTATGTTCTGAGTTTAGATACCTGGATGTAGTCTGCAGTAGATGTGTTACAGGTACAGGGTGTGGCACACCTTTGTCGCCACACAGTCCAGGGTGCACAAACATGATATGCTGATACCCAGTGAAAGTAAAACAATCTGTTCTAGGTCACATGCTTCCGTTTGTGTCAGTGGTAGGCAGCTGTAACATAAGAAAAGGAGAGGCTGTATCACACTTGATTGTAATGTTATAACAGTCTCCTGAGGCAGAATGTATCTACGTTTATATCCAGCCTTAAATATCCGAAGGAAACGCTTCTTTTCATTGTCTTTTAGGCTTACACTATTGTAACACACGATTGCATTCATAGGATTCCGCTCTGACCACATTTGGGTGTGAACTAAATTCTGTGCTCCTCAGAGATGGGAAAACTTCTTAAACCACTTAATTAAACACATCTGGACTTCCAAATCGCTGAAGAAGCTTTTTCAATTGATAACAATGCATGAATGATTAACCTTTTATTTATAAAAAGCTGCGACAGTGTAAAACATTATCTTTATAATTAATAAATGAGCAGCGTCTGTATAAGATGATCATCTTATCTCCTCAGGTACTTCAATGAGATGTCTGCACAAGGTTTGCGTGCCCGAACAGTGTCCAGCCCAATACCATACACCCCATCCCCGAGCTCCAGCCGACCCATATCACCCGGTAACTACAACCCAATAAAAAACACCTTTGCTTTCAGATTACTTTATCGTTGATACAAGCTTTATCTTTGTTACAGAGGCTGTTAAATATTCATAAGCAATGTCCAGTCTGCAGCAAACACTCATTATTAGTCGGAGCAGCACATTCACTCACCCTGCATGATGTTTTTCTTTGTATATGGCTCATCTCTGAATTGAAAGTCTTAGATCTTTTAAATCGTCTGCTTACAGGCCTCACACTGACTGATATTTTCATTTCAGATAATTGCTTTTCAGCTATGTTTGTGTTTTTAAATAGAAAACCTAAAGTAAATAACACACAGGCAGAGTAAAAGTATCCACATTTGTTTTTTTTTCTTTCTTTGTTCCTTGTAACATATCGGTTCTGATTTGTGGAAACGTAGCGCCTCGCGGAAAATTCACTCGTGACAGAGGCCCCAGATGTGCTCACACACTAGAAGCTGGGGCCGTGGCTCGTTTAGCCTCTGGGATTAGTTGACATGCCAGCTCAGAGACGTATCAGCGGATCAGCTTCGCTCTTGTGTGCAGCCAAACATGCACCGATGTGCAATACAGGCGAATCAGCGCTGCTTGAATTTCATTCTGATTAAGAACATTTTTTTATTTGGATTTATTTTGAAAAAACAACAACAAGGAAAAGCGGCCGTTTCAGGCATGGGATGTCTCGCATCGTAGGCAATGTTACCCTCAGAATAACAGCTTTGGGCCATTCATGCACAGTCCCTTTGGAACAGGACCTGAGTCAACATCTGTTTATCTCATCCTGATTTATTGACATTTGTTACAAGTTTTATGGCTCTTAAAGTAAGTCATTGTCGGCCTGAGTGACCCGTGTTACGTCTCTTTTCCAGACATGTTCCTAACCTGGTCACATACACATTATGCAGTAGAGCAGGGAGACTAACACAAACCTTAAAGCAGCCCAAAATCCTGTAGAGTCTCTCATAAAGCTCAGTTAAACAATTCCTCAGAAAATAAGTAAATAATGCAAATGTGGTGTGAAATATGTAACAGATGGCCTCCAGATGCAAATCTCCCCCAACCCCCCTCCAATCCCGTATTTAGGCATTGAACAGATGTTTGTGGTTAGCTGTTTTGGCCTGAACAATTCTTGAATAAAAAAACTTAAAGTTGATGAGTCATTCTTTAGTCAAATGGCCTCTGTTACCCTGACCGTGCCCCTCTGTTACAGGGCTCTCGTATGGAACTCACACTGTTGGCTTCACCCCTCCAGCTACACTGTCCAGAGCTGCCATCTCCCACTACAACACCCCTGCTTTGCACATCCATGGAAGCTCCTCTCATGCTGTAGCAGTAAGTAACATCCACCCACACCCTTTTTCTGTGTTGTTACTTAAGAATAGCTGGTATATGCTGTGCAGCAGACAGTAATCAGAACTCTGTGTGGAGAGGCAGGGCTCCAGAGGGAAACCACTCAAACCTCAAATTTAATTGCAGAATGAGCTAACAGTATTTTGGAGAACATAACATCATTTTCACTTTTGCATCAGACAACCATTTTCTACATTGTCACTTCTCTTTTTTTGTCGCAGGGCTTCAGTTTAGAGCCACAGATTTTTGTAACAGTGCTTCTCTCATTCAGAGTGATTTAATGATTTAAGGTTTTCTGTGGGGGGGGAAATGTAGGACAAAATACAAAAAGTATTGTATTGTGCATATGTTTACCAGCTTTATGAAGTGTATCGTTGGCTCCTGTTGGAGTGATCAATGTTATCAACATCAGGTATTTGAATCCGGCATAAATCCGACTACGCAGTGAATTTTAAGGGTGTCTCTTCTACATCAATCTCTGTAGTCTGTTACACACTGTTCATTTAGTTTTCATGTCAGCACTTCTTCAAAGTAAAAAAAAAATGCTGTAAAAGAGGATTAATTGTTTTTCAAGACTGATAATAGGAGAACCAACCAGTGCTCCCAAAGGTCCCAAGGTCCGGTTGGCTGCACAGTCACCCTTTCAAAAACTGATAACGCAATCAGCACATCCTATTTATGTAACACAGTTCTTTACAATTCTTGCTCATTCTCAGCACACTTAATCAGCTTTTGTATTTGTTTTTATTGTCTGTGATTGTGACGACAAAAGACAGCGTCACAGTTGTCAAATGCATCGGTCAGCTCTCCATTCACACCCCTGGTGTTTAAAGGGAGTGAAACTGCTCGTTTGGTTCCAACCTGTGTGCTAGTCTCCGGCCTAAACCCTGTCAGAGACCAGGGACCCCCACTCCACCCCATATACCCGTTTTGTACTAAAGCCTCCCCCAGCTGAGGTGCATCCAGCCTGTGGAAAGCCAACCAGGTCATCAAAGACCAAATATTCAGATGCTGATGTCCCACTTCACGGGGATCTGCTCTGTTTTTTTTATTTTTATATCATGTAAGAGATGGATTGAAATGTGTTTTTATATTAGAATCCTAAAACACATTTTACCTGAGATACTGAGTCTGTAGGAGATTTTGTGTTTTAATAAGATTAAGCATTCTTCATGACGCGTGTCTCACCTCCACATTCTCATGGGAATGCTGCCGTTTTAATACAATTTAGGTGACTGTGACGCAGGTCTGCTCAAATTTCAGGTTTCCTACACATGCACAGCACCTTTTCTTTTTTTATTTAGTGTTTACGTATTCAGATGTCATGCTCATCTAATATTGCGTCGGGACATTGTTACTAATGCTCATGTCCTGTTCTAATGTTTTAATCCCTTTCATTTCAACCTTTCCTTCCTTGTGTTAAACCACTCCTCGTGTTTGGTGGTGCTGGTGCCCCACATCCATCCATTTTCTCTTGCAGCATGTGAATGTTACAGACTACATCGCCTTCACCTTTCAGCCCACCCAGGAGTTAAACTGGAAATAACTCTGTCTGGGATTTCAGAACATCAGACAGATTATATTTTTTTCCCTCTAAAACCCCCCTTTTTCTTCACTCAGTGTTTTTATCCCCTACAGTTTTGCTGCTCTCAGACATCAGCAGGCTTTTTACAGTCTTTGATGTACATTTGGGCATCAGCAGCCTAAAACATCTTTTAAATATTTTAAAAATGCAGTCACCTGGTGGTGTTCCCCAAGTTCAGTCTAATTTATTGATGTTCTTTTTCTTTTCCAACAGAGGCCCTCCCCAAGAAGAAGCACCAGCCCTGACAAATTTAAACGTCCAACGCCTCCACCTTCTCCCAACACGCACTCAGGGGCCCAACAGGCTCAGCCTCCACTCCCCCCACCGGCCCAGCCCATGGTCCAGTCCATGTCCTCCCCGGCAGCCATGTCACAGCACGCAGCAGCACCACAGCAGCCTCCCTCCCAGCCTTAAAGCCACACACAGTCTCTGTCTTTGCGCATGAGTGCGCCCACTGAATGCCACGATGCTATCGCAGCAACTTCCACCATTACCAGCTCTGGAAGTGAAGTTTCTTACTCTTAACAAAAGTCCACAAAAGACGCAGCTTCAAAAGTTTTAGAGGGAAAAGAAACAAGATGGCAACTCTGCCTTGGTGAAGGTAGCCGCCTGCCAAATCCACACGTGGCGTTACTTAACTACTCTTAAAAGGAATGGATGGACTCAAAAAATGCTTCTGGGATTTGTAGGATAAATATTTGTTCCACCTTCTGTCTTGTACAAGTTTTTTTTTTTTTTCTTCTTGCTCTGGACTTTAGCTGGTTGGAAATGTTGTTGTGGCGCTTCTGAGATAGCACAAACAGCACAGTTGGTATGTCTCAGTATGGTGACGTTTGAAGATAGGTTGGACCTGCCGATCACTGAATGGGTGTTCGGCTAGAGAAACGGACAGATTGAAAGATGGTCATTTCTTTTCATGCCTATAACGTGATAGCGGTAATGCCCCCACCCTCACCCCACTCCAGCTCACTCGTCGTCTTTTAAGCAGTGTCAATAATTCACTCTCACCCAGGTTTTTCGTGGCTTTAATTAGGTCAACAAAAAGTGTCATAGGTGACAGCTTGGGGTTTCTCCATGACAGGGCATTGATCAAACAGAGCCTTCAGTACAGATATTTCAACTTCTCAAAGCCTTCAAAGCTGTGCTACTCCTCGCTACAAATGGAAAGGAAAATAATGATCATTAATGAGGATGGACACTGGTACACAAACCCGCCGATAAATGTCGCCGTTTGGGGTGTTTGAAAAATATAGTCTGAGGTGTTGCAACGCGGCCATGTACTCAGCCTCTTCTCTCATCTTCTCTCTGGTGTATTTCTAAAAGCTTCTTTCATCCTAATGGCTATTCTTCATGAGAAAAAGGAAAAAAAACATAATGCTCTTTACACTAAACATACATACTGCTAAAACATTCTAATTGAATGGTACTGTTGAACTAAATTTCTATGTATGATTAAAGCTCTTGAGATGGCGACTCCTGTTTAATTGTCAGTTTTATGTTCAGCTATTAGTATTTATTTGTAATGTGAGAAGAATGGACAATAATCTATTTGGTAGTTTTTCATAAAAACTTTTGCTTTCATTCACAGGTTTACTTTAATACATCCAAAAAGTACCGGTAAATATTTAATTTGCCTTTCTGGAATGCTTCATTGTGGAAATGACATCCTGCCAGATCCTAACGGTACACTCTTGGAAAACCTGCAACATCAATGCTTTCGACCTGAAATGGTACCCCAAAAAAGCTGTTAATTTGAAGGTCCGTCACTGCTCACATTGGAGGATGTTTTGCTTTGGTGCCCATTAGGTTAGAGACATCTCTTTTATGTATTGCCGTTTATATTCAGAAATGCAATAGCTGGTGAAAAATCCAAGTTTCAGGTTCTCCACACAATAGAAATGAATGTGACTGGACAACTGTAATTTCCCCCTGTCCCTTTAAGCAAAAGTTGAAATCCTGACTTATCGACTTGCTCATTTCAGTCTATTGTTATACAACCAAATCCAAAGTTCCATTGAGTCTTGATCCTGCGCCCGTTTCAAATTTTCTTTGAGTGGACATGGTTTAACCGGTTCTAACTGGCTGAACACCAAAGGAGTGGTTTCCATAAATCAATCATTCCAGGATCATTTAACATGGTAAACCTTTGTAATGAGGGTGCAGCTACAGCAGGTGGGAGGAGAAGAGGACAAGAATGATGGCCTGTGAAACACATTAGGCTTCCATTAGGCGATTGCAGGTAACTGTAGCTCATTCACACATCTGGCCAGTTTTAACTCGCCACAATCAAAACACACTCCCGGTTCTCCATGTGACAGAAGTGTACATCTTTACCCAAACACTTGCTGAGAGTTCTGACACAACCAAAGTGTATCCAGCGTCTCCACGCTGAGTTGCAGTGTTCTCTCAGCAACCTGACCTAATCCAAGCAGGAATCTTGGCCAGAGGCTCAGGGTGGCCATGCAGGGTGCCACCGCGACCTTTGACCTTTTGCAACTCCGTAGAGCTTGGTGACTGTGCAAAGTGAGATTTATCCAGACTGCAGGGTGGCCGAGTGTGCGAACACCTGCCAAGCCTCTTACGGAAAGAACCGCAGGTGTCTACCTCTCAGGTGTCCGAAAAGTATCGGACAAAAAGAAATGGTCAAAACGTCAGGTCAGCTTTGGAACTGCTGGGAATGTTTATGCAGGGGCTACCTGTAGTAGAACAAAGCAATTGCATTTTTTCTTTTGTTTTTATCTGAGAAGCACTTTGTGGAATGTATGCCCATAGAATATTTTGTGTAAGAATCTTACATAAGAAACAAATATGCTGATAAGCAGTGTCGAAAATGTTAATTCAGGCTAAGTTTTCAGGCCAGTTCTTATTCAGGTCAGTGGTTGCAAATGCAGTTAACCCCCAAACAGCTGATTTTGCTTTTTTAGATACTTTTTTATGTATGTAAGCAAGAAATGGAGCATGCAGAAAGGAGTCTTTTTAACCTGTGGTCTTTGTAGATACTTTAATGTGCCCTGTGTTAACCCAGTCAAGCTATTTAGACAAAGCTCTAAAAAGTGATTGTTTGGTTGCTGTGCAGATTCTCATAAACTTTCAACATAATTGTGGAAAGTTAGATATTAAATAGATGCACAGTCAAAATCTTCTTTTCCTGGACAGGATTGCACACCACCTGGTCTCCACCACATTAACACAACAGAATCAATGAACTGAGAAAATTACAACCAGTGTTAAATGTATCCGTTAATAATCCACTCCCTAACCTCTCTCTCAGTTTCTTACTCTGTGTCCTCTACATGCACCAAATCTAGTTTAAACTGGTCTGGAACAACATGTCAGAGTAATTCCAGTGTAAAGCACAATTAACTTTGTCTCGCTTGTACTTTATTCGCTTCATTTTTCCGGCAGGAGGGGATTAAGGAACCTAAATCTTTTCAGTAACACCCTTCCTGCCCCCAGATTTACGGGAAAAACCATCAGAATTCCAAGAGAATCTTATCGTCATTCACTGTAAAAACCTTTTATTTGTCTTCTTTTATCCATATCACATACTGCTGTTCTACTTTGCTGATCTCTTCTTTCTCAACAGTATTTTTACAGCATTTCTTTATTCTGCTGACATGTTTCTTCCGTGTGTCTGACCTGAAATCACGTTGTAGACATAATTTTATGATTCTGTGGTAGTGTGACAAAGAGCTATTATTCCCTCTGCACTTACACTTCAAAATGAATAAACAACAGATAGAGAAAGTGTCTGTTCTGCAACATAATCTTTCAGGTGTTGGTGGTTGAGTAAAAGACAATAGATATTCAAGATTATTAGATTTTTTTAAACTGACTTTTGAAAAGCTGAGAAATTTCTTTAAAAAAATAAAAACATAGACTCTAATCCAAATGTTTTCTTGAATACACCTGTTTGGTTTTGTTGCCCAATCTTGCTTCTCTCTGAACATACTACTAACATGTATTACATTCCATGCTCTGCAACAAAGCATCAATTCTTTGTCCCTATCACAACTCTGAACCATATCTTATTTCCTGAAGGACTCCTATCAGGATATTTATTGCACTGTCCTCATTTTACATCTTCTGTCCCTGTTATCTTATTCACAGTCTGCTGGCTAACCTTACACCTTATATTTAAGATGTTGTTTGAGATGGGAACACTGATTATAACCCGTGTTGAGACTTTCCTGAGTATTTTCCTTTTATCTATTCCCACCACCGCCGTGTCTCCAGGCAGTGCGCCCTACTGGTGCAGCACGGAGTTGTTATTTTCATCCATCAACCGGTTCAGACTGGACTGATGACAATATTAACAATGTTACTAAAGAGCAGGAGCCCATTCACCGGGACCCACCGTGAGAACTACCAGCCCACCACTGTCAGCTGGACAGACCACTGCAGCTAGATGATCATTTTTCCATCTGTATAAGAGCATCTTACAGGCTGGTTGCCACTGTTCCGTTTCCCTGCTGCTTTTAGCTTGGACTTTATAAAAAAACAAAAAACAAAAAAATGAAATAAACAAAGAAAAGCAAAGAAAAACAAAAGCATAAAAACAACAACAAAACAAAAGAAAACTTGTTTCAGGTCTCGTGGCCCGGACATCTAACCCCATCTGTGAGTGCACATTATTACGTCTGTAACACGCTCATCTTTTAAGCTTTAAATCTAATGACAAAAAAAAAAAAACATACAATTAAAAAACCCCCCCCCCCCCCCAAAAAAAATCCCTGTTGCTGGGATGTGAGAGGCGCTGCTGTGGCGCTGCGCTCCAGGCGCGCATGCAGGAGGAAGTAGCGCTCTTCCTCCCGTGTCTGCGCGCAAGCTGCTGCTGCTGGACCAGCAAGAACAGCTTTGAACCGGTTTTTCTCACCGGCTACAAAGCTGTAAGAAAAACGGATGCACAATGAACACTGTTGATGCGGAGCGCTTCCTGTGCGCGCAGATCACATAGAGCACGGCGCAAAACGACTGGCGTCCGCCCGCGATGCTTGGCTTTTAGTGTCATCTTATTGTTGCTCTATAGTTGGAGGACATTTTTATTCGGGGGAAAACATCCTACATGGAAAGTTCCTGGCGAGCGCGCAGCTCCACAAGCGCCCGCTGCTGTTGTAGATGCTGAGGTGAGTGCCGCATGTTTCTAAACTAATTCGCAATCCAGACATGTCTGTGTTAACAAAGCAGATCAACACAATATATGAAAACAAATCCACCCGCAATATTGTCGGTAAATATCATGTCACCAGGCCGAACCGTTTTTTTTCTTCTTCCCAGGATATTGTAAGTATAGTTACAAAGAATACTGTGGACTCCAGTCTTATTTACTGTCAACATGGTGTATAAAAAAAAAAAAAAAAAAAAAAAAATAACAATACGCAATCTGAGCTCTGCATCAACTTTTAGCGGTTGTTGACAGACTGTGAACAAAGAGTTTGCCAAAGGTGGGGAAAGCTGATGCAGTGATGTGTGAAGCTGCATTGGGCACAAATTATTCATGAGAGAGAGGACTGGAAAACTTAAGGTCAGCACGGAAGACAAGCCTCTCCCTCCATGTCTGTCAGTGAGAAATTATGGAGGACCCAGGTTTTTGGTAGGAGTAGGGGGGTGGTGGTGGTGGTTGGGGGGGGGGGAACTTAGCAGAACCCTCTCTCCTCCTCCAAGGTGTGGTTAGACAGAAGAGAACAAATAGAGCAGCTGGCTGGGGGCGAGCTGCAGTCACTCTCAGCTCAGGACCTCACAGGTGCCCTGCCTGTTTGCCCCGGGCAGGTGTTGCAGCAGCCCTCCTAACATCGAGGCTAGGAGAGTAAGTATTTAGTTTGGGGGGGGGGGGGGTTTCTTTTTCGCTGCTCAACAATATTTAAACGGACGATCAATAATGTATTTCTTGGATCATGTTTTGGGTGACGGTATCTGTAATGCTTTTTCTGGTGTTGTTTTTTAGGAACCTCTCCTCTGTCGAGGCTGTAACAGATCCCAACAAGCACCAGCAACATCAGCACCATGACTTCATCCGCTAAGGTCCAGGATGGGGGCTGGGGGTGGGCCATTGTCGCCGCATCCTTCATGGCCCAGCTGCTGGCTTATGGATCGCCCCAGTCTGTGGGTGTCCTGTACCCTGAGTGGCTGCATGCCTTCCAGGAGGGAAAGGGCATGACAGCATGGGTAGGCTCCCTCGTGGCTGGAGTGGGCCTGATAGCCAGTGAGTATTATGTAGTAATAAAGTATATTAAAATGTTTAAACTCTAAAATGGATCCATAAAGCTCTTTGAAGAGAGGGATGGGAGGGTTAATAGACATTAAATGTTAATTATTTAGTTTTGAGGGTATGATTTTTCTACGATAATTAATACACTGACACTATTATCATTATGGCTAATAATGCATTTGGTTCAATTCGAGACACTAAACACATTAGTGTTTAAAGTGGAGCTCCACAGGTTCACCTTTACACCTGCTGTGAGACTCTACTGATAACAGATGAGACACAATACTTAATCAAAGTCTGAACAGTGACTACCGAATGAAGGTAAAATCAAACTATCGATAAAGTTTACAGATCAGTTTGCACACAGTAGTTTGGCAACAGATGGAAAAAGAAGCATCACAAATACGAGTGCTGTGCGCCTCCCTAAACTGAGCTGCCATTATTGATTTCTTACCAGAGGAAAGAAAGTGCATCCGTAATCTAACTATTCAGAGAGAGAAAGAGAAAGATGATGAAAACAGAGAGAGAGCAAAGATTTGAGTAATGTTTTGTAATCTTTTTGAACAGCCATGCAGAACAGGAAAGAAAGTATCCAACAGTGTAGCAACAGGGGTGCTAACCTAGAAATGAGAAATTTCTTGGAAAAAAAAAACACATAAACCATACATCATCTAGCAGTAATGTCTGGAAGATGATATGAATTCCAAGAATGTTGACCAAGCAGGAGCAGTGATATATGGTGTCTTTGGCCGTTATTTCTGTCTTAGGCAGAGCAGCCCCGTCAGCTTGGTTTCCTGCTGTCTTTCTCTAAAGGAGGGAGGTGAAAATCAAGACTGGCCAGAGCTGGCTTCAGGCCTGGACAAGTCTAGGGACACGTGTTCCAGCAGTCAGCTTGCTGTATCACTGCAACACTACAGCAGGGTCTCCACCCCCCTAGTTACAGGCGAAAGGCATCAGTGTAAAGGGTTTAGAGGGGAAGGAATCAGTAAAGGCCACATGATGCGTGAATCAAGTAGCCGCAGGATATGGGAGGAAAAGGACAAAGAAGAAAAAAAAAAACACTCTCGGTTTATAAATTCCAGTCGGAAATAAATTTGAAACAGACATTAAATTAAGCTTGAGTGAAACGGTGACTGTTCCATCACCTCTGACTGGTTGCTAACGTGACCTTGCTGTTTCTGGGGCCAGCAGTACTTTTCTCTGAAACTGTTATCAATAACACACAAACGCGGCCCCATTCTTCACTACTGTCCTTTGTTAGCTTGTTATATTTTTGTGCCTCTGACTCAGTTTTACCCGTATGTGTCTAACTCCATTATGTCTGCCCTTTGCCACTCTTCCTGCACCTTTTCCCTCAGGTCCTGTCTGCAGTGCCTGTGTAGACAACTTTGGGGCACGTCCAGTGACCATCTTCAGTGGCGTAATGGTGGCCGGTGGCTTGATGCTAAGCGCCTTTGCTCCAAATGTCCAGTTCCTTATCTTTTCCTATGGAATTGTCGTTGGTAAGGAATAATTTCTCTTAATGCTGTAGGAATCGTCTGTTGTGTTTTCATGGAGTATATAGAGAGAATATGCTACAATCCTCTAGAGATTCAACTATTCAGCATACTGTCAGGTGTGGACTTGGATCTTGAGTGAACAGTAAAATGTGTGTACAACATAGGAGTTTGATATATCTCTTATCATACTAACATGTAGGACTCACAACCTGTTGTGTAATCACAGGAGTTAAATAAGAGTACATGTCCTTAGAACCATTATGTAACATCAGGAGTTAATCATGCCCTAAATTAAAAGTTAATGAATACCACTGACAGCATATAGACAAGTTACAAAGCTAACGATTGCATCAATTGTGTGACATCACTGTCTGAGCCGGGGGAGGCAAAACAACATCATGGAAAGCTGACACTGATTTGGACCTTCACCGCATTGGTGTCCTCACCAAACCTACGGGTCTGGTGCCACCTGTTTCTGCAACTCAAGTTCCCATCCAGGCATCCTAGTCCCGACGCAGAACCACTTTCCATCCGTGCTATCTGTCATACACGGGGCACTGGAGTGGGAAGTGTTTGCATATATACAGACAGTGATTTATTTTTAGTAATGCCCTTAGATAGCCCTCTGTGCTGATGAAGCATGTGTTGCTTGTTTACTGCTTGTCAAAGTATATGTTTAGCCTAGTACGTACAAATGTACTCTCTAAGAAGTGTACATATGCCCAAAAAAGGAGGCATAACTTTTCTGCAGTTGTCAAAACCTACAATAACTCATAAACATTTGCTGTAACATCCTTTTTTTTTGGGGGGGGTTAACATTTTTTAATAAACTTTCCATCTCTCTGTTCTTAGGACTGGGTTGCGGTCTTGTCTATGCAGCCACGTTGACAATCACCTGTCAATATTTTGACAAGAGACGCGGCCTCGCCCTCGGCATTGTCACCACAGGTACTCCCGCTTTCCTCTGCCCTGAGATCTCTGGGTGCACACAAGTTCTCCATGCGCTCTTCTTTCATGTATGAGCTGCTGGGAGCCTTAGGAAGCTGAGGTAAACATTTGTAGTGTAGTAAAGGCAGAATATACCATTATATATTCTCATGGACTGGTGGCAAGTGACCAGATCTGGCCTGGCCGAGAATTAAAACCTTTATGCTATTGGTTTGGGATGTCTGAGTCTATAATCCTAAACTTAATCAGACAGAAATGCCTATAAACTTGATGGTTCTGGGTAGTGCCCTAAGTTATTTATCTGTATAAACTGCAAAATGTTTTGACTTCATTGCTATCTTTTGTCTTATTTCAGGGACAAGTGTTGGAGCATTCCTCTATGCCACTGGTCAGAATGAGCTAATTGTGTTGTTCGGCCTGGATGGCTGTCTGCTTATTATTGGAGCAATGGCATTAAATCTCATGGCATGCGCTGGCTTCATGAGGCCGCTCAATATGCCTGGGTACTATCTCAAACAAAAGGCCGCTCTGGAACGCAACACAGAAGAGCAGGTTTTTGTAAAGCCACAGTCGGATGACCTGAAGATATCAACTGGTTCCAACCATGCTACTCCGGAGAAAACTCTCACAGTAAAGGAGCTGCTCATCACAATCGACTCCAAGGACTTGGCCACCCAGACAGAGAAACCGAAAGAAGGTCCCCTGGCTGGGCTGGCCATCATGAAGGCAATCAAGAAGAAGCAGAGGGCCTACTCAGATTACATGCACTCCATGTATGAAATCCTGCAGGACCAAGTCATGGTGGCGTTCTGCATAGCCGTGTTCCTTTTCAGTCTGGGCGCATTTCCTCCAGTTCTTTTTATCGAGGACGTTGCACAAAGTGAGGGACTCATTGAAGAAGTTAGCGTTATTCCTCTTGTATCAATAGGGGCAATTGCCACTTGTATAGGTAAACTAGCGTTAGGTATGCTGGTAGACATCAGATGGATCAATGGCATCTATCTCTATGCCTTCACCATGTTTTCAGGGAGCATGGCACTGTTCTTTATCCCAATTACTAAGAGTTATGTGGGACTGCAAATCCTGTCTGCCATCCTTGGTTTCTTCTCCGGAAACTGGTCTATCACTTCATACATCACCACAAAGATAGTTGGCTTGGACAGATTGACACAAGCCCATGGCATCCTCATGTTTTTCGGGGGATTTGGAATCATGCTTGGACCCCCTGTTGTAGGTAAGAGACTAACTTTTGTTCATCCACTATTGCTACAAAATACTGGTAGTTTATTCATTTTTGTTTCATGTTGAAATGGCCTAGACTATGTCTTCATAATAAAATACGTCAGATAAGCAAGTAGAGCAATGCTTACTTCAGTACGACCCAACTTGTCCTTTTTTTAGCTGTAAGCTTAATCGCCAGGAAGCCCTGCTGACCGTGCTTTCCATGTCTGCTCTTGTCATCATTTTCCAGGGTGGTTCTTTGACTGTACACAGTCATATGACTTGGCCTTCTACTTCAGTGGGAGCTGTGTGCTGTTGGGAGCATGCATTCTCACTGTGCTCAGCCTTCCCTGCTGGAACAGGAAGAAAACTGAGAACGACAGACCAGAGGTCCAGTATACCAGCAGCTGTGACAAAGTTGCCTCTGTAGCCTGAACATGAGCACCCTTCAAAAGGACTCCAATCTCACACCTGCTGCTTTTCAACTGTCCGTCTACCATACCTGAAACAATCTCAAAGGAACTTTCTCTCCGACTGTACTGGGTATCTCTTACTTCTGCTGCCAGGTTTTACATACCAAATTTCTGAAATACGGGCCTTTCTTTTGCTCTTAGCCTGCGTCAAAGCCATCTACTATGGATCATTTTAAAGGTTTGACTGATATCTGTGTTGACCTTTATTTGTTATTACCTCATTTTACGAGGTTACCTGAACAATATTATATTCAGACTCTACAGTGTGTTTATGTAAACACAATATATTTTCTTTTTTTCTTCTCTTAATTGTAGCTCCGAAAACATTAAATGGTGCCGCTTTTTACATTCAGAAAAAAACACACGAAAAACGTCCTGAAAGTTGAGATGTGTTGATATTACACAACATCTAAAATCCTCCTGCACATGTAACCATCAGTTCTTCTGCAACAGAGAGCTGTAGTTGTTTAAATGAGGATGTGAAGCTTTCTTTGTAATCAATTTAAGCAATGTTTTTTATTTTTCTTATTCTAGTTGTAATCAAAATCTTAATTATGTTATTTGTATATTGCCAAAGCATCCGTGATAATCAATGCCTGTCAACACATAATGCCTGCTGGAACAATACAAAAGCATTTGTTTTCTTGACCATTTTATTTTCAAGTGCATTAAATCAGTTGGAACTATATTGCAGATTGAGATCTTCTTGTTTCTGGTTCGGTCAGATGTAAGTTTGGCTGATTCAAAACATTTGAGAGATCTTACTGTATCTATGACCTTAACTGCATGTTGATTGTCACTACGGCATGGTTATCATGACCACACTGTCAGTCAGTTTGTCCAAACTTTTCCTTTTCCATCACAGTGTGTGTGTGTGTTTCAATGTATATTTGTACGTTTTGTGTACGTATCTGCACACGCATGTTCACACGTATGCACAGGTTGGTCTGTGTGGATTGTTTGATAGAATTTTGTATTTGCTCTAGTTTGTAAAGCCCTATGTGCTAGTGACTTTTATATGCACAAAACCAGCCATGGAGCTACCGAAATTAGTCTTTTTTATTTAATTTGATTTAATTGTGGCTTTTAGAATCTCTTGGATATTCTTGAAAAAACTATCAAATATGTCTTTTGATTGTTCCAGTTTCAGATTTTAAGAGTAATCTGGAACATTAGTGTTTGCTTTTTATATTCATAGAGGAAATCTTACAGGGTGCGGATGAGGCACTGTGGTAGAGATTAAACTATATGCTGTAACCGCGTTTTTTTTTCTAATTTCAGTATTGTAATATTTATGTACGCTTTTCTGTTATGTTGTTTTATTTAAAAGGTGCCAATAAAGTATTATAGTACAAAAATACAATTCATTCTGGATTTCTGACATTTTCTTGTCATCTGAACTGCTTAAAACCTTAGAAACAGCTAAGCAATGTTGGAAACTCCCTTGGAAATGAAAGTTTAAGCAAATATAAATAAAAAAAACTCACTTTTCTACGAAAACTGTCCTACAGGAGCGTAGGGGATCAGAGCAGAGACACTTTCCACAGTGTTTGAGCTTTGCGTCCTGTGCCGTTCAGCTTCTCCTGGCAACCATTCTGGGCAACCCTATCACCGGTCTCCATGGTGACAAGTGTATCACGTGACCAGTAACACAAACAATTTTACATGAAAGCTATAGTTATGGGAAGTAGTAAGCAAATTAAGCTGTCTTAACACAAGTTTTGTCCCCATGTTGTATGCTGACTGCTGGGATGGGAAGACGATGGCAATAACTCATACTTCGAACTTCACGGTAGTTTCCGTAAAAGGAGCATTATGTCGAGAGGGGAAAAACCAGTCAGCAGTTCAAAAATGGAGCGCAGTACCGGTCCGCTGAGCTGAAAAATGGGCGCAAGCGCATCACTATCCTTCTGTGTAAGTTCAAACTTCAACTATTATAATTTTCTACCGTAGTTTTCTGATTAATCTACAATGAAGCTTTGAAAATTTGTATTTTATGGTCTAGCTAATGTTGACCAACATTGTACTTCAACACGATTCATACATGACTATTTGTTGTTCTTTAAAATTCATAAATGGGACGTCGTTTACTTTCGAACAAAGTGTACTTTTGTCAGTGCCATGGAAACGCATTTAAATATCCAGCAAAAGTGGAATTTAAAACTTTTTTATATCAACATAATACGAACAAATCTAAACAAATCTCATTTTGAGAAAAGGCAGTAGTAACACATTTTTTCACATTAAAATAAAAACAAAAACAAGATTTCATGATATTAAAAAGTAGTGTTTTATTTCAGGTTTTGTGTATGATGTAATCTGTTGTATCCATTTCATCATAAATTAATCTATTTAGAGATTTCTTTAAAATACAATCTGGGCATCTGAACACAAGTAATCCTTTACATCCCTGCCTTGACTAGGCATCTTTGTCATATTTGAGCGTTAGATGACGGCGGAGCCAGCCCCTCTCTAACTTTTTTTTTTAGAACTTCTGGTCCTGAATGCAGGACTAGAATTAACTGGATAATTTCTTTAGTTGATCTGTTAAAATGCCTCTCTTTGCACACAGAGTGACCCATCGTCAGTACGAATCCTGAGGCCCAGACAAAAGGTCAGCCCAGAGCATATTGCTCCTGACTTGGTTCCGCAGTCTGTCCTTCCAGTCAGGTGTGTATTTGGTGTTGCCTTGGAAACCCTCTGCAAGGATGGGCAGATGGTCTGTGGAATACCTCTTGTGTTAAGAGACTTGGTGGAGTTCCTGGATAAGAAAGGTAAATGAATCACGTTTGTGCTCCTCTGCCTTTAATCTCTCAGCTAAATAAAACTCTTTTTTTCTTGATTAAAGTATTATATCTGTTATTATTTTCTTTTTTTTTTCTTGTTCTGGGTTGCTCCTAATAATCAAACGTTACCTGTATGCACGGCAACCAAATCTTTACTTTTTCCCAGGACTGCATTACAGAGGTCTCTTTCGCTTGTGTGGGTCTGTGGTGAGGACCAGGCAGTTGAGGCAGAGGTGGGATCAAGGAGAGAGGGTGAACCTGGAGCATGAAGGGGATGTCCCCACTGTGGGCTCGCTCCTCAAACTTTTCTTCCGGGAGCTGCCAGTTCCCATAGTTCCCGAGCCTCATCGCAAACAGCTGGTTTTAAGCCTTACAGGTACTGAAGAAAACATTTGGACATTTTAAAGAATACATTTCCTTTAATCTCCAGAAATAAGTTTTTAGCATAATGCTTTATTTTTTATTTATTAGATGTGGACTAGACATCAGGGAGCTCAGTCAATATGTGACCCTGTTTAATACTAAAAAAGTAAGGGGAGTGTCAGAACAGAGAAGCAGGCAGGTTCCTGCTGAAAGCCTGGTTTAGGTTTCTCTCAGTAATAGCTTTGATCTTAATTGAAAACACAAACAGACTGTGACCCGTCTCCCATTTGAACTTATCCGAGAAAGTGTGGCTGGTACAACCTCTAAAAGAATCTACTTCTTGGTCAGTTTCTTCAGAATGTGGTGTAATGTGTTGAGGCACTGTTTAATGAACGCTGATCGGTTTTCAAGCTGTCAGAAAGAAACAACCTACTATCCAAGTATCATGAACAATTGTGCAAAAGTACTGAGTGAGACAATGATTTATCAATGACTAACCATAAATAGCAGATAAAGTATATTGAACTTTGAGAAGCAGCACTTTGTACTGGGAGTTGTTGTTATTTACTTTTGATGTGTTTCCTTTTGTTTAGGGTATGCAGATGAGCCAGAGCTGAACCAGAGACTGAGAGAAAATCTTTGCGACCTCCCTGTTTCCAGCCTCAATGTTTTGTCTTACCTCATCCACTTTCTGTCCAGAGTGGCCACTCACAGCCAAGTAAATCAGATGCCTGTGGAAAATCTGGCTACCATCTTTGGGCCGTGCATATTTCAGTAAGTTGCTGTTGTTATCACCATATTTGCATGCTCTTCAAATCTACCGTAGCACACTTACAGTCACCATCGGCCTGGATACATTCATTCCTATATTCCTTTTATATCCGTTACTCAGTTTTATTTCCATTATCAATCCTTTGTTTTAAATAGTAAAAAACAACAAGTATGTTTTATTATGAATCTACATAGCTTTTACTGTTTTTTGCGTTTGTATCAGATCAAAATGTCTCTTTGTCAGGATACAAAAGTCATGGTGCAAGTCATGGTACAAAAGTCTGAGTGACTGTGTGTCTGTTATGTGTAAAGCTGTTCATCCCTTATAAGGAAATGGGTGTGGATTGTGCGTACGAATGCAGAGCATGGCACATAACTCGACAGATATAACAGAGGTCATCAGAACTTTGCTGGGTGCTTCTCCCTTCCTGTTTACAATATTCAGCCATTACTGTAAACAAGCACAGTTAGGAGACTCACATATGCTTCTCCTTTGTTTTTTGACTTTGCGTCTATTCTTCTGCTGTTTGTTAACATCATGTCAGTTAGTCATGCAATAAAATCCAGCATTTGGAGGGAAAATCTCAGATGATTACCCCCTAAGGATGAAATGTTTGTTAAAGACTTTGTGAAAGATTCTTTCAAATAATTGCTTGTGGTTTTGTGGAAAATACAAGAATTAAAGACAGACCAGAGGAATTACGGAATTACAATTAACATATCAATTAATTATTATTATGATAAAATATCACATATAAAAACAATAGAGTAAAGGAGAGATTCATTCTTTAAATAACAGTCAGCCATATACTTTTTTTATATTGACCTAAAATTATCACATTTAGCTTTAAAGCTATGATTAATAAATACTTATTTTAATTTATTTTTCTGTTACAGTTCAAATAGTATTGCTAAAAGACCAGTGTAAGGCTAGATGACTGTGTGTGACGATATCATAACACATGCTTTTGCGGTGTGTGTGACAGCTCCTTTGCTAGTGTCTGCCCCCCATAACTCATACATATGTTTCTTCTAAACATGACAGTAACTTCCCCTCGTGTGTCATATAATCTATGTATTAGACAGTTTCTGCCCTGCCATTTTGACTGTGTTGTCTGCCACAGACACACATCTATTAATACTCAGATTTTTCACATTCTTTGTTGAGCGCCTGTCATTTTAACCTTTGCACAATGGATGAAAACTGTATTATATTCAAGACAAATTACAGCCTCTAAGTAAAAAAGCATGGATCTATTATTTTAGGAGGTGACGATTGCCTGTTTCTATTGTGAGAGTTTGACATTTCTTGGGAATGTATTTATAGCAGAGGTCGTCTGTGACAAAGTAAAGCTTTGGAGCTGGTTATCTTTGGTCTTTATTTACGGCAGGGGTCAATTTCTTGATGCTGGAAAACTATAGCTGTTTGTGCCTCTGACCACTAGATGGAACCCTATTTATTATTTCAAAGCTAAACTTTGGACCATTTGACATTGTGTTGTTGCTTCCACATCTCATGTGTTTGCAGTGTTCCAGCAGGGCCCAGGATGCTGGAGGAACAGAGTGTTTGCAATGCCTTGTTACTCTACCTTCTGAAGCATCAGGCAGTTCTTCTTCCAGGCAAAGCACAGGCCTGTGCTGCCTCATCTGATGCTTCATCATCTCCGCCCCCTCCTATTCTCTCTGCTTTTTCACATTTTGAGGTGAATCATGTTCTTTTTTAAAAAGCAGTTGTTATTTATCACATTTGTATGCCATTATTGTATATTTGACTTACATAAGTTTCCTTCTAACCAACAAATCAAATAATTTTGTGACTATGTCACAGTTTTACAAGTTTTATAAGGTTTTGAACTTCCAACTTTAAGCTTTTTTCATCACTTTACAAAAGGGTTTTCTTTCCTTGGTAGGATCAATCCAACAGTTGTTGCTCAGAGAGGTGCAGCATGGGGAGGTTAGATGAAGAAATGAGCCGAATCTCCAGGACCAGTGATTTTGAACAAACAGCATGGAAATCATCTGAAGTCAACAGGTACTGCTATGAGCTATAGATCATGATGTGGAGAGATCATTTGATTTTTTTTATGCAACTTACAAATATGTCAAATCCTCTTGCTTCTGTGGAAACTGCATATTTTCATTAATTGTACAATGGTAATAAGTTACTTTCAGGAGCACAGCAGTCACACACTTTTTGATGTAATTCATGTTTGTTTGCCTGTGTACTTGCATTTATCTCTGCTTGCATTCATGTGAGCTTGGCTTTAAGCCAGTGAACACAACTAATTTTATTTCAGACTGTGGTTAATCGCATGTGGTACTTTAAGGAGGAATATGTATCTGAACAGGTTCAGTTGAGGTCTGTGCATAAATGCTAGCAAATTAAGACAGCAATGTTTTTGTTCATCGTATTTAAATAGTACTACTTTTCTTTGTGTTTTCTGTTTAACATTGTTTGATGAACTCAGACACTGAGCACATTTGTCAAAGGTTAGTTTGAATATACTACACATTTTAAAGTGCAACTCGAAAACATTACCGTACTTCAAATCATGGGGAAAAAAACATGGGAACATTATAAAGTCTGCCATACCTGCTGAGAGGCATTTTAAAAAGCAAGTTTTATATGTTCTCTTGATTTTTCTGTTATTCAGGTGCCATAGGGCAGTCAAATATCAATAATTTCTCATCAACAGCTTCCCACGCTCATCTGCTCAGCAGGCATAAGATGCTGCATCATTCCAAATGTTTGTCATTCTACCAAAACAAACAAGATAAGTCAGACTGAATTTAAAGAGTGAAAAATTATTTTACTGGTCTATCAATGTTTTCCCTCCCAATAAGAGCAACAGCACATAATAAAAATCATATATTCCCAAAGGCTTTATCACGTTAGAAAGGGGGTAACTTAAGAGTTTATTATTTGCTTCTCTGAGTGATGTCTGTCACTGAAAGCATGTATGTTTGCGTTGTGTTCCATCTGGTAATGTCAGGACTTCTATGATTGCCAGTGCTGTCACAGTCAATTGTTACTATTATCTAATTATACCCACAAACAGCTTAATCTTAATCTTATCTTAAATCAACTTTTTAGGGCATCAGATGTGGGTAATAAAATATATGTGGTGTGAAGATGTTCAAAGTGTAACTCATTTCTTTTGAGGGCACTTTTTTCAGGATTGCTATTGAGCAATTATTATGTTCACATCAGTCATGATTTGAAATGTAGTCTGAGGCTGAATGTGACCAAGTTCATTAGTTTTACTATCTGTGTGCAGTTGGTTGCAAGTGTGTGTAGGCCGTGGTAATTGAAGTGGGTGGGTCAGATCCCTGCCTCCAGGCTTTACTCGTGACTATTGAGCACTCATTGTCTGAGCTCGCTGCCCTTTATATCTTTTTGTCTCTCTCCTCTTCCTAAGTAAAAAGCTGTTTACTGGCACATGTAATCTCTATGTTAGACTGCTGTTGCTTTAGAAATCTTTGCAAAGGATGTTTTCTTGTCTTGTCTGCTTACACGTCAGCGACAACAACCATGGATCAACAGTCCGTCACAAGTGAGTAAGCAATGAAAAGGCAGAGGACAGTAATGCATAAATCTATTCTCAGCATGCTGATATTTACATTAAAAAAAACAGTTTGACAGGCAGTTAGTATTTTTGTTTATATAATATAGAGTCAATATATTGCAGATTGATTACACAAAGTGATGTCAACAGTCTCTCGCATTTGTTGAAATATTCAGTCGAAGCTCTGTCATGACGAAAATCACAGGAGGTAACACTGTCCAATGGGAAATTAGGAGCCTTCAATTAACTTAACATGCATGTTTATTGACTGGTGCGAGGAAGCCAGAATATCTGGTGAGAATCCACACAAACAATTGACGAACAACCTCCACACAGAAAAGCCCCCAGTCCCTGAGGATCTAAACCGGGAACCACATCACTGTGCCCGCCTATTAATTGGCCAGTTTGTGCCTGATAAATTCAATACTTCCAACTCGTATACACTATAAAAGATGCTCTTCTCTTTATCTCCTCCTGTGCATCCTTTATTCATCCACAATGTCCTTTTGTGTTTCTTTAGTCCTGACACGGTGGGGCAGCGTTGTGAAATCAGCCCTGACGTCAGCACTGACATTCAGACATTGATTACAAGCCAGGAGTCTCTGGAGGAGAGCAGTGAAAGCAGGGAGGCGGGCCATGTGCTCTGCTGCCCCACTGACCAAGGGCCAGCGCAATGGCCAATGAGTCGAGCCTCTCAGACTGCCCCGGAGAAGATGCTTGAGTGAGTAATGCATGGGTGGATTTCTCACACAGCTATGACATTTGACATTTTCAACAGTTTGATGACTATAGAGCAGTTTCCCCCAATCACTTGATTTCCTCGTTTTGTCAACAGGACCACTGCACAGACGTGTCAGCTCTTCAGCACATCAAAGGAAAAAAAGGAACAAGAAGCAGAGCAGGTTCCTCATCTATCAAAGACAGCCATTCTTTAGTGTGCATTTTTTTGTGTTAGCTCCTGTATGCTTTGTTCCCCCCCCCCCCCTTTTTTTAAACTTGAACACAGCCATTAGCGCTCACTTTTCATCGTGAATGTTCTTTCAGTTAGTTCAGGCGTGAGTAACAAGACAACTGCCATTAAGCACCTCATTAACAATGTTAGATTCAACTGTCCAATTACACTATTGATGCTTAAATTGGAAGATTTTTTTTCCTGATCTGGAGTGTTGTATGACATGGACTGAACTGTTTTTCAGGCAACTTCTAATGCAGGGCAAAATCCATCTTCATCAAATGAATCACCAAGCAACCCCCAAACACAGGGTCAGCACACAGAGAGGTGAGGGGAAAGCTCCTGTAGGAGGGGACTTTTTCTTGAGTTGTGCTTGTCATTAGTATTTCTGCTGGGTTTTGTTTTATAGATCTGACTGCTCGTATAAATATTTTTTTATCAGAAAATGCAATATTTGTGCTCGTCTAAAGGCATGCTGTTTCAATACAGGGTAACGTCAGTGTTTTTGTTGCAGTTGTGTACCAGATTTAATTTGACCCGATGATACAGTTGTTTTTTTGGCCCTCCATTCTCTCGGTTCGGTGCACTACTGAGCCCTGCAGTCAGTTCAGAAGTGGGTTATCAGAGCATTGTGCTGCTCTCAGTTATAGCTTTGATATGATTCCAGTCCAAATAACACTGGCTTGCCACAGGGGATCACATGGAGCTGACGAAGTACATGACTCGACCCAGCATGGTGGCTTGTTGGTTTTTTCTTTCAGTTGCCTGTGCAGCCCCAGAGGATACATCATCTCAGTTATGCCTCATTAATATCAGGCATGAATAAGCAGTAGCCCTAATGGCAGTACCAGATGACCATCTTACTGAGAAGATACATAGAGCACTAGTTTTGTAGAGAGGACTACATTCAATGCAGTTTTAATTTTGATATATACAGATCACTTGTGTTAAATAATAAAGTCACACTGACTATGACCAGAGGAAGACAGACCATTTATAGCTTTTTATCCACCCATACTTTAGTTGGTTTATTTATACTTTTCAATATTATTTCACCCTTTTTGTGTATTATTGACTAATTTGTGTTTTTCAGCTGTCTGTGTTCCTTCAAGTACAAAACAGAAGATAAAGTCACAGTGTGTCAGTGGAAGGTAAACTCACTTTGACTCCTTTTTCAGAGCATTCCTATTTCAAGTGCGCTCTTCCAACACCCAAAAGAATAAATATTTAGAAAGAACTGTAAGAAAAACAATAGTTCCTCTCCTTTCAGAGCTGTTTCAGTTTTCTCTGTTACAATGATTCAACATTACAAATGAATAATCAAAGCAGCAGTTCAGATTTCAATTTGAGATAAATGGTGATTCGTACAAGATAAAAAAAGGCAGAATACACAATGTAAAGACTGTAATTTAACCAAATGAAAGCATTTTTAAAAATGATTTAAAATCTTAAAGTGGACCTTATGAAGATGAGATGAAAACTACGTAATAAGTTAGGTTTATTGTCTCAGAGTTTAGTTGATCTAAGTTTCAGTTCTGTGGTAGATTCTCAGGGCACATTGGAAGAAAAACACATCTTCTACAGGAGTGCAACCCAAACAGATTTACTGATAAGGCCAAAAAAAGCAAAGGCTGAGAAAGGTTTAGGGCTCACACAGATGGATGGAGTATTCTCTCACATCCACCTCAATATTAGATTTTATAACATGTGCTCTTAACTCTTGCAAAAATGGTTATTTTGTTACAATGAGATAATCATAATAATTTATCTGTACTTGCGAATGCAAGTCATTTCATCGGTGAACATCAGGGATGTTTTCGTTTCCTTCAGAGAGGCAAAGGAGGAGGAGGATGCCGTTCTCCTGATAGACACGATGATTGCAGAGGCAGGAGCAGCTGTGACGTAAGTTCTTCTCCCTCAGTCTTTAAAGCGATACAGACTAACGCAGAGTATCTATGGCAGCACGACAGATGATGGATGCCTCCAGTGAGCGTGGAGGAAAACATGTGCGTGTTTATGTGCATGCCTGTGTCAGTAGGTGTGAGTGGGTCTGCCCGTAGGTGTTCTGCTTCAGCAAAGACATCCTCACTTTCTACCTCCCCCTACATCCTTCCGCCTTCTCTGTGTGACGCACAAAGCAGCCTCTTTTTTATGAATGAACCGTCGATGAGTGAGGAGAAGCCAAGCCTTTAAACGGCTGCTGTCGATGATTTTGATGACGAGAGTGGTGTCTGAGCACCAGAATAAGTGTGCTTTAGTTCTGCCTCCTTTGTGTGCTCACAATATTGTTAATGCAGCACATCCATCTGCTCAGTTACATGACTCCCTGAATCTCCATCAAATCGAGTCCTTACCTCAGCCCCAATAACGTTGCCGTGGAAACGGCTCAGCATATACTGTACCTCTCTCCTTTTTTGCGCACACACCCACACCAGACATAGCCATAGCCACACGAGCTATACTCCCAGCACACCCCCCCTGCATTATGAATAAACCATGTGGAGGCTGTTCAGCAGCAGAAGTGTCAGGAATGCCGGTCAGGAGGACATAAGGATTCTCTTGGTGGGCTTGCCTTGTTCTTCTTCATCCATAAACCCGACCATGTGGATCGAGTGATCTGGGGATCACGGTGACACAGGAAATTTGAGTGGGTTGCTTCTCAGGATTCCCACGCTGGCTGTTCGTGCATATTCAGAATCTGACTCACAGAGTGACTACGGGATTAAGCTCTTGCTGGTTGAGTATTTTGCTGGGAGACTAGCTTTTGCTTGCACCCAAAACTCGAGAGGAGCAACAGAGAAGAAAATCTATATTTCTGTTTTTTTTTTTTCCAAGATTTTTTGCCAGATTGCACTTCGGTCGAGAAGTCTGGATTTTAGCCTCGCTCAGGATGATATCCACTGATCTAACCTCATCTTGTGACTCTACCAAACAATAGGCTTGACAAAGACAGCGGTGTCATTCAGGAGGACCTAGATTCCCAAGCAGCACATGAAACTCTGAAGAATCCTCCCTTATCTCCTACTGTGCTTCCTCCAAACTTCTCCTGTCCTCTCCCTTCTACATCCTTGGGCCATGTTCTGCTTCTGTTTCCAGAGCCCCTCCCTCAAGCTGCAAGCCCTTGAGGTTGAGTCGGGACTTTCGCCAGAACCAGGAGACCCCCAAGCTCAGGGTGGTCTGCCCTCTCAGCAACAACCGCTTTCTTCTGAAGCACAGAGCCACACGCCACATTCATCACCATTTCAGGAACAGCACACCGACGGCTCATTACCACCTGGTAAGACAGTGAAAATAAGCAGATCGATCTTATTTAGTCAAGAAAACCCACTTATCAATGCTGTGAGCTTCAGAGAATGTAATTTGGAAACAGATAACGCTAAAAACTGTACTAACAATTATTGTGCCTCCAATCAAAACACTTCAGTAGTTGTATGGTGTCCTAGAAATATTCATGTTCCTTTAAAATGTTCAACTAGTTCGACCTCTGCACCTCAGTAACCTAAATAAAAAGAATGATTGTTCTTATTTTCACTTTACCCAATTTTGTCCTTTAGCAATAAAAAATGTGTCATTGTTTGAAGTGCACTTCATGATCATTTTGATATTTTGCACCTGCTGTTTCTCCTTACAGTACACATCGTACCTTCATATTTATCAAAGTTCAGCCCTGTCGCCTCCACTGCCTCTCATTCTGATGGATTTTTAGGAGAAGATAACTCGCCTAGCCCACCAGCGTCAAACGCCAGCCCCCTCCTTTCTCATTTTATTACAAGTGACTGCCCCATTCCCTCTCCGCGTTGCCCCAGCCTCAGCCACAGCCAACGCTACAACGCAGACCCCGAAGCAGCTCCGTCGCCACCGTGCTCACAGCACATCCGCATGTAAGCAAGCAGTTAGATGCTCATTAATTGGTTGTCAATTTTGTCTAATGTCCTCTTGCGATACATCAGGGCTAGAGTTATGAATTGACATCATCTTGGCTTTTTAAGATTTATACTGAAAATAGAGTTCAGTATGCAGACAATCAAGAGTTGAAGTGGACAAATGTCTTTTTTGTCTCCAGGGCTCGCTGCAGTTTCCAAACACAGCAAGACGAAGGTTCTGTGTCCATCTTGATGCTCAACAGACATATTCACACTCTTAGGAAGAGAATCAGGCGATTTGAGGAGCATTTTGAACAGGAGAGGCACTACAAGGTGAAGGAGGAAATCAGACCTGTTTCATTTGATAGAAAACTTTTCAGAACAACTTGACAAGTGTTATGGTTATTTTTCTATTGTGTCTTTTGATAGTAACCCAACTCAGTGTGTTCGAGACCTATTTCTTAAATAATGCTACTGAAGTGACCACAAATATTAGTTTAGAACATATTTCTCCATCTACTGGTATATTTTAGAATTACAGTTTGCTGCACAACACATCAGGAGGCAGCCCATTCCCACCCTAGTAATGACGTAGGTACTTTCTTTTTTGTTTTTTCCAGCCAGCCCACAATGACAAGACGGCACATCCAGAAGTGGCCAAACTGATGAAGGAGCTCATCAAGAGTCGCAGGCAGCTTAAAGGTTTGTCTTTTAACCAGCACACACACTGTTACGTGGTTGAAGTGCTGGAAGAAGTATTCATTTTTAAACTGTTTGAGTCAGTTAAACTTACTTCTTTTGGAAAAATTATCTTAACATTACTAAAAAAATAGCAAGGTCTGCCTTATTAAATAGAAACTCTTCAGGTGAAAATGGAACAGTTGTCTTTTAACTTTTTACTCCAAAAATAGCATGTTGAGCCAGATGTCGTTATCTGTTTTCTGTTTTAAACCATAGTAAAAAGAGCTTACCTGACTGAAAATGGGTCTCGTAGGTTTGTCACATAACAGTTGTCTAGGAAGCTGCTATATACGAGTTTTCAAATATGTGATTTTATTTTCCTGTGGAAAAATGCTTTCAGACATAAAGTATCAATCAAGTAATTAAACATTTCTAATCTAGCTAGTTAAAATCCTGAATTTAAAACAAAAGGATTATATCTGCAAATTAAATCAGCTCTCATTAGTAAATGGAACTTTAATAGAAAATTGAATCTTAGTCTTGTATTTTATGGTTGAAAATAAAATGTCCAACCAGTTTAACAACATCACGAGGAGTTTAATAGAAGACCATTAATGGGGCAAAAAAGAAACTTCTGTCAGTCTGTAAGTATTAGTGGCATTAGAATTCATTCACAGTACGGATACCAAAATTTTATACAAAATATTGATTGATCTAAATATTTTTGTGCTTAATGTATTGTTGGTTTTCTTTTTGCTGAATGCTGTGATCTTTTACTTGAAGAGATTAAGCTGAGAGACTCAGAGGACTCTGGACCGACGGGACCCAGGGGCTTCAGCCCCAGAGCTGAAACATGCAGGACCAACATAGACCAGAGAGAAGCAGCACCAACGGGAACTGAGCTGCAGCAGCTTAACAACAACAGCAACACCAGAGCAGATGTTCAAGAAACAGTAAACATGATAGCCAACAGGCTGAAGGAAAGACGGCGAGAGCTGGGCCTGCCCAACAGCATTAAGGTTGTTATTCCAACACCAATGCACAGACTGTTGTTGAGGAGTTTGATTGAAAGTAAAGCCATAAAAAGTTGCACGTTTATCAAGTCCTGTGCTGAATGTGCAGGAGATGTCCCATGTCCAGATGAGTATGGAGAAGACCTGCATGCAGAAATGTTTGCTGTATTACGAGGGTCTGCACGGACGTCCGGTAAGACACGGTTCTTCGTCATTTCAGCCTTTTTTGTTGGCCAGAAATGATTTTGCCCTTTTCTGCCTTTCTTGAATAAGAGGCTACATTGATGTGCTTCTTTCCTTGTGTCTGTGTGATTCAGAGTACCAGGCAGGAGCGCATACTGATGAAGCCTTTCTACGATCGGTACCGTCTCCTCAAGCACCTGCTTGCTTCTGCTTCCACAGCTGCTATTACTACCATAGTGAGTGACCATTTAAAGAATAGAGCAACTACACTCAGATCTTTTGCTTTCAAGTAGAGTGGCTTTTAGAATCAAGACATTTTCTGCAACATTTTCAGTTCAATGCAGTGATGCAATACTGCCTTCCAGTGGCTAAATGTAAGACATGTAACAAGATAGAAAATAAATCCTGGAGTTTAAATAGAGGAAACTGATATTGATGGCTCACAGGTAAACCTTTATTCATCACGTACCAGCTGATAACAGAATTAGTGGCCTGATAAGCATTTCTAACTTCAGCTCTTTTGTGGTTTATTTATTATTTTTTTTTTTTTCAAAGGGATGCTTTATTACATTTGTGCAATTGTCTACGCAGGAGGAAGAGGAGGGATCTGATGAAGAGGATTCCAAACAGCTAAGCCCCAGGCAGCAGCCACTTTGGTTGACACCGTCCAGGCGCGTGTTCTTAGAGGAGTGGCAGGGTCTGCCTTCTCCGGAAACACCCGAAACACCTCTCGTGTCTCCTTTGGAAGAGCTGAGTTTCCAGCCGCAGACCATCACCATGGCAACTCTACACGAAGCGTCAAGGTACAGTTTTAGTGTGTATGTGTGTGTTAGCAGATTACATTAGTCTCATCTCTATGCACTTTTCTGACACGCATTAACAACAAGTTGAAAGAAAAGAGGATAAATCGGGTCTTCTCTTTTTCAGGCCAGAGTTACTGGATCATCTCAGGATGGTTCGATTAGAGAAGCGGAGACTTCACCAAGTACTCCGAGAGTTTGAGGACTACTTCTACACACAAACTGGCAGGTAACAGACACACAAAACACTCGTGCATAACTGTGGAAGTACTTGGCATTTCATTTTTATTTAGTCTTTTAATAAACTTGGAACGTTTGGTTTTCAACAATGCCTCGTGAAAAAAACAAAAACAGAGAAAAAACATCCACAAAAGAAATGCCATCATGATGGTCAGATGATGTAATGCACACTCATGTAACATTAATCCAGCACAGAGAGCTCAGGAAAGAGACGAAGAGAAAGACATTTGTTCTGGACTGTACACATCCTTTGTATTGTACACGTTAGTCGTCCAAAGTAAATACAGTAAGTTTTGTTATAACATTACACACTGTACAAAGCTATCTGAATAAGGCAACATAGGGACTATCAACCAGTTGTGAAAGCTGCTGCATGTTGTCTCAAAACTACTAAAAAAATGTTTCATTTCCATTTGCATCCTTTATCTTCCATATATTTTTAACAGGGCTTGTCAGAAGGAGGACCGTGGGCCAATGGCAGAAGAGTACTGCCAGTACAAGAGCCTCAAAGCAAAGCTTCGTCTACTGGAGGCCCTGCTCAGTAAACAGGACTCAACCAAGACAAGTTGAGTTATTCACAGTGGGACTTCTTTACATCTTAACAGGACATGATCATTCTGGGCATCTCGATCACATGTCGTGAAGCTGATGGGTCTCATATCATGCCATGCTCGTTATGTAAATGCACTTTACATGAGAAAAACTGATGGATGGATTGTTGACAGTCTGATTTTAATACTGGGTGACTGCAAACGTTGTTTTGTTTTTTTCTAGTCATAAAAACACACCCTATGATCCAGGACACGTTATGAACTTGATGTAACTATGTAGCACAACTCCCTATGTCAAGGACTACGCTCTCCAACAACCTAATGTCACTAAATGTCATTTTAGAATTACTGTCTGCATATTATGGCACTTTTATAACTCACTTTTTTCTGCATTCCCAAACAGTTTTTGTCCTTAGCTGATGTAGAAACTGCATTTCTTAAAGTGCTGTCTTGACCAGAAGAAAAAGTGGAATCTTAAATGCAACCAGTGAGACAATCCTACAGTGTTTGTGCATGTCAGTTTTTTTTTAGCTGTGCTATGATATGTATTAAAAATGTCATACTTGATCAAAATTGTGACAATTTCATTTACATCTTGACCTTGAAAGATATGTGGTGAGCATACACGTTGTAGTGCAAGTTATATATTCTTCCAATTTTGTGTTTTTTTTACCACTTCTTCCTTTTTTGCCTGTATGTAATTAACCTCCCCAAATGCCTGTGTTGACAACGATCAGAGCTTTTAACATTGTGCACTTCTGGTTTATATAGTTTTCTATTTATTTATATACATATATATGAATGTATCAATAAAAAATAAATATTTTTTTCACATTTATTCTCCTAAACACAGTTTATGGTTCTACTTTCTTTCCACTGACAATAAAATAAGAATGACTGTTGCACAAAAGGTTGCAATGGTAGAGGTACAGCTCAAACTCATGCTGCACAGGACTGCATCATGCTTTTCTTTTAAGGTTTACAAGTTGCTCACACTTCAAATCAAAGACTTTGTGAATACGCATTTAGTCTGTTGCATTAGTACTGTTTAGAGTCCACAGTAGTTCAACGTCTGGTTTTTAATACCTTTGGTATAATCGATGCTGCAGCCCAAGAGAATAGTTGTACCCGTCCATGCCACTACTAGGAGGTAAAAACAAGTCTAAATTTGTTCACTGTGGAATTAGAAACAGTCAATGTTACCAGACCTTCAGTTAACAGCATATCAATAACACCAAGGCAAAGGTCATTAATAAAACATGGGACAACTGATTAAAAACAAACAACAGAAAGCTGAATAGAAGCAGCCAGTGTTTGTTAGTTCACTTAAAGGGTTTAGTCTGGACACCAGTGTAACTTGGTGGATGTACATGGATGTACATATTTGCGTAGTTAGGATTTTTCACTCGGGTGTTTTCAGAGTATTTTCAACCCCTTTTACGTGAGGAGACAGTGTTAGCGGGTGCATACCTTTTTTTTTTCCTCCATTCTTCTTTGGGAATGATGATCTCTTGGGACGAAAGAACTTTGTCGGATATGTTTATGTGCGTGGCTGGTAGGGAGCCTAATAAATCTGCCGCTTCATGCATGTGTTGGTCTGCTTCATTACATGTGAGTGTTTTTTTTATTTTTTTTTTATTGTCAGTCAAATCTGGTCCTTTTCCCTTGCTCTTGTACATTCTGCTCATTCCTAGCGTCCCACGCTGATGTTGCAGGTCTTGCAGCTGGGGTCCTTCTTGGCGTTTACTGTGGACATGCTCATCAGCTGGTGCCCGCTGATCTCCGCCACCGTGCCCAGGGCCAGGTCTACGGGCTCCGTGTAGATCACCTCCAGGATCACGTCCTGGGCGTGGTGAAAGACCAGGCCGCCGTCGTCCTCCTGCTGGCAGGTCAAGAAGCGGTTGTTGGCGATGTCGAGCGCGGGCAGCCTCTGCTTGCAGAACTCGTCGCCCGTGGAGCCCTTGGGCGCCAGGACCAGGATGACGTAGTGGTAGGCCGTGTACATGCAGTAGAAGTCTCCGAAGTAGAGGTTGGTGTCGGGGCTGAACAGCGCGTCAGCCCGGACCTCGAAGCGATGGCGACCGTATGGGGAATCCTGCGGGGGCTTTCCGGTGTTGAACTCCGTGTTGCAGCTGAAGAAGATGCCCTCCAGTTTGCCGCTGATGGGCGAGCCGTGGCTGCCGCTGTTGTCCTTTACCGACGGCAGCATCCGGTTCCCTTGTTCCCTTTAGTTTGGAGGGAAAAACACAACGATTGAAACGAGCCGCTGGATATGCGGTTTTATATTCAAGGAAGTCCCAAACAAGTCTGTCGAAATTTAAACCGCTTCTACATCATTGTGGTAATCAGTTTAATCTCATATAAGAATCGCATCAAGGTTAACTCTGTATTTAATTCACTCTACCTTCCCCGCTCTGATGAGTGTAGAATTAAATCTGCACTTATCTTAATGGGTGACAGTCTCTGCAGTGGAGCTTTGGATAGGTGGGACTTAAATCACCCCTGTTGCTGTGCATCTGTCACACATTATGTCACAGTTCTTGCAGTATTGTAGGGTCACTTTCTTTGTGTCCTCATATGCACCATTCCTGTCTTTGTACCTTATAGTTACGCTACCTCAGGGCAGGCAGTGTACATGCATTAGTTTTGTAAATGCAAAACTCTTATCTGATTTCACTATCTATGGGGATTAAATCATATCAGTCTAATAAAGTTAGTCTAAAATAAACACTGAAAGGAAAACAAAAGATTTGCATTAAATTATAACCATTATAAAACACAAGAAGCTTGCAGATGAACAGATTACATTTTAATCGGCCACTTCTGCCTAGATCTAAATTTAAAAAATGGTTTTATACAGCTTTAATTCCAGATACTGGTTTTACATAATAAATTCATGTTTTGAGAAGAAAAAATAAATTCTGCAGTTCTCAAAGAGTGTAAATGTGAGCGCTTTGTTCCCCCACATGATGGTGCAGTTTACCTGAAATGCTCTCAGTGCTTTGTGGTTGCTACAACTCAGCAAACGGGGAGAGAAGGGTGACGTCATGCTGTACAGCAGCACAAAAAAGCCTGCTCAGAGGCTGTAGTTTACAGAGATAACCGGTGCTATTTTTTTAAAATCGGCAAGCTTTTCTTTAAAGGAGCAGAAGCACAGGATTTAAATGCAACAAAGAGGGGAATGAAAATACAGCTAGAGTACAGTAATTTCAGTTCAAATATTCTAAGCATCATGTTTCTTTTGGCCATTTTGTTTTGCCAGAGGTGTTCTACAGGCTACCCTCTACTTGTAAAGTCATTAACGTTAACATATAACTGACTGAGGCCTGTAGATCTTTTTGCAGTTTTTCTAAACCTTAAGGGACATCTGCACTTGGGATGATTGATAATGGTGTTGAAAGTTTTCCACTTGTGAGCAAAATTATCTGTGTAGAATGATGGTTGTTTCTCATATTGAGGAGCAGCAGAAATTGCTTCTCTCAGATCGTTGCCGATTGCCTCCTTTGTATTGCGTTATCAACAACGTGACCGGCCCAGACTTCTTCTGTTCCTGTAAAGACGTGATCTCACTTCCTGATGTGTGTGCACTTGATCCATTAATCAAGAGTGCATCATTCAGCTGCGTCAGGCTGATGCTTAATCTCTTAATTCCTTTGGTAGCAGTAAGGGCTGCAAAACCGTTAACCCGAATAATGACCAGATCTAATGTAACATGTACTATAGTTAATCAGAGATTTTATGATTCAGTCAAATGTGCGCTCCTTTCTTTAATGTCTACCATAATTCTGTTTTCTTCGTTCACCAACACTCAGATTTTGTCTGCCAGAGATAGACAAGACTGACTGCTTTCAACTTAAGGAAAATGAAAACATAACTTTATTTTCTGTTGTAGATTGATGCAGAGGGTTTTATATAAAAATCTTATTGGCTGCTACAGTGTTTGAATGCTCCTGTGGGAATATGGAGAAGTAATTAACTAGTTTAATCAGCTGCTGCCTTTGGAAGAGCCTATTTTTGCCTTTGCTTTAAGCTGGATAATCATATTAGTAATTGGAGGTTTGTTTCTTTGACAAATACAAAAGCTATTTAATTACAACTAACTGGATTAACTGTAATAAAACATTTATGGCTTATCCTTGGAATACATTTACAGAGTAATAGCAGAAGTGAATTCTATCACAGTGGTACATGTCTTCTTATAACAATGCATCAAGCTGCCGATGGCCTTTAAATCGACACTTCAGTACCAGAAGTTAAATTAAGGGGGAAAAGGGGAAGAGGTTTATAGTAAATACCTACATAATAAAATAATTGCACTGGTCAGCTGTGATGGGGATGATTACCTTGCATGGTCAAAGTACTCCTTATTCTGGTTTCTGTAGAAAACAGAGAAACGCAGCATCCGTCCGGAGATGACCTCCGCCTTCTCCAACAACTGGTTTAGATGCACTGTTGAATAATCTGGAAACACATTCAGCACATGACAAAGCGGACAGAGAAAAATGAAAATCAATGCATGTTTATTGAGCATTTTAAATATAAAAAGCAAAGCAGACCACGAGGCCATTGTTTGCTGCTCTCTTTGACGAATCAGGAAAATGTAAAGGAAGCAAAAATAGTTAGATTTTGGAAATCAACATATCCAGCCATGTTACCTCTGATGCATCCAACAGTGTGACAGTGGAGGAAAACAATTTGTGGCCTGCAGCACTGTAATACCTTATGAATGCGTCAACAAATAGGTGGATTTAGCTTGTAATATAGAAATGCTTCAGTGGGCAACAAGTCTAGAAAAGTCCTGCAAGTGCATTCCATTTCCCCATTTATCTTTCCTGTGCCCTTTTAATTCACACTGCTGTGAACTGCTTCTCTTAATCCTCTTTGAAACTGTCCCACTCCTGTGATTTTCCATTCCAAAGCCATCACAGTCATTCCAGCTGCACTTGCTGTGAGTACAGACTGAAATACGCCATTCTTTCAACTACCTGATGGATTACCATGAAAATGCAATTAAAAGCAATTAAAACCTTAAATAGATTTAAGCTTCATACACCATAAGTTCCATGTCTTTTCTTATGGTGGTCAAGTTAGAGCATTTGGTTTGTTGATCACACCCTTACAGGCAACCTACAATAAGGGCAGCCTTACTGTTGGCATCTCTAACAGCAATAGGAGCCACAGCACATGACAGGGCTTAGGGACCATGTAGGACATTCAGCAGTCGTTACACAATCCATTGAATCCAATGTAAGCATGACTTTGCTCATTTTAAAAGGTACTGTCATGTTTTAAAATAAATAAATGAAAAAGATTCAATAAGTATTATTTTTACCATAGCGTTTCTGATCAGTCCCATCTGCTGACATAAGTAAACATAACTTTTTGTCTCTAATTTGAACTGTATAAGTCTGTTATGAAGAAGATGAAAGCATTTAATATTCAGACTGCAGAGCCTCTTGAAGCTGCTCCCATGACTGTTTGACAGTTCATAGACAGAGGGGATTGGCCAACAAAGGGCTCAGGCTGGATATCAACAACTTCCATTATCACGGACCATTAGGCCACATTGTCCCCACCCTTTTTTGACTAATTCCACCCTGGAGTCTTCCGATCATCTTCCCTTCCCCCACTCTAAGCCTCTCGCCTGTGACGTTAAAGTCTGTGACCTCAGCATCAGAAGATATACAGCACAGCTCCCCTCACGCCTTTAATCCTTCGTTTTTCTTATCTACCCCTCCTCCATCCCTCCATTCATCTTTCCGTCCACTTACGTTAACCTCCATTTAATATTCTCCCTCATTATGCTCCTTTCTTTACTTCATTGCGTCCCTTTTTTGTCTAAGATTTCCTGTTAGTCGGTTGTGGTTAGATCGAAGGCATAATTGAGGGTAAAAGGTCTTGAAAATGCTTGCATAAACAGCACTGAAAGTTCTCCGATACGCACCGGCGGTGCAGAACTCGATGATCTCGCTCCACTCTGACACAGCGTAGTCCCCGTCTGTCTGTTTGGATGCGGTCTGGACGGCCACTGTGTACTCGGTGCGGGGACTCAGGAACCAGTGACCCCGGACGGTCATGGGCAGCGGCACAGCCTTAGCCACAAGCTTGGTAGGAACATCCTGGAGGAAGAGCACGACGACAGAATTGAAGGATAAAGAGAAGAGAGCCATGCATGACTTTCTTTTTTTCTCCCCACACAGAGATTTGTTAGCTTGCAAGCAGACTTCAACTACATTTTCTGATGGATGATGTTATTATTTTATCGAAGTCCCCACCAAATAAGAATTGGAGGACCTTAACAGTTCCTTGATTGGTCCATGAGCCCCTGCCTAGCAACAGTGTCAGCCCGCTCTGACAGCAGAAAGAGGAGCTTGACGGAGCTGTGCAGCAGTCTAAGAAGTTAAAAAAACTCAAGAAGGAAGGAGGCTGATGAAACAGATTTATAAGATGGCCAGAGCAGGTCTGTGAGAGGAGCTGTCTCTTTAGTTTAGTTTTCCCGAGACACCAAAGAGGTTATTAACCCATCAGAATGAGAAAAAAAATGATTGCACTGGGGTCAAAACATCATTTAAATTAAGGAAACTCCTTTGCAAACTGAAATCGAGGTCACACTGAAGGAAGCAGCATCTTATCTTAAAAAGGCAGATAATAAAATCTGACTTCATGGACACCTTGGTACAAATCATTTTATGATCTAGGTGATGTCTTCTCTGTGAAAAAGCTGTGTGAATGCAGACTCACATTTTCAAATGATGTCAAGTTTAAATTATGGCCAAAGATTTAAGACGCGAAAGCATTTTACAAACAAGCTGAAGGTTGCTTTTAAAAAAAAGGTAATCAGAGAGTAGAATAACTAGTTCTTGAGGAGTGACATTAAATTTGTGGCCTAATGGGTTTCTAAAGAAAAAGGGCTTCCTTAAAAAGGTGTTTAACGGCCTCAGACGAGCATTACCTTGTGCTTGAACTTGTTAGAGTTTTTGTTCTCTTTCTTGTTCAGGTCGATGAAGTAGTGTGTGATGCGCTCTTTGCTGCGGGCCTCCATGTCCCAGCAGATCTTGAAGGAGTCGCAGGTGATGTTGCTGATCTTGATGTTCTGAGGAACAGGGAGCTCCTCCATCTCAGAGATGCTGCCATCCTGGGATTTGTTTCCTGTCGAATCAAATAAAAATAAAATGCAATGTTATCAGTATCAATAAGAACAATAACTGACTAAAATGAAATTGCACAGTTTAAACTGATTTTTTTCTGATCTTTTGAGAGCTCACAGGTCAATCATAACCTTTGCCAAAACGTCTTAAGTGTTTTCAGCCTGTAAAGAGATTTTGTTGTCTCTATCTCTTCCATCTCAGTGACTCTAATTCTTCCTACAGAGAGCATCAGTAGTAAAGCCGCTGCATCACATGGAAGCACAAAGAATTGCCTGTGTGGCTGACTACAACATACGTTGCCATGGAAACCCTTGGGTCCCTCAAGACTCATACACCTATGCTGTGCAGAGCATATGTGCTATTAAATATTCTAACACTTGAAACCTATTTTCTCAGCAAAGACTGCTCCTTTTAATGCTTTTTAAAGCTGCAAAAACAATCAGAATAAGAGTAAATGAGTAGGTTAACAAACTGTGCCTCAAATCAAACGACGATGGCCACATTTTGTCATAGCACTCTTGGCCTATCTGGCTTCGACCTAAAGCCCATTTCATTTCATGAAATACCTCACATCTCTCTCAGCTGCTTGTAGTACGATACCCAAAGGCCTACAACTCAGAGTGCAAACAGGGGCCGGTTAAATGTCAAAGCACAGCTGAATGAGAGCTTTGTTGAATTAGGATGAATATGGACCTTGCATCACTGGAGGACACGCCCACTTGGCACGGCAACAATGCGTTTTCTGTGGAAGCCGTGGGGTCCAAACACAAGAGTGAGTAAAATTCAAGAATGCAGCATTCAGGGGGGGTAATGTTGAACATGACCGAGCTCCACTGAGAGTTTACAATAGCTGCAGTAGCGAAGCATGGAAAATCCATCCCTGTTCATCCGCCGAGACAGGGGCAGTGAAGACTTATCTCGTCATTAGATGGACGGTCTTTAGATGTGCACAATGCTTTTTAAACCAAATGTAAAAGAAAAGATAATACGAGTACTTAGGTAAAACAGCCTGAGCTTAACGAAAAGGGGTTTCTTTGGCTCCAAGATTGCGGTGGTGCACTCGTATAGCTCTCTGCAGCATTTTGTGAAAACATCCCCTTCCTGCTGGGGCTCTGCATTTTAAAAGCCTGACTCATTAAACACAGACCCCGCTGAGTCGATTCATTCAGGCTCAGACTGAGAGGGTCGGTGTGTGACATGACGGAGCAAACCTAAGAGGGAAGAAACCTCCACTAAGTCAGCACAGACCAGACGGTGATGTCAGCATGGTTTAGTCCCATCTGACGATGGATCGCTGAGCTTTAACTAAAAAATAAGAAGAGGTCCATTCTCATATACTCCTTCTGGCACATTTGACAAAGGAGGTCATACTCTGATGATTTGATTACATTTTTAAAGTTTAGTCCATAATCTTTTTAAATTCCTAACTCTTTCATACAGCGCTGGTACAGAATCAGAGCGAGGCCTTCATCTTTTTTAATCTAATATTATCCTTACTGTCAAAGATGTTCTGAGACAAAAACTACCATGCTGATGTTTTCCTTTTCGGCATAGCTGGCCTCCAACTATGACATCAATTTACATCCTGTTTACTGTTATGCTCTCTGAATTGCCTTTACTGAATTAATACTTTATGCTGAGGTAGTAAACCTCTGCTAATGCATCCAGATACTGACTGCATAAGACAACAAGCATAAAGCAATGCTGTAGCCAAGCTATGAAAATGACACTGTATGGTGGGGAGGGTTTGTAATTTTGCTTTTATTATGCCGATAATCTGACCATATTTGCTAAAAAGAAACATCCAGTGTGACTTTTATGTACTATATAAGCTTGGCTCTGAATCTTCAGAGACTCAGAGAGAGGAGGATGAAATATGGAGGAGCAAAAGCTGAGCAGGAGGAAGGTCAGGTGAAGAGGGAGAAAGAAAACCTCTCCTGGTCTCTCAGAGGACATCTAAACCCTCAATCTGACTTAAATTAATGGAGCAGAATTGCACCCTTGGCTGTTTTTTTTGCATTGCTCTTACACCCGTTACTAAAATATATTTTGCTGGGTCATAATCTTAACAGGAATCAGAAATGCAATAACATGATTTTTATTCTGCCATTATTAGGCACTCTAGTGTAACACTGTATTTTGGAGAAATGATCATGTTAATGAGAATCAGTCTTTGTTTTTTAGTTTAAGATTTTAGGAATGCTCATGCTGTGCACATGTGCACGGGGAATGTGAAATGACGTCGAAGAGCTGTGCATGCTTGAAAAAAGCGACATCATGCAACATGCCAAAATATTTGCCATATTGGAAAACTATTAAACTAGTCAGCTGGATCCTGCAAGCCCAAACAAATGGCTCTTGATGGTTATTGCCCTTTTTCTAAGTGTGCAGCCCAATGCCATGCAAGGGGATCGATACAAATGTTGTTAACATGCATGTGCTGGAGCTTTCTAATGGCTCAGTATGGTAGGATTTGTTCCAATATCACTTGGCCTTACATTGGGAATTATCTACTAGAGTGACGTATTTTCCATTCTGTTTGTCTGAGTAGTGCTAATGTATTTTCTCTGTGGTTGGCATGTCTACCATATTTGATCTGCCCTTCATTTGAAGCTCCAGGCTTCTTAAAGTCAGTATGTGAGAAATCTAATTTCAGTGCTCTCATTGTGGGTGGTTACATGGAAAAAGGATAGTAGTACTGATTGTTTCTGATTGCATATGTGGGCACATAGCTCAGACAGACAAACCTCCTACATTTTATGTTGCAGCACAAAGTCCAAAACTGAACAGCAAAAATGAGCAGCTCAATAGACACTTATGAGGCAAAGGCCACAGAAAAATCGCGCTTTGGTTGCTGTCATTGCACTGGCTAGACTGAGACAGGGACCATGCTGGGAGCGAGAGAAGCTGCCAACGAGAAAACATCTTTCTCTCAGAGTGAGATCAACAGTCCCCTTAATCAGGGCTACACTATTTTCCACCGCTTACTGATTTCAAACGCCTAATAGAGACAATGAAATCTCACAAAAGTTCCAACCCAAAACGGACTGTTAAAATTAAGCTTTGCAAAGATATTCAAGGTGTTTGTTTACGGTCGCTCAGTTTTTAATGGCCTACAGCTATGACACATGAATTTGTTAAGCAGCCGGGAAGAGGCTGTTCACTTTACTTGTCTTTCCAACACAGTCATGGGACACAACTGTTCTCACTCAGCATAAATCACCAGCTTACTCAGACTGCTTCGGTATATCAGAAGGCAGACCTGCTGTTGCTCGATATCAGATAGATCTGCTAACCTTTTATAAAATTGACTAAACTTTTGAGAAGGCAGGCTTGAAGGATATTACAGATTGAAAGAGCTACAAATGAAACCACTGTGAAGCCCTCTTTCCGCAGGGGTCTGGATGCAACCTGGTAGTTGTAGACCAAGCACTGCTTTGTGCTGAATTCAAAAGACAGAACCCCTTCCACCTGCTTACTTTGAAACAATTAAACAGAGCATTTGTTGGTCGTATGAGGGGAGGCAATGATTGTTTTCTAGCAATTCACCTGTCATTTCAGTCTATTTTAAATAACTGAGTTGGAACTAAAAGTCCACTGCAGAATTTTGGGCATTGAACAGTATAAGTGTTGCACGTCCTTCTAATGACAAGTTGAACTTTCCTCAAACCTGACTGTGACTTATGGACAAGAAGGCATGGTTTCCATCCATCCATCCAGCATTCATCCATTCATCCGGCTATCATGGGCACATTTACACATTGACAGATACTGCAGAGACTGCTGACACTACTTGGTTACATAAACGGCAGCCGTCGGTCACGGCAAATTAATTATGTCAGCACAAAGGCCATGAGAGGCATGTAGTGTGCAATTCATTGTGCAACTCAAATACACTTTAACGGTGGATATACAATCAAAATGGTGGTCTGAGAGATTTCTTGGAGGTAACGGTGTCCAGTAAAGCTTCACGGAGGCAGTTCTGTATGCCCACAAACGACTCACACATTCACATGAACCTTCTTCTTTACTTTACCAACCACGCCTCAACAAAACCTTGCTCATGCCCATGTGCAGGACTTAAACATGTTGCAGCCCCATCGCTAGATTGAACCATTAACCATCTGTAACACAGAGAATCCACAGAAATAGGCTGTGAGTTTTTTTTCGGCATTGAAATCCTCAAACAGGCCTCAGTGTGTTTATGTATGTGTGTACGTTGGTGACAGAAAGCCCACAGACAGTAGGTCCACTGAAACAGCGTGCATCAATTTGCTGCCTCAGCATAGGCATATACGCCTCTAATGCAGCCTATTAAATATTAATGAAATGGAGAGATAAATTTAGAAGGCGATATAAAGCTGAAATGAATGCAGTCTTTATTGATGATGATAAAATTCCTTTTCCAAGAGGGAAAAAAAGGTGATGTGGCCTTCATAGGGTGTGGTATGGACTTTGAAGAGTATTCAGCTCTCCTGTATGTTTAAGAGAAAACTGCCAGAAAGAAATAATAATGATAACTAGGAAAAACTGATTCATTCCTTTGTTCAAACTGAAATTGTGTAGTTTTCTGTTTTTCAGAAGGTTAGTTCATGATTTAGTTTGTAGTGTATTTGCATACATGGGAGAATGGATATAGAGGTAATATACGTGAGTGTGGATGATTGGAATAGTCCAGCTGCAGTATATGATGATGTTGTGATCATCAATGACAAGAACCAAATATTTGGAACTACTGACAAAGAAGATGGGCATGTTTATGGAGCAACACAGCCGAGGAGAGTGTGAGGGTGCCTCAAGGACACAAAGTCACAGTCAGCACAAGGTTATTCACTTGATTTGGAGAGTGGTTTTTAGTACCAAACTTAATTTTAAAAAAACTACTAAGAAACATGCAACTTAAAGTGCTGTGGTGTCCATTTGACAAGTGGAGCCCAGTCTATGGCATTATTGAAGTGGATCCTTTTGAGTTGTGCCAGCAAAGCACTAAGAGGATATAAACACATCCTGATGTATCAAACTGCATGGGGCAGCTCGGACGGATAAGAAAACGGAGGAACGCACACAAAGACTGATCAGACACCGGGGTTCCAGAGGTAGCTTAATGAAGACACAACACTGAATCCACTGGGAGAATGACCAGCCAGTCTAAATATAGATTAAGGATACCAGACAGGGAATTAGCTCCACTGAATTTGATAGTCATAATGTGAATTAAACTGCAATTAATCTAATTAAAAAGGCATCTGTGACCATGCAACCTGCCTCAGATGTGAGATCAGAGGTGTGTGATTGCACTGATTGTACGGCCTGTGCACACACATGGGTGCAGCCATGTTTTAGCTATTCTCTTTCTCTCGTGATGACTTGCTTTTTTCACTGGCACCATCACACTGGAATCAGGGCTAAAGCCCGCCAGTATGGGGAGAAACGGTTTAGTTTGATACGGAACAAATCTGGCCCTGACACTATCTTTTTTTTTTTTTACAGCTGAATTTCAAATATCAAAAAGACTTTGAGGTCAGGGATAAGTCAGTGCAAGGCAGCAAACAGGGACCTATCTTGATTAATAATTAACATACTGATAAGGGGAGAGTTTGGAGAGAATGACATTAAATATTGAGTTACTTGTTGACATTAAATGTACAATGTAAGAGGAGATACTGAACAAGGCACTTAGCGGAAAATAAAAACACTTGAAATAGTGAAAGGTGGGGTGGTTGCCGGCCTCTGTCCACGCCTGTGGTGCTGAAATAAAGACCCCCCCCCCCCTCAGTTAACACTGTTGCCTCGCCTGTGTGTGTTCACTTTGAACAAATATCCATTCTAGTTTGTTGTTCTGAAAACCCTCTTCCCTCTGTTGGTACTATCAGCCAACCCAAGCACGCCCCGATGACTCGTCCATCCAAGAAACCGGCGGAGCCAAGGGCCCCCATTCCCTCCAAAGACACAATAAAAGGTACGGCATTCAGCTAAAGCTGGAGGCAAACATGCTGCAGCGGCTTGGAAATTCACAAACCGTCCAAAACGCAGCTTTTTTTTTTTTTTTTTTTGCGTAAAAATGATCGTACCCCTATGTGGAAAAGCAGACAAACCCCCTCCACTTACCATCTCGTTCACATAACTGTAAGGCGTCCAAGCTCAGGTCCTTGATCATCCCCTCGCAGGGACTTAATGGACTGGTAATGTTGTGCGCCAAGCCTGGAACCTCCATGACTGCAGAGTGCGGGTGCTGCTGGGGGCGGTGCGCTGGCTCAGGTGGGTGGATGTGGTTCCCGGGATGCGCGCAGCGGAGAGCCGTCGACGGTCTACAGGGCAGGCTAGAAGATGGAGACTCCGGTGTCCGGTGAGTCCGGGGCTGGCTCCGTCTCTCGCAGCTCTGCTGTCCGTCTCTCCGGGGTGGTGCGGCGAGAGGCGCGTCACAGGAAGCGTCACGGACTCGGAACAGCGCGAGCCCCCGGGTCGCAACACGAGGCACAGGCAGCCCTCTCTGCAGAGATGCGTTTGGCTCCAGCGTTTTAAGTTCAGCTTATATTATTAAAAAAAAAACAAAAAAAAAGAAAAACGCTCAGAGCTCCGGCGCCTCGGAGGTGCCACAAGTGTGCGCGCGTGCTCCTCCGTGTGCCACGGCGCCGCAACATGAATGGTTCAGCGGATTAGTGCAGAGGCAGTCTGCAAACGGAATTGCTCCTTATGCAACCGGATAAGCCCGGTGTTCTCCCTTCGATTTAGTGCTCGGTTTAAAACCGTGCACACGCCTCCTCTCTTTCCCGTTTCACGTCCAGTGCCCAAGCGTCCTTATTTGGCCAACTGCAGCCCTCTATTGAAGGAGCGCAGGTGCGAGTGGACCCCACAGTAATGAGCTGGGGGACCACTACTGGCCATTACTCAACATAATGAGTGAGCAAGCTCACCTCAGTCTTTATTTAGGCTTCAGACCATTCTTGCTCGGTTTCAGACACAACAGCACAATGGAAAAACCCTCCGGTTTGTGGCTGTTATGCTGATTTGTGAGTGTGTCAATATAGATCTCCATTACTCATCCACACCCTGTTTATCAGGGGCCCGCAGGAGGAAGGTTGCCAGGGCAGAGAAGGTTAACTGCCATTATTTTGTTGTGGTAAAATAAGGCTTAAGGCTCTTTCAGTAACAGCACACAACACTGAAGTTAAACGCTGATCACTATGCATTTGCTGTCTTTCACTTATTTGCTTAAAATGTGTCCATACAACACAGTGGAGCCACAGAATGAGGCGGTTTCACTTTTTATTTCTTTGTGTGCCACATTGGTGTAGAAGCAGCCTGAGGAGGGGCCACGTTGGGTTTATCTGTTTTAATGGACATCGGACTCTGCAGCTGCCTTTATGGAGCCGCTGAGATATGCTTCTGAAAGTGGAAGAGCCACTAAAGGGGGGGGGGGGGGGGGGTCACTGACACAGTATCATCATCTCTGCAGTTGGTACCCATAAAGGGAGAAACTCAGTCACACCATTTCTATGTCAGTTTCCTTTTCCGATTTCTCATTTTCAATTTTCATCCGGATAGGCGATAGCAAACTAGTTGCATTTTCATGCTGCTCCGAGGATTAGAAAAACGGGGTTATGGGAAGCAAGCAAATTAAACTCCTGGTAAGCCTGTAATCACCATGACATTCAGATGCAGCTCGAATATATTCCGCACTCAGATTCCATGAGGGCACTATTGGATCTGGCTCAGATGTTCTGCCCAGGAAATAAAAACTCATTAAAAGTGAAGGTCGGCATGCTGAGGGCTCCCTTCAAACAGCGCAGCCATCTTTATCTGAGGAGAAGATGCTGCTGTAGATTCAAGCCGATAGCTGATATGGGGGACTGAGTTACTCTGGGTAAGAATGTTTAATGTTGCCCAGTCAAGCCTGGAGAAGCATGGCGCTTTAATGTGTTTACTCTGAGAGCCTGGCTCACCAGCTGACCCCCTGCTGTCTAAGATTGGCTTAATTTGAGAGCTGATATCACGGGGTTTATACAGCATCTGTTGAAAGCCCTTTGCAATTAAAAGCCCTTTGCAATAATTACAAAAGCGGCTCAAGGAAATGGACGAAAACACAATAAAAACAACCAGGGTGTAGCCCAGGGCTCCAGGTACAGCACCTTTAAACAAACAAAAAAAAAAACCCCAAACCTTTTCCAACTCACGCCACAGATACTGTGCTTACAGTAGGTGGTATGGAAACAGGAGTAGGTGGAGTACGAGGCTGCCCAGTTCCGTTGGAGCCATTCTCATCCCACCTTCATCTGTCTCCTTAGCCATTCCTCCCTACACCCACCCGATCCCCTCTGGGGAAGAGTCATCCTGCGTTAACATCAACGCTCCCAGCAGAGCTGCAGGAGGATGAAGGAGAGCGACACCCCATGCAAGGCACACTTAGCCAAGTCCTCCTCCTCCTCCTCCTCCTCCATCCACAGCTTTCTTTTCCTTCCCTATCACCTCTTACCTTTAAGTTCCCTGGACTAATTTGTTTTTTACGCCTCTGTCCTGCTGGGATGTTCCAGTAAAGCTCCTCTTACAGAGCAGAATTTGCCTTTGCTCATGCGTGAGCTCCTACATGCCACAGTGTGCTCCGTCCTGGCTGTCCACTCCCATTTGCTCACCCGGCTGTTCGCCCAGGCCCCGCGCTCACAGGACGCCAGATGGGGGGGAAATAGCAGGGAGAAAGGTGCGGTAAGACTTACGGCCAAATGTGAAAATCTTTAACGAGGGTGAGGAGAGAGCGTGGGATCCATGTTTATTTTCTTATTACATGTCGTTGTTGCATCGCCCGCCACGCACCCTGCAGTCACTACAGATCAACTCTGATGCTGGAACCCGCTAATGAGAGCGCATTCAGGGCAAAGGCCCCGGCACTTTTCACTGGAAGAAAACAATACTAAGTCTCCAGGGCTGAGAGCCTGAGTGTGTGTGATTCCAGTCCACATAACGCATTTCGTCTAGTATTTGAGAGCGGTAAATGATGCATGTCATTGATTTGCAGAGAGGGCTCAGCTAAGCTGCGGTTTGATTGATAATGGAGAAGAATGCTGCTGGCTCTCCAGCGGCATGCCAGCTTATCAGACCTTATCAGAATTAAAAGAAAAAAGTCATCCCTACACCTCATACAAAAACAACAAAAACACCTCTCTTTCAATCAGGAATGATTAATTCAAAGTTTGGCCGGTTAGGTCATTGAGAGAATTAATTAAATTGTTTGCAAAATGCAGGAAAATCTTTTTTCTTGACATTTAGGGACTATTTGCGACTATTTGAGAGTCAAATGATCAAGTAAACATGTAGCTAAATCCAGGGCTTCATCATCAGCTAGCACAAAGACTGGAAACACATCATTTGTTCAGTTGCATTTCAGAAAAATGCCAAAGATAAAACAGTTTGGCAAAAAGAAAATTCAAATTTTGTGTGAAGAAGGCAATTACCAAGAAGCTGTTGGCTGAGAAATTCGCATTAATCAACAAGATAACAACCCGTCTTAAAATAAATGAGGAAACTAGAAAAGTGCAAGAATAAAGATGACACAGCAAGCCTTTAAAAACATTAACAGTAGATGAACTGTAAAATGATGTCCTTAAGAAACATGGGGAGAAAAATAGCAAAGCCTGAAACAGGAGCTGAGGTTTGCCTTTGGCCCTTTAGCTGATCAATCTCCTGTTTACTACAGCCACGTCAAAAATGCTCTCCATGGAAGGGTGACTGTCAAGAAGCCATTTTGAAAGAGTTAAAACAAGCGGAAAAAGATGAGGTATGCCAAATGACACAAATAACGGACTGATCTCATCAGTCAAATGCTGAACGCCCAGCAGGGCCTTGACTGCTTAACAAGATTAGTGGTTAAAGGTTCAATTCAACTTTCAAGACTATTTTTGTATGTTGTTTCTCAATACAACAACATGTGCTGGTCCCACCATCCCACCCACAAAATGGACAAACAAATAACAATGAAATGAGATGCAGAGGATGACCTGAGATGACCGGCTGCTGTGACGTTTGGACTGTACAGACTGTGCAGAGGGGATTTTTCTCCGCATTATTTTGGGTCAACACATATTTCACTGGCAGCTTGTTGAACCGAAGACATCGTTTCAGTCAAACCGACGCGCACAAACACGTAACTAAATAAAAAGAATTCTGTGTGTTGTGGTGAAATATAGCGCTGTGCAATTGTGCACGAGAAAGACTGAGCAGAGAGGAGTGGAGAAAGCTGAAATGAGCCAGATTGTGCATATGATGCTGGCTGGTTAAGAGCCAGGGAGCCACCAAGTCACAGTTCCCCACATTTACACCTTTCCTGTAGAGGCAAGCTGCCCATGGGAACAATATGTGAGACTGAGAACCTGCTGGCCAGGAGGTGGGGATAAATAATAGGTTGAAAAAGTGCTTTGAAAAGCTCACCCCTTTCTTTCAGCAATTTAGCCATCTTTTTCCGCCACAATAGAACATGAAATCAGAATTAGTCATGCTGCTGGGCTCCGCCATGGATTTTCAGTACATGCAATTGCTCAAAGTGAGTTGAAGTGAGATTGATTTGTGTGCTTTCGTAGCTTTTATGTTCAGTAATGAAAAGTTCTTATAAGACAGACATTGCTAAAAATTTTATAGGCTGTTTGTTATTAATACAGAGTGTAAGTATTCATGGCAGTTCCAATCTGTTTTCTTAAAAAAAAAGAATTGGCAACAGACCCCATAATACATGTTTTCTTAGCATCCTTCCCACACAACCACCCTGAGATCTCTTTAGTTTTGACATACCAGTATTTACATCCCATTCAGTACTGTGGTGTTATATAAACACGAAGGCGTTCTGTGTTTTTCACCTCACCAAGCACCTGTTTAAATTAAAGACAGGGTAGGACAACACGAGTGAGTCACAGGCTGCTGCTGCTGCTGAACGCAGTCCAGTGGCACCAACTGTTTCCATCAAGGGTTCATTTGCATTGGATGAGTGACTCTCCCTGTGCCATCTGAACAAGAATTCACTGCCATAACCAGACGGGCCCAGGAGCTCTGGATCACAAGTCAAATGGACGTGCAATCACAGCTAAACCACTCTCAACTCCTCCTGCTTTAATAGTTAAGGTCTGGAATTGGAAAAATATGACCAGCGTCATAATGAAACATCCGAATAATGGTTAAATGGTAAAACTTTAGAAAATTGCAAATACTCTTGGACTTCAGTAGTGCCATTTAAAGGTTTTGGAACAATGAATGACTATGTTCTCTGATCTTAAACTCATAAATGACAACGTTGCCCCCTTGAGGTGAACAGTAAAATTACAAGTGCCTTTTGCTTTAAATTGGAAATGTAAAGCAAAAGGAGCATACATTAATTTAGAAAAAAAAAAGGTTTAACCCAAGCATTTCTTACTTATTTTTCTTGTTTTAACAAAGTATACATGTTGAACTGGATACAAATTTGAATCTTATGAGAAAACTAGAGTTTATAACTGTAGATTAACAGGGAACTACTGAGCTAAATTATTTAAAAAATATGACCCGAACACCTTAAAGTTGAAAAAATAAACCTAGGACAGGGAAAACAGAAGTAATTATATTGTGTTTCCATGGTCCAGATGCCAGCAGGATGGGACAAATGCAAAAAAAAGAAAAAAACACTGCATGTTGTAATACATGCAGTCCTTGCAAATATCTGCAGATTAATTTTCTGGATTAAGCATAAGTGGATTAGAGTTAATGCATATCACCATTACCTCATGCAACAAAACTAAATTGTTCATCTACCCATTTGTATCTACATGATAGTACCAAAATCAAAACAGGCTGACAGCATTGCATGGCACGCAGGTATAATCATCGCATTATATTCAGAGCAAGTAGGGACTGAATTAGTCTGACATTTTCTGGCATATTCTGGCATTCATTTAAAAAAGCTCTAGTATCTTTGCTGTGGCGGTTGCACTTAAAATCATTTTAGTGCAGCTCAACTGTTGCATGCAAAGTTTACAGAAGTACAAAAAAAGGAATAAATCCCATTTTGATTTTGCATACATTTATTACCATCATAATATCATTTGAAAGTCTGAACAAACTTTTTTTTTTTGCCTGCTTGATAGATTATCAAAAAATCCTCTGGTTTACAGTCAGAGTAACAATAGCATCAACAGATGCCACAGTGAACAGAGCTTTGGCCTCATACACACGCACACACACAAAGGGTCTGGAACATTGTGCAGAATTGTACCTTTTTTCACTCAAAAACAATGCTTGTGTAAGGTGAAGTTGTACAAAAGATACATCATTTCTGTAGTGGTTTACATTTTATATCAATGTACCATTTGATTGTGGTACAAAAATTCCCTTTGTTAACAACAACATGACTAAAACAACAAATCAAGGACATAATTGTGAAACTATTTTCTCAAGGGCAATGACTGGACAAGCTGGCAGTAAACTTTGTGACTTGGTGAATCCCTTCACTGATCCGTAATCAAGCTGCAATAACACGCATCAATCATTTACTAAACAACATTCACTTGATAAGACAAAAACCTCCACTGCCCTCCGAGCAAACGCATCTGAACGTGGTGAAGGAAGAAAACAAATGTCTGCTAGGCAGGAACACGAGTCACAGCACCAGGAGAATCAGTGCTCAACAGTTTCAATGTAGTACCATGATGAGCAGGGGCGAACCGGCCCCGGGTTTCCTCTCAGAATAAAGAAGCCCACTCTATATTAGCTTCATCCCTCTTCACCCTGTCTTAAGACTTAAAAAAAAAAAAAATTACCCGGTCTGCATCAGCAACCTTGTCAGAATATTCTTTTTTTAGCATAGTTTTACTAACTCCACAACCACACTTGAAAATGGCTGAAATAAGCTGTGAGGGAGGATGAAGAGTTGCTAAAAGCAAAAATGACACGTAACAATTCACCTTGTAGGAAATCATCACAGCTGGTAGGTGATGAATAACTACCACTTCTTTTGAAGGACTGTGGTTATAACTTTGTGGTAGAATTAAATTGACAGAAGTAAAATGGTCATGTCTGCTCATACCTACTCATTTTCTACACTGTACTCTCATTTAAATCAAAACAAAATCCCCAGTCTTTGCTTTTACGCTAATGTACTGCAAACGTAGCAGCAACTCTACAAAGAGGCACTTGATTGCACTTGAAAATGCTCAGAACGTTGGAATAGTTGGATTAGTTTGTGCAGTAAATCAAGGGATATTTTAGGAACATCAAAAGTAAATGCTGAGCTATCCAAACACTGAACACATTACAGGAATACAGAACAAGCAAAAGCTCTGATGATAAACACTGCTGCATGCATAATCCTGTCACTTTATCATAGAGTACTTAACTAGGTTTTGGGAATATTTGATTGCATGGCTGATAGTAGAAAATACAAGATTTGTATTTGTTTTTATATTAAATCCCAGTTCCTTATCTGACTTTGGTTTGTTATTTGTATTTCAACGAAGCATTGTTTGAGGAGCACTCGGTTGTGAATATATTGTTTTTTGTCCGACGCGCCCCTATCTTGAGAGTAAGGTAAGAGTAAAGCATTATTTTTATTTTACAAAATATCTCCTTGCTTGAAACAGAGTAATGTACATTGGCACTTTGAGGTACAAAGGCAAAGCTTTCTTCTATTCTTGCTCTAAATGGAATAAGCTGTCGGGGGGGGGGAGACGCAAGGCAACTCTTGACATAGAATCTCATACTTTTGATAGATGCAGAAGCATATTGGGAGATTTAAGGCGCTTGGAAGTGGCCACAGGATGACAATTACTGACAAAACAGCATGCACTATAAACAGAAGGAAAACCACAGGAAGTTGCCTGCTGACACAATCAGAGAGAGGCCTCCAAGGCTTCGCCTAACTGCCTCACGTCTCTGCTGCTGTCGTATGGCACAGCCATATAATGGCTCCACAGATTCGGGGTACGAAAAAAAGTAAGAAACTAGTAAACTAAAATGACAAAAAATCAAAGAAACTCATTCATGAACATATAAAAACAATACACATGTAAACTGATAATCAATAAACATTCCACTTATTTGCCTAAAATGGTAATAAAAACTAAAAATAAAATCATAATGCATAATGAGTACAAAATATTACAATTTTTTTGTTTTGTTTAGATAAACGTAGACAAACTGCTGATGAACACAAACACTGACCTTGGAGGAATGTCCACCAATCGAAACACTGAAGTCAGCCAATGGTCAAAGGCCACTATGATACTTTCCTTTGGGGTAAAGTTGATCAAGTTGTCACTTACCTGACCTATTTTGCACTTCGTTTGGTGGCGCTCTAGCTAAGTGCTTACGTTTGGTTTGGTACAAAATGCATCTGTGCTTTTAGTCAATCATAAAAAAAAAGCATAGTTATAACTTCAGTCTAAGGAGTACAGCTCACACAGGCAAAAATCTAGTATTATTAAAGTGCATGTCACTGATACAATAGCATAATACAAATGCAGGTAGTATCAATCTATAAAATGGATGTACTGATCATTCTGCCTGTTGCCTTAAACAAAAAGTGGACAAAAATACTGGACAGTACCCTTCTCACGAACCACAACACCATCCTTCAAACATAAATACTCCAGATAGACTCAGTGGTTCTATATGGAGTGAACACTGAATTTTATGTATCTGAGAAATTCCTTTTTTCTAGATGGCACATCAGGTAAAACTATGGCTTTCTTTTAAACATATACATTTATATATATTTGGTTTTACTGCATGGCAATGCAACACTGAACAGTCTTAATTCAGCTGAAGCTCAAACAGGAAAAACAACTGCTGAAACTGGGGCGCCACTGAAAGACATTGAGGCTGGTTCCATGGACGGTTTAAAGATGGCCCTGGGCTTTAGGAGTGTCTACCATCGCCCACTGACGCTGGCCATGTCAGCGTGGAACTGGCGGGAGAGGCGACCGCTAGCTCCCCCCTCCAGGAAAGAGGACCTGATGGGTGGCTCAAATAGCTTCCTCCGGTTCTTGTTTAGTTCTTAGGAGAAAAAACAAAAGGACAACAAAACATCAGTCGACTCAAAGGTGATACGATATGCTTTCTGATGTGGTATGACTGCGCCATGTGTTGCTGTGGGAGTTGCAGCAAATCCAACTTCAGAAATAAATACAACCAGGAGTATGTTGACATGTTTCGTCAGCCGCCATTGATCAACAATGACAAGAAAATTAGATTCAAATCACCATGGAATTTCTCAGATAAACACAAAACCTCTTTGTGTCCATCTGGTTTTAAACAGTTCTTTGGATAAATACTTTCATAAAAATGTCAGAGGGACATCCTGGCACCTCTGAAATATTCTTATGAAACCAGTAGTCTGTGACTGCCAGCATAAATCTGCACTTTGATTCTTGGAGACCGGCGAGTTGCTGCAACGGCTCTTTTTACTGGCAGACTGACAAGAAGTTGAAACCCGGGTTGCCCTTAAGGATATCCTGTGACAAGAGAAGCAAAATAAACCGAGACAGACAGAAGCGTGCATATCTGCGTTTTGAAGGCCTAGACTCGGTCAGCAAAGATGAAAGCTGACCCGTACTTGGCTCAGGCGCTGGGCAGCAAAACCAATTTTTGGTTATTGATAATTCTACATCCTCAATAATCAGAGTTGGCCTCCACATTTCACCTCGCTAAACTCACCACTCTGGCCCTGGTCCTAGGTTTCTGAACTCAGCTTTCACAGACTGCACATTACAGGAAGCTCGTGCTCCCAAGACAGAGAGCTATTACCATATCCAAAATGTGATGTCAGTAATGAAGTGTGACATCCATCACGTTAACATTAGAGCAAGCGCGACAACAGTCTAAATCAACATCAGGCCGGCAGCTGCAGCAGCTGGTCAAACATAAGCAGTCATCTGAGAAGAATTTACCCAAAACCCATTTACGGCTGCTGGTGGAAATTACTGCAACATGCTTTCACATATCAAGATAAATTAAGGGGGAAAAAACAAAACATAAGTAAACTTTTCCCCCCCAGCCAAGTTGACCTGCATCAGATGGATTACACAACCAGCATTGTGCACAGCTGAGGTCTTCTCAGATTTGTTGCAGCAAAAGACAAAATAGGAAACATGACGAAACACAGAAAGTCTATTTACAGGGGTGAGCTGGCAGAATCGGACTCCAGCTGGTTTCGGTGATAATAAACACGACAAACTGTAACATGTGTACGACGTGCATGCATTCTCGTGTTCACCTGAAATGGCCAGGAGCATTTTCCTGCGGGCACCAAAGGTGGTGATGCCCAATTCCTTCAGGTCCTGGTCCGTTAGAGTCAGGAATGTTTGGAGGTCAATCTACAAACAGCACAAATCAACATTAGTTTAATTTTCTACGTTGCTAATCATTTTCTTAACTTTCCCCTAAATTAAAACTTTGGATCAGATTCTGCTGCTCTTGTATAAAAAAATGGAAAATTCAGGACCTTTAGTTGCTTTCAGATTGACATATGTGGAAGAGGGCTGACTGTCTAAACTACCTCTTGTTGCTGGAAAACGTCTGTGTATTTCCCTAAACCCAGCTTGCTGAAAAGCTCTGGCAAGTCAGATCCTTTCAGGGATGAATTCAGACTGCAGCCGTTGCTGCCAGTTACTGAGGAGATGGAGTCCATGTAGTTGCTGCTGCTGAGGTAATGCTCGACAGCTAAATGTTCAAACAAAAAGAGAGAAAACAAACCCATGAGGATGGGGCAAAACTTAGTTATTCTTTGGCATTTATCAATTCCAGCAGTCATAAAAATAAATGTAGAACTTCTATAGGTTTGTGGTTTGTAGACATGCTAGATTGGTATGGTCTTTTGAAACAGAGTGGGTTATTAACCTTTAACCTTTGAGTAAATGATATTCACTAGTCTCATAATCTTAAACTGTATGTGAAGGTAAGAGTCCCCACACCAGAGGAGTAAAACAAGCTGACTTGCCTTTGGTCTGGGGTTTATATTTTTCCTGTTTTCAGTTCATCATTACAGTACATTAAAGGTTTGAGTTCATTGCACACGAATATAAATCAAAATATGATGTTTTGCTCTTAATTGTGTGCCTCAATCCCTGCCAAAAATGTAAAGTGCTCCTTACAGAGATGCAAAAAAAAAACACTGACCAGATTTGTTCTGCTTCCTCTTTGGACTGCTGACAGCGGAGGGGAACTCGGTGTGGTTTGGCAGGCCGTTACCAGTGCCGTTTCTCTCCCTCCAGTTGTCAGAATCACTACCATTGCCTACGCCTTCTCGGCTGCTGGATCGAGACAAGGACAGCGGGGAACCCTGAAAAGAAATACAAAGAAAATATTCATATTTAGGGAGTTGCTCGTAATTGAGGAAAAGCTGAGCTAGAAAAACTAATAAATTTATCAGGGATGATGAAAACACTGCAGTCCTGCATGTCTGACCTCATATGTGGTGCTCATGCTAGGTTTATATGAGACATGATTAGCTCTTCGCAGCTCTTTGATGGTCTCCGCTGGCATGGACTTTGAGAAGCCCAGACCACTCCAAGTGTTAGTAGGGGTCCGCACTTCAGTCACCACGGGCTTCTTCAACATAGCTGTACAAAAAGAGAAAAACAATTCTTGATTTAAAAACTGAATTCTCAGAGACATGTATGAAAAAAGAAAGTCAAAAATTGGCCACATTTAGAATGACACAGTAGTCTTAGATAGGACAGAAATGTCAACTCACCTTTGGTTGCCAACAACTTCTTCTGTTCATAGTCAAAGGCCTGAAAGTATAGATAGTTTTTATTCCTTTAAAGCTTAATATACAGATAAAAAAAGATGCACATTATGGTTGTGTGTTTGATGCCTGACAGGTTACCTGCATGTTTGCAAAGGACGTCTGTGGTGCCAGTCTGATTCTCTCCCTCTCATTTTGCTGTGCTGCCCTCTCGGCTGCCCGCTCGCTCCCCGGCGCCCTCTTATCTGCTACAGGACTGTCTGACGAGCTGGATTCAGTGTCCGAGAGGAGACAGTCAGAACTGTTGGAATTACAAAGGAAGTGTATTCTGAGATAATAAAAAGAGACAACACACCTCTAATGGCTCATGAGGTTTTTCGGGAAATTAGATTCTATTACTTACAAACATCTAATTCTTCAAGTAGGGATACTGCCCGGTGTCACACATAGTCCACGTGACAATTAATACTTTAAATTAGAAAATTTCAATATGGGAGAGTGATCGTCTAGAACAGAGGGCTCCTACATACGCTGTGAACAGTTTCTAAAGAGGTGAAATACAGGAAGGAGGAGAGCTGAAAGTGATCACTGGACTCAAACTTACTGTAGATGAGAGTTCTTGGTGCCTTGCAGGAGCTCCACAGCCTGTCGTTTCCCGGAGGCCTTACATGAAGCCAGCATCTGTTTAAGCTCACTCCCATTAGCTGAATGAGAGGGGCTTCTCGGCATGCCCACCTCTACAAATGTATCAGAGCCTGAAGGAATCAAACATATTTTCTTTTTAGACTCTTATGTACAGAAAACACGAGGTACAACGGCTTCAGCAGAAATACTTCAGGTTTAATTTAATTTCTACATTTACATGAAAATGTGACAGGTCTCATTTGGATTCTGGATTAATTAAAACTGCAGCAGTGATTATAGTGATTGTCACCTGCTGCTTTACAGTCAGCCTCACTTGCTCTGTCTGCATATGTTCCGGATATGTGAATGTAAATTAACTGCACAGCATAAGATAATATGATGTCAGTCAATACTGTGCTCCCCCCCCCATTTGAAATACTTCTTCAAACTCTTTCATTCACATTGCAAAGCTCGACTGGACTGGGACAGCCTGTCCAAACACATCCTACGACACAGGAGGAGGTGAGGGAAGGGGATGAAAACTTACCAGGACTCACCACATTGGGGGAGAAACAGCTTAGAAAACAGTGGGGAAAAACGAGATGCGTGAGAGAGAAGGTTTGAGGGGAAAACCACAAATGCAAGAAACAGAGGAAATGAGGGCCTTTCTGAACTGCTAGGAGACCAGCAGTTAATCTGTCTCCGTTCCAATAAATGTAGTCAAAGGCAGCATGAGGTTAAGAGGACAGTATAGAGAAACGGAGAAAAGTGTACTCTACACATTTTCCCCAGTGTGGTTTTCAGAGTAACATAAATCTCAGGAGGAAAATCTCAAACTGGACATTTATGTTCATTCTGCAATGCTTAACGAACCAAAGTAAAAAAAAAAGTTAACAAATCAAAATCCATCTGAGGTTGTAATAACATATAAATCACAAGAGTGCTTTAAACATAAATGAGACACTGGGCTGACAGACCAGATATTTTGGATGAATGGTGAATATTTGAGCATGAGCAAATAGATGTGGGTGGTTTTACTGAGCTACACATCCTTCACTGTTGAAAATACAGGACACTTGCGTACAAAATTCTTGTGTTAGTTTAACAGCAGTCCATTTCGATTGAGAGCATACAAAAAAATTTGATATTATGTTTTGCCATCTAATGACAAAAGAATAACAATTCTTTTAATTTGGGGACAGCAGTTTAACTTCATATTAAGACTTTTAGTTATTTTTTATTTTTTTAAAATACTTTTACTTAAGGTGAATTTGGGGAAAGAGATTTGGCAAAATACAGTTATAGAAAGTGAATAATTAGCCCCAAAAAAGAAGAATTCTTTAGATAAATAATACCCTTACTTCATTTCATTTTTGAAGAAATGATCATTTCTTTATTTCCAGTGTATTAAATCCACTTGAGAGCAATATATATTACTAACAAATTTAGATTAAAATATCACAATAACCATGTTAAAGTCTTCACATAAAGCTAGGGAGTGGACTGAATTCAGATGTGGAGCAACAAAAAACAGCTAACAGAGCTGAAGATTACGATAGGTTCACGTACCTTTGCTCTTCAGGGGTAATTATTAGATAGTTTTGCGATGTAAATAAATGTTAAAAAGCATTTAGCAAATTAGATCAATCAAATCATATTATTGCATCATATTAGAAGCATTACAGATTGCTGTATTTGATTGTGTTAATCTATGGCATAAAATAGGCAACTCCGGGTCGATTGTGTGCATCACCTTGATCTTGACTGGACTTGCTTGATAGCGGCTCTGATGGATTGTGTCCACTGGCTTCTTGAGCAGAGTCACAAGGAGCTGGACTCAGAACCGTTTCTGCAAGTGCTGCTGTTGCTAACCTCCCGTAAACGGAGCCAGGATGCTGGGTGTGAAAAGCAAGTGAAAGTTTACCAAAAAATTAAAATAATCACCCAAAACACTCATTCACAGAAAAGCCTGATATTGTGTGAAAAAACCAGGCCAACCTTGACATGTCCATTCAGAGTGCAGTCAGGCACCCCGTTCGACTGCTTGTCTATGGGGGCGAGGCCAGGTGGAGGCGATGGCGTGCTGTGTGTGTAACCCTGCACGCTTGACAGCAGGATGCTGCTCAGGGTGGCCTGAGTGGCAGGGTGCAGCAACAGCTGAGATGAGAAGCCTGTATCAAAAGAACGGGAGTATCATCAGTTTTCACCAACTGAAGGATTTAGAAAGGTAATGTATTTCTGAAGGTCTCCTGTCTCTCTGATTTACTCAATAACTACACATCAAAGGGCATAAGTCCAATTGTTGCATGCATTCCATATCATGTATGCAGTAATCTATCCAGAGTACTACAGCAATACTTTCAACAGCCTAAAAGAAAAGCTCGGAGTAAAGTTGTGTACGAACTCTGGGCGCTGGTGAGCGAACTGGGCCAGAGGGAGGGGGAGGGGGCAGGGGTGCTGGGGCTTGGTGTCTGAAGCGGACTCAGAGATGAGTTTAAGCTGTTCAGTATAGCGTTTGGGGCGGCAGAGTTTGGGAGAGAGTGGGGCGCCGTCGCACCCAGGAAACCTGCGGAGAACAGAAAGAACAAGAGAACAGATCAGCGGTGGTCCTGTCAACGCACAGAGAGATTTTTCAAACTAATAACACGTTGCATGACAGCCCGCAGAAAACAATCTTAGTCTTCCAGCAATTTAACTGGAATTCCATCAAACTGCCATCAACCAGACGACGAATGAGAGGAAGAATTTCTAACATTTCGACAAGGTCACGGATACAAAAGTATAGATCTAGCGGATCCTCATACCCAATAAAACCCTGTTGCTGAAAGCGCCAACAATATGGTGCCTGGTGTTTTAACCCAAACACAGTGTATGAAAACAGAAAGAAGCAGGTCTGTGGCTTTAACAAGGGGCTACTTTGGCTCCAGGAATAAGGCCAGGGATTTTTCTGGCAGACTGGTCTGTAATCTGAGGAATAGAGGCATGTAGCAATTACTAAAGGCCAGGATGTGGCCATCCACAGTTTCACCCCGGGCCCCTTGTTTTTTTTTTCTACTTCTTGCGTTTGACCAATTTGCTTATCACATTTGTTAGCCACAAAATAACAAAAAAAGGATCATTTAAAAAAGCCATACACTGTATGTATGTCTATATATATGCGTGTGTGTGTGTGTGTGTATAATCTGCTGGCATGTGCAACTTCCATCTAGCTCTGAACCATCATTCATATCCTGTTTTTCATTTTTATTTCAGTTGTCTAGATCCCAAACATGTTATCACCTGTCAGCAAAAAGAAAGATTTGCTCCAGGCTGAACTCGTCTCTGTTGTGGTCCGTGCAGTCTATGAGAGGATCAGATTTGTAATTATCTTGTGATACATAAAGGTTCCAATTCATTTGAAGCAGTGCAGCTACATTTGTCTTGAGGTTATATTCTGATGGTTGGATGATCAAAGATTTGTATATGTGGGAGTTCTTGTTTGAAAATCGCACCGTGGCCAGAACTGCAAACAACTGCAAGAGTAAAGGGCATCCAGATGCCATGAAGTGACTTGCTGGCAGTCACTTATGTCAACGTTGCAGATATTTGTGCCAGTAAATATCAACTATAATTCAGTAAACAAGATGACAGCATACTTTGTGTGTGACATCGGAATAGGATAGTGATTGATGGAGAACGTGACGGATGCTGATGAAAGCAATCTATACTCTCTTTGTAGTGAAAAAGCACAAAGGAAGACGACAGCAAAAGAAGGTTTTCGTATTTCAAAATTACCCAGATTGCTCAACCCCAGGCCAGCTGAGGTCAGAATGTCCAGGCCAACGGGGCAGATGAGGGATGGAGATGGACCATTAGTGGTGGGATTCAGAGCCACCGAGGGGGAAGAACAAGACACTCCGTTGCTCTCAAGACCCAGAAGAAACTTTCGGGCTTCATACATGTTGACTGCATTCCTCTCCACGCTCTTCACAATCACAGACTGGAAGAGATCAAGAGAGAAGGAAGATATGTTTAGAAACAGCAAACAAACAAGTGGGATGGATAAAGAAATCACGATAATCAAGGAGAGGGAAGAAAGGCATGGGAGGCCTGAGAAAGAGGAAGGAGGAACAGATAGGGCAGGGAATGCTGGCACCGGGGAGAGGGAGTGAAAGGGAGGCTGAGTGGGAGACAAGCTTAAATGGGAGGAAGGAAGAGTGAATTAAGGGTAGATTAGAAAGATAAACAATGAGCTAATGTGGGAGAGGAGAGGAGACATGGGAGCAATGTTAAAGGGAAAGTGTTTGTACATCAGTTGATAAACATTCAAAACATATTTCTGTCTGTGATATGAGTGAGAAAAATTCTGAGAAAAAAATAATTGGATTAGTAAGCAGTAAATGCTCTGACCTTTGCTCAGTGAGGCACAAAGTCAAAAATATATATTTTTTAGGGGGGGGGGGGTTAAGTCCTTTTAATCCCAAAGAGAAAAAAAAAAAAAAGATTTCCACATCAAGGGAAACCCTGCCCCTCATAAATATCAAATATAACAAAAAGAATGTGAGCAGTGATCTGTCTGCCATTTTTTGTGAGCTTTGAGAAATGGTTTCCAAACACGATCACTCTCTCTGACACAAACACATGCAACATCCAACCCTGACCCCAACCTTCTTTTATAGTGCTGCCAAACGGCCGGCAGCATGCAGGGAATGCCACGGACTCCGGCGGGCCTTTCGGGTGACTGCTGTCACCTCGTTAAAATGTTTAAGTGAAGGGTTCTTAAGTGGATCTGGGCTGGGTCCGTGTTTACTCTGGCACCCCTGCTTTTGTCCCTGCAGGCCTGTCTGGTTTGGGCATCGGGCCCTGGCTCAGGGAGGGATGTGGGCACCTCAGAGAGACTGACAGGACAAACTGTTGAAATATGATTATGAATATTAACGGTTGCTGATAGACAGACCATGAATTAAACGAGAGGTATGTATTGAAAATAAGGTGCCAAGTGTATTTAATAAGCTATATGTCACTTTATAATATCAAAACATTTCTACATATCATGTTGGTGTAGTTTGTTTCCATCCATATAGGCCGTACCAACCAATCCAATTTGCTTTGGGGTAAAGAAACATGGACTATAATCTAACAAAAAAGTATTCTAGCTACACTGGAAACTTTGGCTTTTGCCTGCAATGGCTCCTTTTCAGCACAATGTTCTGAAGAACCAGCAGTGATGTAAGGCCCCCTGATGGTTCCCCTTGTGCTCCTCCACATGGCATGTACTCAATACCACCAAGAAAGTTTTAATCCGCTAGCAAGGATTTACATTGTATGTCCAATCAACAAGAGACAGTTCGCCAGTGCAAAAAAGGGGCAACAGGACGCCCATTATGCAACAAGGGAAATCGGAAGACTGAACAGATTATAATGTGAATGAAATAATGTGTGCTCTGTGTTTTTTTGTTTTTTTTGGGGGGGGTAATGTAAAACAGAGTGTATCTCGAGTCGTCATATCATAAATTAATGAATGCCACTAGAAAAGCATCAAAGGCTTATCTTGTGGGAGGAAACAGTGCCGTACCTTGCTGGGCTGCTTTGGCTTTGGTTTAATACTGATGAAGACATCCAGCTGCTCCATCAGTGCTGTGATACACTGGGGCTCCACCTCAATGTCTTCTTTAATGTCAAACATCAATACCAGAGGCAAGCAGCCCTGTGGATCAAACAAGACAAAAATTATGCTTTTCAAAAAACATGTGAACATACTATAACATGACTTTGTTGTTTTTTTCTCAACAATACTGAGTTTCTTTAACACTGTATCACTTATAGACCTAAATGTTAGACATACCAATAAATACAAGATTTGTGGCAAAATTCATCCCACACAAGAGTTTGGGAAATTCCACTGAGAGCAATCTGTTTTGCACGATCACCACCACATGCACCGCAGAAACTGTATTTTGGGCTGAGAACTGGACAGCGCTCCTGTTCTGAGTGGGTGTAATTAGCAGCACAATATAGAGCAAGCGAGCATCGTCGGGGCATGCGATTGGAGCTGTAATCTACAGTCTGGCTGGAGGAGGCCAAAATCACACAGTGCACAACCACGGGCAGGACTCGTCTCCACCAGCTCTAAGACCACTCTCTGCTGCCCTCAGAGAGACCTCTTCCTCTTTAAGCCCCTCTTATCTTTCTCGAGACAATCCCCCCCACTGGTCCTTACTAAGTCATTTTAATTCTTCCACTAAGTGATCAAAAAGAAGCTCCGTCCTGTGTGTTCCGATGGCAGAAAGTCAAAGAGAAACCCATGTTTAGTTTCAGAAACAATTCTGACTTTGCTTAATGTCTTCGGGGCCAACAGAGGGACCGCAGACAAAAGCAAGCAGCCCTTTCAGAATTTTTTACTCCACATCACCGATCTCCAAACAATGAGCAAAAGTTGTTTACAGCCGAGATGTCTTAAACACACTAGTTCAGCTGACGCTTTAGGCCAACAATGATTAAACAGCTATTGCTTCTACACATTTATGAAACAAACCTCTGATTATATTCTGAAGTAATTTAGGGTAGCCTCAGTGGTCACTGGCAACAAGACAAGAATGAACATTAAGCATTTTCAACCAAAGAAGCCTAAATATAAAGGTGCTCTCCCTGATCCAGCTCCACCAATGCTAGCACAGCATTTTCTGAAGCAGAGATTGGGGTTGAATTCCAATCCATCTGCCGTACGTGCAGGCCAAACCTTATCATTAACTCCAATGAGAAAAATCTGTATATGGACAGAAAATTAAGACCTCAGGCTAAATTAATGCAAATATGTGTCCATTTGAGATGCAGGTATGTGGCAGCTATAAATCAAGCATCCAGCCTCGAATCAGTAACAGATTCTTGTTTATCCAGCATGGATATTTCAGCAGCGCGAGCAGAGCCAAGCAAACCTCTCCCAAGGCTATTCAAAACCCCTGAGGCAATCATGGTTTACAGTGCAACAAACCACGCATCATTCTCACACTTTATGTCGAAGTTAATGAGACAATGGCATCCATTATGTTTACCACATTGTATGTGGAATCTGTATATGTAAAGAAATAGCCATTTCTTAACCAAGCGCACAAATTTTAGTTCAAAATGATGTAACATGAGGTCCACAAAAACATAGACACAGAGCGGTTACTCACCATGAGGTACTGGCGGGCGAGGCACACTGATTCGATGGTGCCCTGAATGTAGACAGTGGACTTTTTCTGCGGGCTGTTGGGATCAGGGAAGTGGATCTGGGCTCCTGTCTTTTGGGTGATGTGCTTGATATTGCTGCCATTGCGACCCTTCATGAAAAGGTGGTGTTGTGGAGCGATGTCCAGGTGGGTGGTGACTGAGATGGTGCTTGCCAGACTACCGGCCAGGTGCTCCAACAACAGAGCAGTGCCTCTCTGAAAAGATAAGAATGGCAGGATGCTTCAAATATTACATTAATAAATAAACCAAAATGGTCAAAATGAGCATAAATATACAAATCCAGTTTATGGAGTACATTTTTTAATTTACATAATACATATAAAATAACTACAGTTTTACTACTGTGAACCAAGAAACTTCAAGAAACTTAATTTACTTCTCCCTTCTGAAATATACGGGCCATATTTTTTGTACGGTAGGCCATAAAGGGACAAATCAAAGTTAAGAGACAAGGTAATGTCTTTTTTATACATTCATGTATTACTACAATGTTATAAATATGATTTCTTTGTGGAATGTTAATATATGATAAACACTTATCTGATAATACCCAATAAAAGCAAAGCTAATCCTACACAATAAGCAAAATCAGAAACAGACCGTTTCACAAGCAGATGGGTGGGACTATGCTCCTCCAAGTCCCAGAGAAAACATCAGTAACTAATGGAAACTATTGTATTTTCCACTGCATCTGCTGGCTGGTTGAACTGCCTCATTCCTCTGTGTCTCTGTGAGGCATCACTTGGCCCAGTAAAGCAAGTCGTTTCCAGTGTGCAAAAGGAATCCACACACTGTGGCCAGCAAAAGACAACAATCCACAGAGGGTTTGGCAATCCTCAATGGTGTTCCAAGGGTCTCACACCACCACACAGCATAGCACACATATCCTTGTGATCCTTTAGTCTTCGCCTGGCATGCTTCCCAGTCCCAACTGACCCCTCAGACCTACCACATTCTCAGGGCCGTGTATCCACAGCATGTAGAACACTTTAACACACTTTAATATGCTAATGCAAACAGAAGTGAATGAGCGTTCATTAATACTTGAATGAACACACGCATAAATACAAACAGCAGCTGTTCACAAAGTGAAACTAGCTTAATTTTGTTAACTGAGGCTCATTTGAGTAAAAAATATGATATTAAGTATATAATATTTGCTGGAGATGATTTCACGGCAGAGATAATGGGAAGACTGCGGCAGGTTTTAACTCGCCACAGCTCAAATTCCAGATAAAGAAATGCAACTAACATTTGTCAAGCTGCAGAAAAGAAACTAAGATCCAAAACCATGTTAGAGGAAAAGTTCATTCTTGGGAGAGTTGTGGACCTGAAGCTACAATATTGTCCTTTCCAGTGAAGCAGCAGCCATTCAGTTCAAGCAACCAAACATATCTTGGCATCTCTTTCCCTGTGGTTCTTAAAGTAGAGGCCATTTCTATGAGAAAAAATGAGGCACACGGACATTGATGGTGGCCATTCATTTGTATCTTACTAAGCCTTGTTTAGGGGTGGTCTGTGGCTTGCCTTGTAAATCAGAGAATGACTCCAATGTTGCAGCAATGACACAGATGATAAAGTACATAGAGATCACTCTGTATTCCTTTTTTTCCTCCAGGAAAACACTGCTCGTTTGGTCTTATTACTTTGCCTTTCAAAAGGAAAATTTGGCCTGAATCACATTTGATGTAATGCCATGTTTGTAAATTCATTAGTCAGAAGAAAAACCTTTAGGCCGTGAAGGTTACACATGCAAACACTAATGACCATCATTCTATAAGCATCATCTCACCTTCACTGCATTGGTGTTATTCTGTGAGCCACGAACAACCCCTGTGGCCCTGTAGAGGCGTGTAGGAGGCTTAAAGGAAACTGTGAGGTTGTAGGTCTGTGAGATGTGCTGCACAGTGGGCGAGCTGGGGTCAGACTGCATGATGGCTGGAAGTTCAAATGACAGCACAAGAGGTAGCAGCTCCTGTAGCATAGAGGGACAAGAAGGGGAGACGGAAAAGAAAACTTATTTTTATGGTGTGCAGTCAATAAAAAATCCTGAAGCTACGCTGAGTTAAATTGCCGATTGGGCTGTTGCGGCTGCTGCAAGCAATACAAAACATTACAAAAATGAAGGGAGGCGTAAACCACAGTGTGCAATCATTCAGACTGATGTAGATCCTTTTGGGGATGAAAAAAGAAGAAGGTGATTGATCAGACTGACATGACAGCCCCTTCCTTTGGCAAAAGGTTAAAGAAGTTGGCATGTATGTCTGTCAGCACAAATAAATCCAGAGAAGGTGAACCAATAAGATGGACAGGTTTTGTGATATGAAGTATGTAGAGGTGAAATGGAGCATGTACCCAGTTACTACAGAAGGGTTTTTAAGTCCATTAAACTTTATATGCACATAGCTCAAGTCTTTGGCCTGTTCATTCTCAGAAAAATTGATTTCAAGTCACCGACTAAAACCACAGGACAAAGCAGCAGACATCACTTCTTCATCTTTGCATCAAAGCTGTCATTCAAATTAAATGGATGCTGACAGTGAGTCTTCGCTTCATGCACACTCATGCCTATGAATGCATGGGAGAGACATCTCACACACAGATCCACACGCAGATGAACTGAAGGGGATTTACACATACACACTCACAAATGAATACGCACACACTGTTATCCAAACAGCGACTACTGGGCAGAGCGCCACTACGGTTTTGGCTGCCAGTGAAGGGCAAGCAGCATGAATTGCTCTGACCAAAGAAATGCACCCTTGATCAGTCCCATATGCGCTTGGCCTTACATTTATATCACGTTTCAGCACTCGCTCTCTGAGGGCTCGAGAAATTTAGGTCAGCTCAGAGGAAAATGCGAGAGAGGACAGGCAGAGCAGCAGGAGTCGGGCACTGAATGAAGAATAGACTGATTTCTATGGCAGTGCTGACATGAGCTTTTTTTTTCATGAAGCCTACCTGGCAAAAAGAGGTTTCACATGTAGTCAATCAGAAAGTGTCATTCCGTTCTCTTGACAAAAGAGTGAGCGATGAAAAAAAAGAAAGAAAAGATCTTTGAGGTAAAGTAACGTTCCAGACCTTTCATCACTTATGTGTCAGCCCTGTGGCTGGAAATTCCCCAAGTATCCATCATTTTACCAAGTGACTTGTTACAGAATTAAAAAGATCTCCACCCAAGATGGGTCCAGAAATGCTGTAGACCTTGCAGGTCCACTGACATTATGTCTGAATGTTAAATGGGACTTTGCATGTGTGCCTGGGTGTACAACCCGACCCACATCTGGCTCTACGACTTATGGGCACATCGAAAAAGGGACAATGAAAATTCAGTCCTCCTGTGTTTTAGCTGAATTCTTCCCAGGGCTGCAGCTTTGAACAGGCAGCTCCTTATTTAACAAATTGGACAAAAAGAAAAAAAAATCTAAGGGATTCATTTGTGAATGTTAAAGGGGCAGTTGTACTTTTTCACTGGCTGAGTCAGTACTTTCATAGAACCACAATTAGAAAGGTGGATGAGGCTACAAACTCTGTTAAAAAAAATTAATGGATTAGGAGCGGATAAGAAAAAAAAATTGTTTTGAAGATTTCGAAGGCCCGATCCCACCAAGGAAGCCCCTCATTTCTGCTTGTTTCCTGAGACGACCTTATGTCATAAACTCCCCTGTACCACTGTGATGCTGATTAGCTTTGATCATTTTCCCCCCTACAAAAGGATGTACTGATTTGTGCCTTGTTGGAAAGGAAAACATCCATTCAGCACACAGAGGTGCAGGTTTGGATGCAAACATACACTGTATGTAAATCTAACGTGACTCCTTTTCTCTCCAGCACACATTGCACTCCATCACAGCCATCCTCACAAGCAAACACAGCTTTGTTGTTTTGGGTCAGGGGACAGTGTTTACTGCAGTAAACTGCTACGATTTTGAAATTTAGCAAATTTAGCAAGCTCAAAATGAGCTCAGAGAGCGTCAGTCCACTAAAGCTGGAGGTCAAGCTTCAGACCTAAGGTGGAGATGGAAAAAAGACTCGGAAATGGGCTGGAGATGGGCTTTGCCAAAGCAGCTTAGGCTACTTTACAGTTGGTCTAAGGAAGTGGTTAGGCAATAAGTAAGGAATGGTTCTTGTGGTCTAAAGAAAGTGTTGAAACTGTGCCTTCAGCTCTATTCTGCTACAGAAATAGGTCTTTAACAGCTATAAATGTGTAGATAATTCCTAAAATACACTTATGGTGGGAATTATGACAAATATCAGGACTAAGGGTTAAGGACGGCAATGGTTTTTAGAAAAGTCTGCTCTGCTGCTGTGGTCAAAGGCAGGGGAAAACTGTCAAACTTGTTTCAGCAAAGGTGTTATAATGAATTGCTTTATGGGGATAATCTGATTCCAACAAGTGCAATATGATTATAGCCCGGAGAAAACCTGCTTTTATGCTTCTGCCTTTTTACACACAAGTTAAGACAGTGAATGTTGCTTTAAACTTTGTCTTGTGGCTGTAAAGTCTACAATCAGTATGAATACAAGCTCAGCTGAGTTTAGCTTAAGCTACAACTCAAATCTGAAAATCTGGATCATGTGTTGATTTGGACTTAGGGTTGTATGCATGTTATAGGTCTGCTTTGGGAACCTCAATTTTGTATAATGCCAGCCAGACGGAGACGTTTATCTAAAGAAACGCACTGGTGTCCTTTGGATGAAAAACTTTAAACCTAACTGATCACAGCGAACAACACAAGTTTAACACACTTGTCTGAGTGAACCCACGCAGAATACATCATACCACTGGAAAACATGATGCAATCACTCAGCTTTTATATGTTTTTTCCCTTCTTTCACAAAAGTCAGAGGCACACAGTTACATGTCTGCATGTCTGCTACTCAAAATTCTGGGTGGAGTACCCCTTTTTTTGCAAAATAACAGAGTGCCAACTTACCCTTATTTTCACTCGGGCAGCCTCTACGCCTCCTGGCTGCCCTGCGATGGACACCTGTTAACAATAAAAATGTCAATAAGATGACCAGTTAAAGCCGAATAGTTTAAGATGAATAATAGCTCTGATACATTCAGCTGCATGCATGTAGAAAGAGCTGATTTCACCCTCTGTGAGATGTTCGCGCTAGTGTTTTTAAAGCTATCAAAACACATGGGCAATTAATTATTGCGTATTAAATCTTTTTCTAAACACAATTTTTATACACAGGCGCAACAATAAGAGCTTTGAGTGTGACTTCCACAGTAATTTAAAAAAGGGATAAAAAGCCTCATTCTTTCTATATTTCAGAATAAAAACAATTTCAGATTCTTGTTCCTAATAGATTTTGCATGTAAACACATAACAGTTCATGTTAATCGAGTTTTGCTTACGAACACCAATGCACAACCGAATTAAACCTTTAGAAAGCAGTGAAAAAAGGCAGTTTAAGGGGTTCTGGGCCCACAGGGACTCTTGCTGCTTAGAAGTCTATACTTGCATCATCTGAGCAAAACTGGAGGGGACTGAGCGGCCCGTGAAATCAGAGCAATGCAAAGCTGAATGGTGCGCAATCTTTAAACTCTATTTTGAAGTGTGTTTGCATGACACTATTTTCTTTTGGCACCATGGAATTCAAAAGGAAGTTATAAGAGAATTGAATACGTGGAGAGCAGCTAGCAAACACACACATCTGATGCTCTGCTGAGGAGCACACTTTTTCTGAACTTTTCATGACACATTTAAGGCAATTAATTCCAGCCAAAGTAATACCCATCTTAAATCTGTTGACCAGTAAAAATGGCCAGTTGAACAGACTTGTACAGGACAATAGGAATGTGTAATCAGATGTGAATCAGAAGTGAATATCTCACATAAAAATCATCATTATGAAGCAATGCAAAAAAAAAAAAAAAGTGTCAAACCTGGTTGCTTTTCTCCGCTTGGTTATTCCTGTTAGAGTCTGGGAAATGGATGTGGCACCCGGTCTCCTCCATCACCCTCTTAATGTTGTTGCCACCTTTGCCAATCACGTGTGAGTGCTCTGTGTGGGAAACATCCATCTTCAGAGTCACCCTGTTACTCTGATAAACAAAAAGAGAGAATTATGAGTCATTTACAGAGTAATAAGGGAGAACGATTGAGGTAAACTTGACCAACAAAAGACATCATCAATCTGCAATAAAACCAAAAATAATCACATATGGAAAAGTAAAGAACTCAATACTTTCCTCATTTTAAGACGCGGCATAGTATGCAGAGTTGTGAAGAGAAATATAAGTAATAAAAAAGTATGTCAGGTTGGGTTTCCTTTTGTGTGGCTGCTCAAAGTGCAGTGATGTATTTCTACCCCCAGGGGGTGCTGCCGTGCAGCTGTCCAGGTAAGTGAGCTCAGACGTTGCCAGGCAACAGGGGCCTGATGCACCCAGCACTCCTCTTCAAGTTTGGATGACACTATCTGACTACAGTGGAGGCTAACTGTACTACACTGCTGTGTGCAATCTGACAATTGCAATGAGGCGAAACCCATAAAGTTAGAGTGAAGAAAGGATGGGGCTGAGAAAACATGTACCAAACAGCACGTAAAGCACATGTTCACAGTAATAAAGAGATTTAGCGATACCTTTGTGTCAAGGACAGACATAATCCTGTCTTTGGCTTCTCTCACGTTGTCTCTTTTGCCGCACACCTTGATGTGTGGATCTGCAGACAGAGCATGTGGGTTTTTAGTCTGTGGACGTACCAGTGAGGCGCAGCAGATAAGGCACAGACAGTGAATGTGAAAGCAACACAAAAGTTAAAGACACAGCAGTTTGCTTTTGTCAGTAAATCACAGATCATCAGAGAAAAGCTCTGCCGCAATAATTGCTGCCTTGATATCTGTAGAGTCGCTGAATTCTGAAAGGAGGTGGTGGGGAAGGGCCGTGTCCCGGAGGAATTAAATACAGGCAATCTGTATTTCTACTAAAACAACACTGTGCTGCTATTATTCAAAGCATTAACAGAAGACAGTGCCGAATTTTCATCTCTATCTGACATTTTGCAGCAGCCTGACAAAAAAATCTGCTTCTTTATAGAAAATGTTCAGATTTGACTGCTGATGTTCAGAGCTCGGACAGAATCTTCAATTCAACCATTTAAAAACAGTTATAACTGTGCATGTTATGATAACTGCAAACGTTGTCTGGCAGTTACTCAACAGAAATATAGTTTTAATTGTCATTTTGTCAACTACTTGCAGAGGAAGACAGAGAAAAAGATAATAAAAGCCACAGAGAAGCGTGTGCCCATGAAGCAGGTTCAACAAGCTCAGACAAGTTGTGTTCAGTGGGATCCAAACACAAAAAGCTTGTGTTCAAAGTAAGGAATGAATCCTTTGAACTGCATGCTTATTTCAAGGTGTGGTTCTAAATCAAGTTAAATACATTTAAGATCTCCCAATTTCACTCCAATATAAACCGAGCGTTTCAGAAAACATCCTTTTGTTTTTGTTCTTGACCAACATTTAGTCTCAAATTAATCAGATCAGTGACAGTGAGAAAACATCTTGATCGGAAAATTGCTAATGTCAAGTGGAAAACTAAATTGAAATACACTCAGAAGTGTAAAGCATTGTGTAAATAACGTTGTAATAGCTTTGAAAATAGAAATGCACTAAAACCTCTCTAAATGATCCAGCTCAATGAGAAAACACTGCACACACAGTCATTTTAAAGCCATCGCATGGGCCTTAAGCATGCTGAAGCCCTGGAGAACGCAATTACAAAACACACAAACATAAAAAACCAAAAAACACAGCAACTTCACATTTCATTCTCACAGCCCATTGCCTGTTTTAACTGTACCGAGCAGCAGGAAGTTCACTAAGCCCCCTTCCAGGAATACCCTCCCCATAAAGACACACTTACACACACAGAATATCAGATTTACAGTAAAACATTGAAGTTGCAAGCCCTGAATAAGATTTATTGTTGCAAAGTCACTGGCACCTCAGAAAAAAAAAATCATGGTTGCGTGTTCACACTTTCAGAGGGCTCAGAGTGGAGAAGAGAAAAAAAACAGGACAAGAAACGAGAACACCTACAACAACATTCAGGGAAGTTCAGTTTCCAGTTCACTTAATGTTATGGGGGATCTAAACCACGGGGTAACTTCAAATGCCGATACGCAAAAACAAACTCAAAGATGCACAGTCATATCTTATAGAAGCAATCGAGTCTTTTTACATTTTTTTTTTACAGTGCACAACACCAGCTCTTAGAATCTATAAACGACATGAACTAAGGAGATACTAAAACATACTGAAAAACAGAGTGGGTTGAAACTTTTCACAGCCCTAGCAATGGCTCCAGGAAGTTTTCCCAACATTCAGCTGACAATACAAATCTCTGAACTTCTTCCTGTGGCACCAGCTGTAACCAATAGAGGGAGCCTGGCTCTTCTGAGTGTCCCCCCTCTAACCTGCACAGCACATCTGGCAAACATTAGCCAGCCTAAATGAGAGTTGCAGTTGTGATGTAGAACACCCCCACATTTTTGAAGTGGAGAGTGTTCTGCACTTTTCTCTCTCTCTCTTTCTCTCCCTCTTCTTGGTGATTGATTGTGGAATAAAAAATGAACACCTTAAGTCCAAATTTGGCACATTCAACATCTGTAAAAACAAACAACAACAAGGGTAGATGTGCAGCTGCACAAAAGCGAGTCTTTTCCGTTGTGCAGATTTCACACAGTTCCACTCAACGGAGAGGAAACCTCTTGACCCTGAGCTTTTAGCTGGCAAAGCTGCAGCATTTTTCCAGCTACATTTGAAAATACCACACAAATGAAGAGAATTAAGCTGGGCTGGCTTACTCTTTTTCATTCAAAACATATGCAGAGACCCTGAAACTCACACTTGGTACACAGAGGTATAATTATGATGATGTTAATTTACAACGAAAGCATCAAACATACAGACTGAAATTGTCTAATTGTCCAACGATGCTGACTCGATCACACAGGCCTGGAGGTGCAGCTCAGGCCTATCTCACATTGGAGTGATAGTCCTCACTTTGTGATTCCAGTGTGCTGCTAAAGACAGGTTTTGCTAAAAAATTGGTCCGCTCATAAGCGGGCGGTGGAGGGAACTATCTGCTTATATTAAATGAATAGAGTAGCTGGCATTTTTATGGACTGCAGTCCTGTTTGCAGAGAGGTTACAAATAGACAAATCCCTGCACATCTGCTGGAATCCTGCAAAGTAACTCGCTCTGATGCCGAGCTCCAATAAATTAGAGGACAATAACACTCTGAAAGAATTCAGTATGAAATAGCTGACAATAATTTATTAAAAAGAGGTCATTAAATCTGCTTTGGAAGTGCAGGACGAGTTGGCTTTGTCTTGTGACAGGATCAAGGCTGAATAGACTTCAGATAAAGGACTGTTGTGAGGTTTGAAAAGACCAGGCCATGTGTGGTCTGTTTTCTCGGATTCAAGCTCAATTTAAGCCTGTCAGAAGGGAAATGTAGGCTGCTAAGCCATCTTTGCCCTTTCTCCTTCTTTCCGCGGTCCCATGAGACCGGGTCGTTAAAGTGTCCGGTCAGCTCCACATCTCCTCTCTCAAAAATGTGCTCGCTCATAAGATAGTGACATGATAATCCAACATTCAGTTCCCTTCTGCCTGCCTCGGTTTAGACAACACAGCAGAAAAACATGCCGGGCCACAGCTTGTTTGTCAGACTTTTGAGCATTTTCCAGGTGGTTCTGGACCCTGATCCTGTGAATGAACTGATATTTAAGGTGAATGAAGGCTTGTGTGTGGCTGAATGTGGGGACTGGAGAGCTGATTATGTATAAGGAAGAAAAAATGTTAAAAGATTCCAATGTAATCCCATCAACATTTGTCTGAGCAGAGTGACTGAGGAAGTTGCGTAATGTCAATGGATCGCACATCTGGTTTGAAGATGAATGCTGGCAATTCTCTTGAGGGAAACAAAGTGGGCACAGCTTCACCTATCCCCCCCCCCTCATTCCTCCACTAAATCCCCACCTCACTCTGTCCCGGAAGAGCTTTAAATAACCGTGATAATCTTTTATTGGTAACAGAGTAGTGGGACAACTTTGCCAATATATGTGTGAGCCTCAGTCCAAGACACTCCCACACCTCCGCCAACGCCCCCACAGCCAAATCCAAAAGTCCTGTGTGCAGTTAAAGTTACTGGCTCCTGATGAACGGAAAACATGCAAGCTTTCGTCTGCCCCGATCCTCTTAATGATGAATGCTATCGTTACATTGAAATGCTTCCTGTCACAATGACACATGTCTGGCTAAAACAACGGTGACTCATAACCAAATGAGCTCTGAAATGGAAAGCAAACACAGCTCAAGTCTTGCTGTTAGTCTCGACATATCAATAAATGACATGTGATACTTGGCAAAGCAGTACACAGTCTTAAAACTGGCTTTAGCTTTGATAGAATCCCTGAACATCTCACTGTCGTCTCTGTGCTCCAATTAACTGACCACATGTAAAAATCAGCATTTGTTCTAAATGTTGTGGAAGGATAACCAGAAAAGCCCATCAAAATTATTTCTAAAGGAGAGAGAGAACTGGATGCACTTGTGAGTTAACATTTTTTTTTAAGTACACAGTATACAGTAAAGCAATGATAAACCCAGATGCATTAAACATGTGAGCGAAAATGTAAGAAAAAGCATTGATGTCGAGAATATTAACATTAATGTCGGTTAACCAGCTAAATGAAGAAAAGACAAGCAACCTTTGTTTCATCTCCTCTCTTTCAACTCCTTAAAACCCCTGTTAGTCGAAAATAGCATATTAGGCAACAGCAGCTGCACACATTTACTCCATGAGGTGAAAGGAGACCTCCAGCTACACAAGATAATACAACATGCCAAATTATCCCTCCTCACCCATGTCTGCACCGGTAAACATACGTTTGCTGAAGATACGTTAATGAGATGCACATGAAAAATAATCCCTCGACATACTAAAATGTCAAACCATTCTAAAAGGTGTCTTGTAAAGAAAAAGAAAAAAACAGTGGAAAAAGGAAAATTTGGTGTCACCTTTTTTGGATTTGGCTCCGATTTTCAGTTTTGAGGGCCAGGCTATCTGTGTTTGGGTCTCATCCATGATCTGGAACAGAATGACGGACTGACATTAGTTTATCACAAACACCAGGTAAAAATATGTCTAAACAATGTATTATGATCTGTTCTTAAGACTTAAAACCTATAGTCAGTAATTCATAGCACCCCTTTGGTGTTTTAATACAGATGCAGATTAGTTTGGCATATGGACAAGTGGCAAACAAAAATACAACAACAAATGAATAAGGTATCAAGTTGTCAAAAACAAAGTAAAAAAAAACAATGTCAAAATATAATAGCAAATTGAACCCAAGAAGCTGCACGTTCCACATCAAGTCCATTTTGTGACATCAGACCAAAGAAAAATAGCACACAATGGGACGTTTGAAGCACAGTAAGCCAGTTACACATACACATTTGCCAAAGTTAATAAAAATCTTCAACCTCGGATGTCTTCTGCAAAATGTGGAGTTTTAGTTGATGAGAATGTGTTTGCATGTTTGCATTTTGTTACCCAAACATCTGGTTTGTGTGTACGGTGCCAGAGATCTATCAGTGCCCCCTATAGAAGTTGGTTTTAAAACGTGTGGTGACTTTTTTGATGTTAATATACACTTATTTGATAAAGGAGTAGGAGCAGTTGGCTTTGGAACACATGAGAAAAACCTAAGCCGATCTATGTGAGAGCCCTTTGACAGGTCTATGCACTGTAACAAGGAGCATATGTATCAATGGGGAAAAAAAGCAAACTGCAGGAAGTTAGAAAAAAAAAAGGAATGAGCTGGAGGCTGTCAACGTTCCAATAAAAGGAAAATGGGGGGAAAACTATAACCTTTGCTTTTAGACCAGGAGGAAGCTCACCTTGCTTGGTTTCCAAAACTCCAAAACAAACCCATGCAAACGTCCTAGGAAGTTGTTGATGTGAAATAGTGGAGTGTGTGTGTTTGGGGGGGGGGGGGGGCACTGTCTTCTAATGACTTTGTCCTCAATGTGCTTCATCCTTGTTTTCATGAACATCCCGTGGTCCTCTGTTTGTTTTATTCCTTTCCAGGGGTTTGTGTTTTCAGGGTGGAGAAGATATGAATTTCTCCATGCTTTCAAAGTTTCAGCCACGTGATGAAGCCCTAGAGGTTTGCTTAGAACCACTGCACGAGCAGCGGCTGCCACTCAGTACACCTCAGAGGCCCAACGCGTTGAGCATCAGCCCAACAGTCATATTCAAACAGGAGTGACAGCAAATTAAAATTCATCATCAATCTACAGATCTTTTGTCCTTTTTCTTTAGTCTGTCCAGGAAATAGAGCAGCATCTCGTCCTCATTACTGGTGCGCAAATAGAAAGGGAAGTGTTTAAATTTCTCCACCCGGCTTTCTGGAAAGTAGCATCTGCGTCTGGTTGGCATCTTCTAAAATAAGTTCTGACAGCTAATCCACTACCAGTCCCACACACCTGTGAAAGATAAAGCCAGCTCCTAAAGACCCAACACACTGTAACTATGAACTCTGGGTCCGTGATGGTTGACTGGAAGTGCTTTCAAGCCTCTCTGATTCTCTCCATCGCAGCCTATAATCACATATAAAGATGGAAAGCCTCAGTGATAAATTACGGCACCTCTGCCAATATTCCTGCAGAAAGACAAAAACAACAACAAAGCACCAAGAATAAGCTGAAGTAAAAAAAGAAAAAAGAAAAAAAAAATTCACAGCACCTTTGAATAAAACTTTGAATCTTTCAAACACCAGTGAAGTTTTTTTAGGCTTCAAAAACTTTGCCTTTCAAAAGCGAGCACATTTCTCCCTCATTAAAACAAGACTGCATTCCTCAGAAATAGCAACTCTTAAAGGACACTTATGTAGGCCAATAAAATCATTGCACAACACATTTGTACAACAAATGCATTTCAACCAATGTTTTCTTACATTCTTCCCTCTTTTTTGCTTCTTTCTTTTTAGCTCATAGCCGGAAATCCAGGTTTTTAAGAATCACCCAAAAAAAAAAAAAACATCTGGTGATTCTGCCAGTACCTTTCAGTCAGTTAATAATGAAAGAACGACAAAATTTGTACTTTACTGTGCAATTAAGCTCGAGGCAAGCTATTCCCATATAATGTTGCTTATCTATTTTTGTATGGAACTCATTTGTTGTGTCAATAAAGTGAATAAAGTGCCAGTTTTAGCCTCTGGTGCAGCCAATGATCATCGGGTATTGTCCTCCTATGCAAAATTCTGCCATCCTGCCTTTCTTCAGTGTTTTCACAAGTTCTGCAATAATATTATCAGTCTATCCACCCAGAATGCCACCACATGCTGTGAAATTCAGGCCTGAAACCAAAACCTGGTGAGGTTTTTTTTTCTTCCTTGGTTTCAAACTATCCCAAGGCACAAGTAACTAATCTGGAACCCGGCACCCTCCCACTGTTGTCTGGCATATGTGAGAAAGGGCAATAAATCACACATACCCTTAAGCTGGATGCAAAGTTTTCGACTGACAAAAGTCAAATGCTCGCACCAGCAGCTGTATGTATTAAAAATAACATTAAAAGAACATTCTGTTCTCACAGATATGTTTTTTTTTTTCCCCATGGTCCTTAAGTCTTTCACTTTCCCATTGTTTGATTTTTGCTCCTCGAATCCCGTTACAATGTCTGGATTTTGTCATGAAAGCAAGCTATAAAAAAGCAGTAATTTAACAAATTATGATATTACTGCACGTTCTCAGGAGTCGCTGTAATTACCGGGGGAGTGATGAAACAAATGGCCGATCACTGATGATGAACCTCTCATCAAATCATGGTTTTTCTCTTTTACAGCCATGTGGAAATAAAACTGCAGCGCAGTAACTGTCAAGTAAAAGGGTCGTTATATAAAAATGACATAATTTCAGCTTTTCAATTATGTGTAATCAAAATTATCCTAAGTTGTGGCATTTGCGTCGTCACCATTTTTTATGAAGCGGGCTTTGTCCAGGGAAACCTGTTTCCTGTCCAGATTTGCTGTTCTTGGCAGCCCTCGACAGATGGGACTGATTTCTGACAGACCACACACCATTTTAAAGGGTGGATGGTGTTTATTTTTATGAAGGGGCTTGCAAATGTCTCTAAAACGGGTCGAGATATTTGCAAGAATTAACTCCACCCTTTGCAAAGTGAATGCGTGCGGAGGTGTGGGGCTGATGTGCGCGGCATCTCGCAGCGTAGCACTGACGAGGCTTCCACATAGGCGGCATGTGCGGTCAGTACACGTGACTGCTGATGAACATATATCACAGCAGCAAATCGACATGGCAGAGCCTTGTTTCCTGGATCTTGCTGCAATGGTGCAGCTGTTGATTCAGCTGGAATGTGTGAGTGTGTGTGATTGCGAGTTGGACACAGAGGGCTTTTTGGTGGGTGTACAGGAGTTGTGTGGCGGGTTCAGAGACTGAGAGAACAGCAGAGGTTGAGGCTGACAGCACTAACTGAACCATCCCCACGAGACTTAACAGCCATGTTAACATCCAAGTGTTAACTCGCAGCTACAGCCCCATTACACCTCTAGGCCAATACCAACACATGTATATGGATAAGGAAGGGCTTCACACATTACAAGGAGGATGGATTTGCAAAAGGATTCGGCTGCTGAAAGTCAGTCAATAACACAGACATCCTCAGATGGATGATGAAATTCTTTGTAAAATTTGAAAAAATACAAAAATCTGTTTACATGTGTTTTGAAGATGTTTAAACCAGTATCTGCATTTATTTCATATATAACTAAATAATTCACTGGAGCAGTCTCCACTGTTTATTAAAAAAAAAACTAAATCTGCATCTGGGCAGAGAAATATAAATTGCTCCTGTGCTATAATCTTAATGAAAGGAGGGACTCATGGCCTCTGATCTGAGTGCACTGGCGCTTTTATGTCACGTCTGGCATTATTTACAGAACCGCAACCTCTGGGAAAGAGAAATGGAACAGGGATCAGGGATGAACTGGCTAGAGGTTCAAAGGCATGTCTCAATTCAAATCCACTCCAAGCTCTTCTGTGGTGCAAAGTTATTGTCCTAACTGGCCGAGCCTCTCAGCGTCCCATGACTCAACTTCTATGTAGCTCTCCAAACAGCTTACCAGTCTGTGCCATGACTTCCCACTCCAAGAAAACAAAGCTTTCACGGCACAACGTATTAGAGTGCCGAGTTATAGCGGTTGAATAGAGAAAGACAAAATGCCATTTTCAACAGGAAAAGAGGGAAAGGATGGAGGAGAGCTAAAGTCCTAACAGTCAGAGGGACGTAGCTGGAGAAATTCCTTCCTTACTGACAACATGAAGAGGGTGGACCCTTTGCTGAATGTTGCTGTGAACTTGAGGAAGTCCAGCAGACGGTGAGTAAGAGGGTTTGATCAACTAAGGCAAGTGAGCTTGGGGAGAAAGAGCGGGGGTGGCTGCCGTCGTCAACAAATGAACTCTAAACTCTCATTCCCAAAGCACAATGAGCAAAACCGTCCAAAAATGACATGTGCTTTATTATGCTAGGGAGAGAATTCCTGCACGGGAACTTTAATAGTCTCACTGAGTATGTGCGGCGCATGGGCGTGCTGGACAGGCAGGCAGGCATCCAAATAAGAGTTTCCACTTTCATCGGCTTCAAGATGTCTTAAACACCTCGTCCATTTTATCTCAACAATATTGTCTCTAGTCATGGACAGTGTTTATTTTCCAGAACAGCTGGGCATGTATGCTGATCACATAAGGAAATCTTACTGTGAAAACATGTGTGAACTTCAGCTTTACTGTGTCTCACCAGCCTGCCAACCCCAACAGCTTTGGACTAATGCAAAATTGACTATTTAACATCAAGAAACGACTGTCAATTTGAACAAGATGTGATAATAGAGTACCAGCTGTATTTGTCAGAACTTTCTGGAATGACGAAAATATCGACACTGAATCCTTTGAACAATGCATTCATATTCAAACCAAAGAGGAGGAGTCGAAGTTGCATCTAAAGTTCTTGTTTAAATCTTCAACAAGAGGAAACATAAGGTGGCTGGTTAGCATTACTTGGTTTTGAAAACTGATTCAAGGGCAATTCAATTACATCTTTTTAACTATATAACATTCATTCTGAAATATAAACTTAAAAAATAGACAATGCATGAACGATCAAACAAAACACCATGCATAATTCATCATTTTAAATAGAGAAGCACTTCATAAGAAAAAACACCACCGATACAAACATCTGGTGTCTGTGTTGAGAAATATTAATTAAGTCTTAGTCATGTCAGAAATACTTCTTCCCAGATTTTCTTTTAGAGACATGTATGTTTCACTAATACACATTTATGTTCCATTTCTGGGAAATTTACTGGTACAGATTCAATGGAAGTTAGTGTTTTCTGTTGTTTACACATCTGAAGCCTCATAAAGATGAGTCAGGGGAATGAAAGCTGGCTAAAGAAACTAAAGCATCATGAATGAATATCCTGAAATTCCTTCACTGACAGCTTTGCACTGAAAAACAAAACAAAAAAAATCCATGTATGCATTTTTTAATCTGAAACACACCACTAGGAACCGTTATGAAATCCAGTTTGTCTCACGCTTGAGGGGCGATTAGCATCACTGAAGGATTACTAGAAAGATGAGAAGTCAATTCAAGACTGTTTTTAGGCTAGAGATCTTGATTGCAGCTATTAAAACAAGTCAGAGAGTCAGTACAGGACACATGTTTATCAGCACTTTCAGCCCCAGATAATCCGATATATCATAGAAGGTTATATAAGTGGGAAGGCCTGAAGTGTTTTGTCAGCTGTGTGTTCGCATCAGAACCCCGGAGTAGTGTAACATCAGTGACGTTCCATCGTTTCTATTTGTTTACATATGTAATTAAGAGCGAGTAGACGAGCACCTGACATCTGCCTTCTTACCAAGAGCGAAGTGCTGCTCGGTTGGCTTGTGCACAACCCAAAGACAAAGCAAACATTATCTAAGTGTAGACTACACACTCACCTTCTGAAAGAAATCCTCACCGCCATTGACTCTCCCCTCAGAGGCAGCTAGAGTGAGAAAGGGAAAGAGAAAAATAAATATATAAAACCACACAGAGCCTCGAACTTTAAGTCACAAATGAAGCAACCCAGTAAAAATCACACGTGGATTTTCCGGCCATCTAAATGTTAAGGTGTCTTTGTTGAGAGCCGTGTTTATGGTGGATCTCCATTTCTCTGGATATTGTGTTTGGCAGGCCAATTGATATTGCTGACTGGCAGGAATTAAATAAGGTGTTCCTAGTAATTTTCTATAATTCGAGAGATTGGATACAGCTTCCGTGTAACAAATTGATGGATACTGTGAAAATATTTGAGCATTTTACAGTAGCCAATAATTGGGTGTTTCATACCACATTTGGTTCAAATAGTGTTAGTTTCCCATTTCCCCAAAAGTGAAAAAATATGTCAGCACATTGTAAACTTCTGCTCTTTATCAACTACAGCCTATGAGATATATTTTTTTAAATTACATAAAAAAATTAAAAAAACGTTCCAAGAAATATCTTGTAAACAAACCACTTCTGTATCTGTGGTGCGTTAGTGCACTTTTCCAAGCAGGTGAATATGCCAAGAAACTCCCTCAGCTGATACAGTATGCAGGGTAGGAGCATAGAGCCAGTCGCCAGAGTAAGTTAGGCCTGAAGTCACTCCAGCACATCTGCAAGTCCTTCAAACTGTGGCAGCTCTGTTGATGTAAAATACATATCTGCTCTCCAAGGAGAATTCTCATGTTCCTCTGACATTTGGGAATACACGGAAAGTTTAATGATACTTTGAAGCCAACGTTCTCGAGACGGATCCGTTGCCGTCTTTGTGAATCTGGCCGCAGGAGCATAAGCTGTGTGGGTTATGCAGTTCAGTCAAAAATGAATAATCTCAATGCAAAAGCCAGAGAGATGTTATGATCACAAAAAACACAAATGGCGCAAAGTTTGAGCTGTAATGACAGCTTCAATTCAACAAAAGATATCTAAAAAGTGACTGAGACGTTATAACATCTGGATGGAGCACACTGAAGTAGCTGATAAACCGACTGTTGATCTTTTGTGCTAAATTCATCTTTAGTGTTCAATTTGTATGAGGGAAAACTCATTTATTTTATTTTTAACTGCAGTAAGACTCAATAAAAAGGAAAACGCAGCCACATGCTGTCATCACACCGTCCAACTATTGTTTTCTGATAAAAACGATGTCAAATGTAAGACCATGCACCCGGTGCAGAATGACCATGTGAAATCTGGACGAGCAGAGCAATGTGGAGCTCTTTCCCATCCACACCACGTCAAAGAACCAAACAGAAACCCTCGGTTTCTTTTTCAACCCAACATTAAAGCCAAAAATGCCTTCATCATGACCCTTAAGCACGTGTTTGAACTCAAGCAGACTCCCAAGTAAACATTTCCAGATTACAGTTTATGCAGGCAGACAGGCCTGGTCTGGTTCAACAGGTGAGGCAGTTTCTTATGAAATGTGTGTATATCAAATCCTCACCATGCCAGACCACAGATAAGAGCTTCATTCTGGATCATCACTCAAAGGAGTAATTAAAGGAATAAACACGGTTGATTCATTTAGTGTTAAAAAAACAGCAGTTTTAATAAGCTACCTATTTATATAGATGGTTTTGTTTTATAACCACCTATTATACCCCAGAGCAAAATCTATCTCGAGTTTGGATCCATGCAAGTATGCATGTATTCAGCGCTGACATGCATATAAATACACCCAAACAATTATATTTATATTTATTAAAAAGACACAGAAAAAGATTAAGGTTAAGTCAGTATCTTACAACAGAAGTGCAAGTAAATCCTCTCAAATCATTTCCATTTCAGGCTGAAAAATGTATTTCAGTCAACATTAATCCATAAAACCCATTATAAAAGCAAACCTAATGGTTGTGCTGAAACGGTGGTGAAATACTTTTTGGACGTGCTAGACAAATTTTTTTTAAAGAAAGAATATTAGAGGTTACTCCTGGTTCATACTACAAAGACCTTAAGCTTTGTAGCTTTGTAGATTTAAAGCTTGATTTTCCCTCCATTTTCCATACTTGCTTCATGCTGCAGACAGAAACTGAAGGTCAGAGACTAACGGATACAATCTGGAGCCGATCTGCAGTTCAGTCAGAGTTCCCCTTTCACTATATGCCAACGGTTACATACAGAGATCATATATTGACATACATGTAGGAGGAACACTCGCAAAACACAGATGTTTCCAGCACACAATAACGTGATAAATGAGAGGCAGAGAGTCTGGAGAAAAACTATCACCTTCACTTTAAACAGACTCCATCACTACCAGCATTGTATTGTGGAGATTCTAATGTTAATGATGAGCTGGAGATAATTCGGTGAGCTACTTGGAAATGTAGCACTTATGCATATACAGTTGTGTGAGTGTGTATTGGGGTAAAAGTCTGGCAGTGTCATGTCAGACACTGGTGATCCAGAACACACAACAAATGCATCATACAAATCAATAAGGTAATGCTGAACATCTTGTTGTCTGAACATGGCTTAAAAATACATTTTAAAAAACCTCTGTACGGCAGGAATTCCATTGCTGAGGATTTTGTCTCAGACAAGCCTGTGAAATTCTTCATCCCCGACTTTGTGAAACACAAATTGTTGACTAATTGGGGTAAAAGTTCACCAATGCCATATTGCACCAGGACTTGTATGCTTTCATGGAAGATCTCGTCTGTATATAGTGAGAAGCCCAGAATAACTTCTTTCTTGATCTTAATGTACTAAATATTTATACAGGAAACATTTGTTAACCATTACATAAAATGTGTCTTGCAAACCTTTAACTTTCCCAATGTTAATTTTAACAAAAGAAAAGTGTCATTCTGTCACCTTTGTTTTCAACCTTTTTCCTTTCTGTCTTATTTTGGTTTCAACATTTCAGTCATCTCTGGTTGGCTGATGTGCTTTAGAAATGACTGAATTTACCTGACTTAATCACATTATCTGCACTGCAAACTGTTTAAGCAAATTCTAACTGTTTTTAGACTCCCGTGTGGGAGTAACATTACATATTGGGAAATAAAGCAGTTAAAGCAATGTTGGATGCCTCCCCAGCTGCCCCTGATTTCTGTTTAAAGTCTCTGTTTTCCTGTCTGCTTCATACTCAGTGATGCAATTGGCTTGCTATCAAATTCTGAGCCTCATCAGTCAAGAGACCAAGAAGGGAAAAGGAAAGGTAAGTCTGTGCACTGTGAATGCAGATTTAATACAGCTAGATAAACAAGAACAAATTACTTACAAAATACAATATAACAAGTATAACAGCTACACAATTAACTCCCATGGAACGCATTCCAAACTCAAACCCCTTTAGAGTTAGTTCTTTTGCTCATAAGGAGCTGTAAGTGCCACACGGAATAACATCTTACATGTTTACTTGATAAAGACCAACACTTTAGGATTCAACACACTTTCAGCATCCATCTATCATATGAGGGACAGCAGGTTGAAGTGTTTACAGCCAGTATTTGGTTTAGTAAGAAACAGCTTGACAGAGGTGCTTAGTTCTTCGGTGGCATGAACTTATTCGAGATTATGAAAGACCCGAGTTTCCTTTAATAGTGAAGACAAACAAAAGGGGACCAGCAACAGCTGACCTTTTTTTTTTTTTTTTAATCCTGCTTGTCTGCTCAAAAACTCAAGTAACTTCTATTAATAACTAAATAATGGCTTAATCTAAAGTGAATCTCAGTGGGAGAAAGGAGGACCATCTAAAGGAGGACCATCTAAAACTAAGGACATGTAAAATGTCACTAGATCTGAATAAAAAGTCAAGATTCTCAGCGTTCGCAACTTCTACTTAACATTGATCGGGATCAAAGAGATCTATGATGTGACTGCATGATACCATTAAATCCTTATTATATCATCTGCAACAGGAAAAAAATACGGAAAAACTCCCAAAAAGAACAAAGCAAGACAGCATTTTTGGCATATGCATGCAGGAAACTGAGAGGAATCTGAAACGGAACATGAGTGAAAACATGTGCTGTGTGTTAAAGGCAAAACATCCTGTTGGCACATATGTAAACTGGCCATGAGAAGACACAGGAGCAGCACAGCAGGGCGTCCTGTGAACTCTTGGGATGAGGAGGACAACATTCTCGTTTTACAGTCCACTAAATAGTGTACTATAAGTCAAAAAGCAGTTGAAATAAATCTTTAATTTAATTCAGCTCAGCTTCCTATAATGTAAGGAAATAATAAGTACTTGAAGGATCCAGGGGGACACAAATAGTCTCTTGACACTTAACCCTCTATTTAGAGGTGTTGGACCACATAAATTAGTTTTTAATTGTCGTTTCACGGCCTGGCAATACAGCGGCTAATGAGAGGTGTGTAATTGGTACTAATGGTGGGGACAGGGCTCCAGTCTGTCCTACTTTGGCCACATGTGATCAAAGATCCGTGGAGTGTGACAAAAATTCTGCCTTTCTGGGTTGAATTTATGCACTTATCAATAACTCACAGGCATAGAAGCACATGAAAGCCAGAGCCAATCAAAAGACTTCACCCGCCCTGCCCTGCAGATTCTCCCAGTCTGATGTGGGAGCTGTGATCTGGAAGCAGCTCTCCAGAACTGATGCATACTAGCAAACGCATCACAGTTGCCAGTGACCTCAAGAGGTAGAGAAGTACTGATCTTTTCTCTTTGATTAAGAAAAAATGTTCCAGTTCAGAGGCACCAAGCTACACCTTCTGCCATCATCAGAGTTTCACCAGCGGACCCTGTGACAGCAGGGTCACCCTGGCTGACCATCAGTTTCCAAGGTTTGGGTACAATAACACGCCCAATGTGAGCAATTTTAAGTATTGCTCATTGCTGATGCGTCTCATTTAGCTTTTTCCAACCATTCCCTGACTGAAACATACTTTGACAAAAACTCAAACGTATGGAAAGCAATGAACCCAAATGGCATTCTTACATTTGAGAGAGGATACAAACCAATCCATCCTTAGTCTGACTTTATA